TATATTTACTCAAAAAGTTCAAGAGCAAGTTATATGCCATTATTTTATTTTATGAATGAACCTAAAGGAATGATCATTACCCACACCCCCTATTACTCAATGAATTGTTAACATAGCCAGACAGAATAATTCTATATCAGATTTACAATCTGTGAATGAAACATTTAAAAACAAGATTTGATCAATGCATCTATTGTGTTATCAAGATTTTTTGTGTAATATATCATTATAGATTGTATTAGGTGATTAACTTTTATTTGGTCATTAAAGTTTGTTTATTCATTCATTAGGTATTTGATACTGTTTCATTATTTTACTGTATAACATATTCCCTGAGTCTGAATGAAATTCACGTCATCAAAACTTTTTGATTTATTGTAAATCAATTTGTCTTTGAAATCATTATAAACATCATCAGTGTTGTTATAATTAATCATCATCATCATCATCATCATCATCATCATCATCATCATCACCATCATCATGATCAGCATCATCATCATCATCATAATGTGGTTATCAATCATCATCATCATTCTGATTATCATAGTCAATTATGATAATCTGTGGTTATTGTTATCATTTAAATTGTTAAAATTATCGTCATCATTATTTTTAAATATTCATCATCATTGTTGTAATTTTCGTCATCATCATTGTTTTAATCATCATTACCATAGTTGTAATTATCATCATCATCATGTTCAGTCAGGACTGTAATTATCATCATGACTGTAATTATCATCATCATGACTGTAATTATCATCATGGCTGTAATTATCATCATGACTGTAATTATTATCATCATCATGGCTGTAATTATCATCACTATCATAGCTGTAATTATCATCATTATCATGGCTGAAATTATCATCATCACTTGTTGTCACTTCCATTATCATTATCACCAACACCATGCATTCTATCACAATCATTTTGTGATGTATTTATAAGCTCTTTACAAGATAAACTTTGAAACAGTGGAAACCTTGTCATTTGTAATAAAACATTATAAAAGTAAGAAGGTTTCAGTTAATGGATATTTTTGACAGTTTTTGATAGATAAGAAGATAATGATTTCAGTATATCAGACTTTAATATTTTCCTATTTAACAGCTTGTGACACATTATGTCTGCTTTTCATAATGCTTGAAACATTTCAAGTTTTGATGACATATCAAAAGTTGTTCTGACAATGTCATGTTGCATTTTGATATAACATAATGCAAGAAAAATAATTAAACAGGAAAACTAGTGGGTTTTACCAATTAGATGTAAGAATGTAGAAAATACTTGAGATGTGTAATTACTGCCTGTACTGAATTGTATGACGAAAGTAAAAGTACTTATGTCAAACATTCATATGAAGTATACAAAGAGCAATTCAGTTTAAGATTTCTATTTACAAAGATAAAAGGCATTCTCATAATCCTTTGTTTAACTGACTAATAAAAACTTTTCCCAACCTATGTTTCTTTAATATGTGGCCAATGTTGACCATGACTATATTCAAGTCAAGTGTCATCAGGATAGCTGAAAATTTTATTTTTCAAGCTTTGTTGTAGTGAACACAATTACTGACCTTTTAGATATGAATGAAAGTAAAATGATGGACACAGTGAACAAACCATGAAATTGTTAATAAATTCCTTGTTTCTGTAATAATAAATTCCTTGTTTTAGCATTAAAAAATAGGCATCAGAATGCATAAAAAATGAAGCAAAAAAATTGTCATTCTTTATATAGGATGCTTCCATTTGTGTGTCTTATAAATTACAAGAAATTAACAACTTGTAGTAGAATGATATAGAATTCATAATTTGTATAAAATACAATAACAGAATGATATTAGACAGATGGTATGTATCCCACTCATCTTAACACTCTTACTTGAATTCCTTGAAATTATTTTTAGTACCATTGAGAAATCAAATTAGTTTGTCTTTGTAAACTGTTGAATGAATGACTTTGAGAATTTTAAGCTAGACAAAAATACAGTTTTCCTCTGTAGAGTTATTTTAGGTACTAAGTCTCTATTAATAATAAATGAGAGAAAGTCCGGAGTGTTTTGTAATTTGTTAACCTATCACCTGCAGGTACCGGAAGTGATTAGCTTATATTGTCAACAGTGAGGTGCCAGACCTAAGCCTGCTCTTCCATGCAGTCAAGCTCTATACTGTCAATATTCAATTTATATACTTTGTAGTTGAAATCCCTTAAAGTTTGAATAGACTGTTCCAAATTCAAAGTAGGGCAAATCCATTACTTGAATTGAGGTGGTTAAGGGGTTAATAATAAAGTACTTACTATGATCTTTTATCTTGATATTGGCCTCCATATAGGACATTAAACATCATATGAGTACCTGTGTAGTAGGTGGTACAGTATTATATCTAGATTCCAATTGTGAATAATAAATGATGACTTATGAAATTTGAGATAATAGTTTGATGCAATGATTGTGTCTCTTTTTAATACTTTTTAGCTCGACTATTCGATTAGAATAAGTAGAGCTATTGTAGTCACCCGAGCGTCGGCGTCTGCATCGGCGTCGGCGTAACCATCATAACCCCAACCTGTAGACAGGAGGAGGTAACTCTATCAAGCATTTTCACAGAATTATGCCCCTTTTTTGACTTAGAATTTACGTTAAAGCTTTTGTATTAGTTCAAATATTTTCAAAGTCCATTGACATATGGCTTTGAAACTTTGCACACTTGTTCACCATCATGACCTCAACCTGTAGACAGGAGGAGGTAACTCTATCAAGCATTTTGACAGAATTATGCCCCTTTTTCGACTTAGAATTTACGTTAAAGTTTTTGTAATACTTCAAATATTTTCAAAGTCCATTGACATATGGCTTTGAAACTTTGCACACTTGTTCGCCGTCATGACCCCAACCTGTAAACAGGAGGAGGTAACTGTATCAAGCATTTCTTTTTACTATCAAGCACTAAGAATAGTCGAGCGTTGCTGTCCTACCGACAGCTCTTGTTTATCCTTTTTTGGGGGGAGGGGAAAGGGGGGGGGGGTGTGGCGTGGAACTTTTGATGAATGATACTGTGATATTTAGTATTGTAGAAGTTTTTCCCTAAACAAAAGTTTACAACACTAATATTGACTGATTAACTGAGAGAATTTGTTTATCAATGTTTACAAAGTAATATTATCGACAGTATTTAGAATATTTTAATATTTTACATTCAGTTTATGAATTGGTTAATTAGGGTGTGCCCACTGAATGATATGTTTATTAATGTAGTGCTTTATTTGCACTTTCAAGCATGAATGAAGTCATGTTGTTTATTTAACCACCCCTTTTTGTGAGTTTTTAACTGGATTATCAATACAAGGTTTTAAGTGGTTATGAATATCATATTAGTAATGGACAGTTAATAAAGGGTGTGACATGTTGTTATTCTGCAGTGAAACACATGTACAATTGTATATAAAAATTATAGGCGGCAATTTAATAGATATTGGTGATGAATCCAAATTAAGACTAGATTCTTCTTACCAAGCACATCAATAGCCATTACTTAATAAATGTATTACCTGTTATGTAAAGACTTAAACTGCTTGGACCAAAACAGATCAGTTTTTGCCACCGGTATAGAGCCTGACCAGCCTGCACATCTCTTTAGTCTGACCCAACTTTATATTGTTGGCAGAACATTTTGATATCTAAAAAAATTGATAATGAACAGTTCAGAAAATGCAAGCTGAGTAAGTCAGAATATTAAAGGCATATTATGCCTTAGAAATCTTTTTTTTTTGATAATTCTTTTAATAGGAATGTCAAATAGGTGTTTAAATGTTTTGATAATGGATTTAGAACCTATTAGATGTTTAACAACCGAAGAAAGTTGCACTGAATGTGCAGTAATGTGTTGCAAAAGTAGGAAAATGTAAACAAAGTAGTAGTTTGACTTCCACAAAAAATATTCATTTACTATAACTATACTCATTGCTATAAACAGAGTAAAAGAAGTAAAAGATAGTTCATCTATGTGGTAAATGAGTATTGTTTTGGTTTTGGAAACTGTAACAAAATACCAATAAATAGAAAGCTTTTGAGAAATAATATTTAAGCATTTTGGAGGCATAATGGGCCTTTAAGCAGATTAGAGGTTAAATCCTCATAGTTTAATCCTCATAGTTGTGGGTTTTAAACCCATCTGCAGGGAGTAATGTGAATTATTCCATGCTAATGGGCTCTCTGAGCTTACAGGTTATCAGCATGACCAAGCCATGTATTGCGAATGTGTTGAAGTATATTTGGGTAGTATAGAGGGTCTTGGGGGTGGCACCCTGGGGGTAGGGCTTGGTCCCACGCCAATAACCTATGTCTGAGCTTGAAGGATGATAATTCAATTCAACTGCCTGATTGTTTCTGAAATAATGAAAAAAAGAGAACATGATGTCTTCCTTCTGCAGAAATTTCATATTATCTTTACAGTGTCAGCATTGTATATGATATTGTACTTTATAGAATGACAATTATTGCAAGGTTGCATTTTGAAACAAGTTTTGTTTTACATCCCAAGTCCCATTGTATGTAATTAGTCTGCCAACTGATTAGTCTACTTCATAATGCATATTAATTAACAATTAACACTAGCTATAATGTTATGTTAATGTGATATTTTCTGATATTAATGCATAATTTATGTACCAATAAAACATTAACCAGCTAGTTGCTAGGACTTGATGGGGGTGAAATAAGAGTTGAAACAGTGTCCAAAAGTGTAATATTTTGTGAATTACATGTAGCCCAATGTTACAGGTATAGATGTTGTTTGCTGGACTTTTAAAAACTTACCAGGGATTTATAAAGCTGTAAAACACAACATTACTGTTTCTTTAAAAGTTACAAATAATGTTGCAAAGTTGTATTGACACAAGGAGCTGTTGTCTGAATATTTGGTTAACACAATTAGTGTATATTAAATGTCACAAGTAGTAATGTTATCAGGTTGTCTTTTTTCTCTTTTCAGTCCTGAAGTGAAATCTTTCCTATCATTAGACAACCCAAGAAATGCCCCAGACTCTTCAGATTCTGACCTCAGTATTGATTCCAGTGACAGTATGGTAAGTCAATATATAAATTAAGTGGTATATAGCAGTTTGACCTAGGCATGGGTGTGTTATTGGGCATTTAAACATTAAAAGATGACACTTTTTCAGGCTTGAAGCTTACTGTAGGCAAGTAAGGGTAAAAGAAAGAATTTTTGTAAACTGAAGTGATCAGGTAAATTGCTTGTGCGTTTCCTAAATAAGCAGAAATCTGATTAGTACTGGCATTAGAAAATCAGATTAAGCCTGTGTGTAATTAATTCAGTGTCTGTTACACTCTTCAAAACAGAATAATTGTTTTAAATGGGATTTTCCTCCTAGAATCAACACTTTAGAAAACAAATTAAAGAAATTATCAATGAAATGAAAGTCTTAATTTAAAGCTGTATTTTAAGTGTAGTACTACATTGATTTTATATCCCAGTTTTAAAACTTTAAAGCCAGTAGATAGCTGTTATTTAAGGGGAATGAAAATCAAATAAAAAAAGGAATACATGTAAACTAATATCTGACTAGATAAGTTACTAAGTTACAATGAAAGTTCAACAATAAATAACTTAAGTTATCCAAATGATAATGTAGTCATTCTGTTAACCTACAAGTGCTTAATTATGCCTACTTGTTGCACATGGACACTTTAGTACTTTTATTTTCCTCTTTATTAAGTATAATTTCTTTTCTTATTGTTGTGAAATGTGGTCAGAAAGTCACAGATGTTGAGGTTAGCATGCAGGACCTATGTGCTTGTGATCTAAGGGTCATTCTACAGTCATGGTGAACCCTTACCACACATAAATACATGTATCGTAAAAAGACTTGTACATTAAAATTATTCATCCTTTTTAGGGAAAAATTTCATAATATGTACTGACTAAAACATAGCTACCAGAACAGACCATGATCAGATGACAGAGATGTGCTGGCTGATCTAGGGTCTGTACTGGCTATATTCAGTTGCCACCAGCAGGCTTAGTGTTAATACGGGGAAGACAAGTCGAAGGGGGCCCAGGCTTTGGCTTGCTCGGCTATAAACTGCATGTGTTTAATTAAAAGGAAATCAAATAAAAAACAATAAAAGAATATATAGAATTCTATACCTATCAATAAAATTTTCAGTGTCAGTTCTAGTTGGGCGCCACCATTTTCAATGTAACTCAATGATAACTATAATAAGAGGGGTATTCCAATAACAACAGTTGCAACCTTTCGTATTAATAATAATCAAAGAGAAAATGGAAGTGGTGCATGAAATACCGAATGACTCCTTTAAAACTGAAAAATGAACAATTTTTTTAACTGACTTCACCGTTCATAGGCTTTTCCTACTTTCATATTATCTGTACTGTTGTACAGTAAAGTATTTGCTTTGTTTATTATGGTCATATTTCCATTATTCATATGAAATAGTTACTTTAGAAAGCTTTACTTGAAATAAATTGATTCACCTGAATACATCATGATATTTGGTCTATTATCTACGTTACACAAAATGATTGTTCTTTGGTCATCATGGTTTAATATTATGATACTGTTTCGAGCAATGATATCATTTTGAAGCATTATCAGTCTGTTAACGAATAAATGGATATTTTTTTATCAGATATTATGAATTTTAAGTAGCAGTTATAAAATGCATGGGGTATCAATTTTGAGCTGTGTATATTAAAATATGTGATACTAATATTTACTTATAATAAATTACTTATTGGCAGTGATAATTGAATTTACAGGACAATATATATTCCACTTATATAAGCCAATAATTTATGATATGACACACTTATGGCAAATTCAATATTTTGTCCCAGGATTGAACTAAAAGCATGATTTAAGTAAATAAACAAAACAGTCAAGTCCGATAGGATAGTAAGAGCCGATAACTGGAACATTTTTTGTCATGAATGTAGTCCACAAAAACAGTGAGATGATAACCGATATTGTTCTATTTTTCTTAACTCATTGTTTAATTTTTCCCAGGGAAAATGGTTCTTTTTTATGTTGTTTGTTTGATTTAGTCACAGTTCTTTGTTAAAGAATACATAACCTTGACATCTGTAATAATTGTCTGACAGGAAGTTGGATTTCCGTAATTATTGTCAAATGTGAAAAGCATCAAATTCTATATGACACTTTAGAAAACATAAATGTAAAATTATGTTAATAGGTGTTAAACTGTAGAAAGGTAAGCAAAAATAGATGAACCAGATATAAAAAATGCAAAGCCATCCTAATTTAAATAATCTGTTGCCAATATAAGTTTGCATTGTGCTGAATACAAGTTTAAGTGTGGACAGTTTGGTCTGTATTTGGTCTCATGAATATTTTATTGGGTATTTAGATAGGTTTTAGGGTTGCTTTTGTAATGAAGATACATTGTGACAGCCACTTGAGAGTAAAAGTCCCAGTTTGAAGGACAATAAAGTCAGCTGTAACAACTATTATTGTCACTTTTATGGGAACAACTTTTACCATAGCGGGGCATAGTTTGATGAAGTCTGTCTAATAAATGTAGATCAAATTTTCGGAATGCTTCAGTTTCTGTACCAAAATAACTGTAACCCCACCAAACTGACCTCATTTTGTAACCCTTGTTAAAGACATTACCTGATGTATTTTATATCATTTATAGCCAATGTAAGAAAATTTTGTAAAATTTTTAATCATTGCTATTAACTGAAGACAGCAGATATGAAATATTCTTAATGAACTTTCTGTATTACAGTCTATAGGTACATCAGTTGTCAATATTAGGACTATTTACATTTTGTTAAATTTTAATCGGTCAGTAAACACTTGTAAGATTAATTTTATTTTTCTTTCTTTTCAGAGTAATAAGGACAATAACCCAATTAACCTTGGACCCAGTGAAAAGAAAAGGTATGTCCAAAAGAAATTCGGTATCAAAATTGTGTTATCTTGTTTAAACAAATGTTACTAAATATAACATAACGATTTTTTACTTTAACAAAATAAACATGGACTGACAATTTGAACTTAACCGTTAACCGAACTTGTATGAACCTTATAATATGAAACATGCGCAGTAAAAAATAAAAATATTTACATACATGTATTTACAAAAGTCTGATCTGATTATGATTTATTTACAATTTTGTTTATTGTCCATATTTGTCTTATTTTGCTGATTTTGTTTCAAATTTTTTTTTTATATTTATACATTGTTAGTATTGAATTTTTATGAATAATAGAGAGTTTTACTATACACAATGAGAAATGGACGTAATATACTTGTGTTAGTGGGTGGGTGTTGAGAAAGGTTAAAGTAAACTTGGTATTTATCACAAGATGGGTGCACCCTATCTTAACCATGAAATTTGTTTACTACTTCATTGAAGCTGAATCACAATTTGTTGTTAAATAAGATTTTATTGAGATTTTTCTCTGTTTCGCCTGTTTTCATTCACTTAAAATATATTCAGTATAATTTCACACCCACTTAACTTTTAATTTCTTTTTGATTATCAGTTTCGATATCTATTGAATTCATTAAATAATAATATACGTAAATGTGAGACGTAAACATTTACGCCATGGCAATAGTAATATTGTTATTGAACCATTTGTTATTTGAGATTGAGTGATTACAATCTTAATGATATTGTATATAATATACGTGTGCATCTTTTATATTGTAAAAAGGAATGCAGTATGTTACTTTGTGGAGGAGTAGAAAAAAACACCAGATGGCGTTCATCAAATACGTATATGAATGTGAACACGTTTCACTATAAAATTAACATATCTGTTTATATTGATACATGATTAAATTGTTTGACATTTACCTGGCAAACACTTCTTGCTGTATTCATATGTCTACATGTAATTTTGTGATATTGTAAGATAAGATTTTGTTTATTTACAGTGTTAAACCCAGCGACTTTGAATTCCTGAAGGTCATTGGCAAAGGAAGTTTTGGAAAGGTAAAGCATGTTCGTAATTTGAATCTCTTACGGTCAAGGACAAAATCCCCAAATAATATAAGTTCAATAAGAAAGTCTATATGTACATGTATTTCATCATCTATTCCATAACACGTGAAAATAAACAAGCGTTTTATTCACATATTCAACACTGAGAAATATAAGGCAGAAAAAAATTTGCAAACTGTTCAAATATTATTCCTTTTAAAGAATAGACCTATATAAAAAACTCTTGTTCATATTTACATAAAACACATTATAAGTGAATAAGCAAACATGTTGTCTCTAGAGTAGTTATATTTATGGGTGATATATGACAGAGATATACCAGTATAGCACATGACATGTCATATTTAGGTAAAGAAGGAAAAACATTAGTTGTTAATTTTATGAAGTATTCCATTTATAACACAGATTACTTAACTTTATAGCAGCGGAAATTTCAAAGTACATAAAAAAAAGTGGGAGTACACGTTATGATGTATCTACAGTGCACATAAGTGACTGTATAACTAAATACATGTAGGTTATTTATAATTGAAATAATGTTGATAAAACAGTTGCATAAAAATCATTGGCTACATCACACTGATAAACTATATCAGATGCCTCTGCTATATGCACAGTTGATACGTAACTGTTTTACCAACAGTCATTGTGACAAGAAAGTATCAACCATGAGTTTTATCCTTTAGTCTGCTGAATTTATGACATGGTTTTGCCCAGCATTGAATCTGGAACAGTCCATTCACATTTAAAGGGGTTTCAATATTGAAATACAAAAATTGACCTACCAACAGTTTATGGTATACAGCCAGTACATGAAGGCAGGCCTGGCTATAATATTACTGGTGGCAAAGTCTGATCACTTTTTCCAGTGTGACTACATGTATTTATATTAGCTATGTGGACATGTCATTTGACCACAATATAATATTACTATTGTGGTTTTACTGAAGAATGTGGTGGGATTTTTAAATTCTCCCTCTAGTAATATGACATCATAATTAATTTAATTACTTTAATGGTGGGTTAACATTAACTTTTAATGTTGGGATAACTATCCAAATGTTGCACCCTAAAACTCTTGTAAGAACTGATTACATTAATGTACTGGAAAAATATTTTCAATTTAGATTGTCTTTTAATCACTATTTCAAAATAACAGTCACTAGAAAACAATAGACATTTAGAATTTAATTGACTGAAACAAGAATGGATCTAAGGGGATCGGTTGCCTAATGGTAAAGGTGTCTGCCTCTCCACACAGGGATCATGGGTTCAAGCCCTAATCAAGTAACAACCATGTTTCTTCATATGAGACCAGTACTGGTTGGTTCCAGAAAGCAGACTCGAAAGTGATTTATATAAGTTGCAAGAACTTGTTTTGCAAGCGAGCTTAAATAAATATGTTTAAACCAAACATTAAGAATGAGCAAAGTTCATAAATAGTGCAGTACTTTTGTATATATTGTGACCAACCAAATATGGCTTAATCTAGTTTAAACTTACTTTCTTATCATGTTAATGACCTTAAATAGTTTACGAAACAAACAGTCAAGTTCAAAAATTTGGTCAAGTCTGTGAGTGAGATAAATCCTTTATGAACAAGAATGTTGAAACTATTCCACTCATTCATTTACAGATAATTTCACCACAACTTGACAATTAATTTTATGTGTCTAAAATTCTTAAGATGCATTTTATCTGTTAAGGCGACTCTATATTTTCAGAGATATTAAAATATTGAAATGAATTCATGTTGACTAGACATCATTAACATTAATTTACACTGTGTTATTATACTCCTAATTGTTTACAATTTACCAAACTGTCATTCGAATATTTGACAATTTGACAGTGTTTATGTAATGTCTTATTTATATCTTACTTCCTTCTATTTTGGCAGTTTAAAATTTTTTGTAATGATGAAGTAGCATTTTGAGTATTTCAAAATGATATTGTTGTTTACTGACATCAATATTAGACTAGAATTAAAGCCACAGTATGTCAGAGCCTGTCAAAAACATTATGTATTTGTTAGTCATGATCAAAGACTTTATGTCTGACACCCCGGTCACATATTCACGGAATACGCCCACGGAAGAGCCACGGATTAATTCCGGCATCGTCCGTAGCTACCCGTACTGGTCAGTAGCTCTCCGTATTGTAACCGTAATCAATCGTAGTAGTCCTTGTATATCTGTAGCGATCCTTGACAATTTTTGAACATGCACAAAAATTTGCTACGGAAAAATCAACCGTAGCGTATCCCTGCTAGTCCGTATTAAACCGTACTGACACGTACTGGTCCGTACGAAAGCCGTACTAGTCCGTACTGATTCGTAATCCACCAACTTGTCACGGATTTCCATGGTTTGGTACGGAGAACTACGTGTTTGTACGGTTACCCTACGTATAAGCTACTGTTTTAATACGGATTAATACGGCATTGTCACGGAAAGCCACGATAGTAATACGTTGCACTACGGAGAGGCAGGGAATAGCACGGTCTTATACGGTTTATTGCGGAACGGTACGAAATGGTACGATCCACCACTGTTTAGTACGGATGAATTAAGTATCATGTACTTTTTCAAGGGTATAAATACTATCTTCTTGTTAAAAACAGACATATTTGCGAGAACATTCAATAAATGATAATTAGAATTTACTGGCTGCAACTTTATTTTGAAATGGTTCAAAATACGGAGGCAGTGGTCGAGCTGCTTGATGACATGATATGGGTCAAAATATATTAATATCGTACTAGAATTCATAAGTAATAGAATATCATTTAATGTTACATATTTTGCAAACATTGGATCGTGAAATTGGAGTAAATATGTACATAAAACGAAGTGTCTCATAAGCCTAGGACGCTGGCCCTTAAGTGATAATAAGATTAATTAACAAGCTTTTAACATATTGTAAAACATTAACATTCACGATAATTAATGTAATTATAAAATGAACAGCAAACGTTAAAATTTAAAGAGAAGCAGTATTGATCAACATTCATAATTGATTACTAGTCCATATCTTATCAGGTAACAGAAGACAGACGCGATGGTGGACTAGAGATGGGCTTTTACGAAGACCGCTTCATGTTTAGTATGAGGCTCTCATGTCCGTACTTGTTATTTTAGAAATTCACTTTAATCGGACCTGATGTGTCTCGGGGGTCGGACGCGATTAGGCCGAATCCTCTCCGTCAAAATCATTGAACTCTGCAATCCGTTTTCTAGGTGTTCTTGTCTTGTGAGGCATTTTGAAAATGAGCAGGCAAGAGCTTGTTGACGGATGAATTAGGTCCGTATAGATCCGTGGCAATTCGTTCTTCTCCGTATCAATTCGTTCTTCTCCGTATCAGACCGTACTTATTCGTACTGACCCGTGCTTATACCGTAGCAGACCGTTGTGTATCCGTAGTGCGCCCGTCCTGATTCGTGTCGCTCCGTATTAAACCGTGTCGGTCCGTAACAATCCGTGTCTCTCCGGGGGCTTTTGGTGGTAAATCCGTCGGACTCCTAACTCATACCGTTGTGTGTCCGTACTGGAACCGTAGCGGACTACTAAATTTCAAATTTCCAGAGTAATCCGTGAACGATTAGACCGTAGCTCTTCCGTGGCATTATCCGTGAATATGTGACCGGGGCATGAGGCAAACATAACATGGTCTACAGTTTATTAGTACTAAATGCCAAATTCTAAGGTCTAATGCCAGTAATGGTCAAACAATTAACAAAGACCAATTACTTAACGACATGTTAATAACATGGCCTGTCATCTGCAGTCAGTTTCATGCTATGTATTAGGCTGTATGCCAACCATGGTCAAAGTACAAATTTATATGCTAATAAACAATTAATAATTATCACTTAGTATTTCATATGTTTAAAATTTATTTATATTATGAAAGTGTTGGAAATACAATTTCTCAGTTTAAGCAGAAATATTATATGTTGAATGCTGGCTGATGATTTACTATAAATCTGTTTATAATAACTGGATTATAAGTTATTACCAGTATCTTGCTGTAAGGAGATATAATTGAGCCACATCACGACAAAACCAACATAGTGCGTTTGTGACCAGCATGGATCCAGACCAGCCAGTCTGATCAGGATCCATGCTGTTTGCTTACAAACCCTATTACAAGTAGAGAAACTGATAGCGAACAGCATGGATCCTGATCAGACTGCGCAGATGCGCAGGCTGGTCAGGATCCATGCTGGTCGCAAATGCATTGCGTTGGTTTTGTCGTGACGCGGCTCATATAATTGTCTGTAACTAGAGTCAATAGTTCATATCACTTTCAGACTTCTGTATTTTCTAAGAAAAACTCATCCTCCCACTTAAACTTGAAATAACATCACCATATATAGCTTAGTAAGTGAAGTATGTAATTGTCTTTATGATTTTGAAATAGGTTCATGACAAGTCAACAAAAGATAATGATATTTGATTGAGAATGGCAGGCTCTTATTGGTAATCCTCGATAATACCATGTTCTCAATATATGTCGATTTTTTTCTGCCAGTTTGTGCCAGATCTTGTATGAAATTATCCAATCACTGACCTCTTGGCCATGTAGCTTGTCCATTACATTATTGTTATATTAGATCATTAGAGTATACAGCCCAATGTACATGAGAAGTATGTCAGTTTCGATAAAACTGTCTCTTTAATACTGTCTAAAATTATCTCCCTATCTGTACATTAACATGTACATGTATGTCAGTAGTTGATACATGTACCTACAGATTATATAAATAATAACAATGTAAACAATGATTGCTATTGACATTGGCTACTTGATAGTAGAACTAAAAATCACTTACATGTATGTCTAAGAAATATTAAATATTAAGTTGGAAAAAAAACAAAACATAAAATTTATATACAATGTATAATTTTCTTGAAATAACTACCAACAACAAATTAATTTTTGTATTGAGTCAGTGAAATCATAATTGATCTACGGTATATTAATGTTTACACTTGTAAATCTATGGTAAAGAAACTGCTTAATTTGAAGAAGCTTTTGTAAGTTATTTCAACCTCAACTATGAAACGAAATCTCTACCCCATGGCATTCCTGTAACCACAAAAAAGAAATTTAAAAAAAAAAGAGAAAAAATTCTTGTTAGAAATGACTTTTAATCTTTGAAGGAAAGAAAAAGAGAGCAACTTTACCACAAATAAGAGAGTTTTTAACCACTAACAAAGAAGTTTCACACTGAGAAATACTTCAAGTAACCTAACCTTGATTTGATGAAACTAAAGCGATCATAAAATTGATATTTACATGAGAATATGAGCATGTTTTCATGATTAATTAAACCATAAAAAACATGATCAGAGCTGTTGCTATGATGATATTAAAGTAGGATAGTAAAGTACTTTATTTAAACTCCTTTACAGTTTTCATTACATTTGAATGAACTTGATAACCTTTTGTTTTGGCAACAGAAATATGTGAATGAAAAATTCAAATGGAAATATTGAATCATCCTTTGTTTATGTTGAAAGAAGAGTGTTAACCTTATTTAAATATATCATTGAAAATTGATGCACACTGTATAATGCCACACCTGCTTACTCAATATAAACACTGAATGTGATAGGAAAAAAAAGAAGAAAAAAAAGAAAAAAATGGTATAAAGGTAATATACAGGTGTAAAAATATATTAAGACACTTCAAAACCTATTTATGAATACCGGTAATCATTTTTTGGTGCCCATGTTGAATTTTACCTTATCAATCTCTTTACAGTAACATTTTCTTCACAATAAGAACTTCTTTGTACTAGAGAAAGTGATTTGTCATGATTTAAAAATTTCACAAATGCATGTATGTTTTTATAATTAGGATATTTCATTCAATCTTAACAAACCTGTATTTTCATTTGTATAAATTATATATACGTTGCATTTTCAGGTATTGCTAGCCCGACACAAGAATGAAGGGGGCGTGTATGCAGTCAAGGTGTTACAAAAGCAAGCTATCATGAAACGGAATGAAGTAAAACATATCATGGCAGAAAGAAATGTCCTGCTCAAAAATGTTGTTCATCCATTCCTTGTGGGACTCCATTACTCATTTCAGACCCCAGATAAACTCTATTTTGTCTTGGACTATGTGAATGGCGGAGAGGTAGATTTGATTTCTTAAAATTAAATATAATGTTTAAAGTAATATTATTTTACTCATTTACGAAACAAATGTTAAATTTATAAGACCATACATGTATTGCATGAAGTAGCTTAAAATTGTTGAATATTTTTATCAACTTGGGCGTTTCATATTCTGAATCCTGCTTTACTCATTGGTCATATTTTATTTAACCCTTGTATGACTCTTTAACTGAAACTGCAAAGCCTTTTCAATCAGAATAGAATCAAGTTACTCTGCACATCTATGCAGTTTGACCAGTCACAAAACTGACTTTACAAGTCTATATTTCGACCTTACCAAGTTTAAAACACTGATCAATTTCTAAAGCAAAAATATAAAACTCGCTATAATATTATTTAATTTCATCTTTCTAAATAACAAGAAAATCTTTAGCTTTTATACAAGGTGGCAGCAGAATGTTCAAAAATGCATCATGTTTATTGTAATTTCAGTTATTCTTCCATTTACAACGTGAACGTTATTTTCCGGAAGTACGGGCAAAGTTTTATGCAGCGGAAATGGCAAGTGCAATAGGGTATCTTCATTCCCTCAACATTATTTACCGTGATCTCAAACCAGAGAATATTCTCCTCGATTCTAAGGTAACCATTTTATACAAAAAACTATATATAAACAGAACTTGTCTTTTCTTTGTAGGCTTGAAACTAAAAGCGTGAAAGCAGTCCATAGATTACAAAAATTTGCTGTTCAATTGTTCAAACATTCAAACTTCCCATTCATGCAAGACATTGCATTCATACACCTTGTGGGTTTTTTGCTGATCTCTACCCATGAAATTTGGACATAGAAAATAACAGAACAAGTTATTGTTGCTGGTGTTTTTAACATTTTTTGGATAAAAAAACCGTAAAGATTAAATGCTACAGCATGAATTTGAGTTGGACAGTTGGTGACACTGTCATGTTTGCAAGGTGGTATAAAAAGTTAGAGATAGTGGCTAAAGTTTAAATGAGTGTGACAAATTAGTATTCAAGAATACACTGTTCCTTTCTTACTTAGTTCATACGCATTTATTTTACATTGCTTGTAACTATAATTCATTTACATAGATAAAATAAATCCTGTTTTTAAACTTCTAATTTTAGAATTTACAAAGACAAGATAGATTGCTGATGTTGTCATTGAATAGATTATTTAACAGTTTAAGCAAATGCATTTAATTTATACTGAAAATAGAAAATGTCATTTATGTTGTCTTTAAAGAAATAACTAATCTTTAGGTTAAAAAATAGCGACAAAATGAGATGTTAGGTACTTAAACATTGCATATTATCTACTGATTTCTTAGTTCTATAGTCTACAAATATATGTTCAAACATTTGAATAATAAACATGTATAATTTTGAAAAATTATTCATTTATATTTCTTAACATTTAAAGACCTTGAGGTTAACCTGTACATAATGTACATGTCTGTGATAAAGCGTTATATGTGACAAGCTATTATGCATAATTCAATAAGATTTCAGTCTAGTCACAACTTAAAGAAGTAAAAAAAAATGTCCACAAAAAAAAAAAATATTTTGCAGAAAAAGAAAGATATTATTTTAGTCATATACCTCTGCCTTTTTTGTACTAAGACATAAACATTTTGAAAATGTATTATTCCATGCAGAAAGATAAAAACAAAAAGCCAGCAATATGAATAACTTATGATCGAGTAAAATAAATTTTGCTCAATTAAATTTCATTGTGCAAAAAATCTGCTTTATAGCTACAAAGTTTTATTGCATGACATTTAATTTTAGAAACTTCTACTGCAAAACATTTCAGGAAATGAAATCCCCTGTGAAAAATGATTATTTGAAATATGTACCGACTAAACATAAATCTATCAATGTATTATAATAATGCTATCGTAAAAACATCGTCAAAATGCCAATCTTGCTTTAACAGCATCTCTATTAAGAAATGGAAAGCTATTTTCATGCCCATAAGTTCATTACAGTTTGATTGCTATTGATGTATTAGTGAAATGAAAGTTTTCAATTAAATAAGCAAAATGTTGAGATAGTTTATTTCTGTTCTGTTTCACTTATATATCATGTCTAGTTTTAAATTATTCATGAGGAAATGCTTACAGTTCATGCGGGGAAAGTGTGATATTATAATATACAGTCTATGTGACAGTCTGATATCTTTCAAGTAACGATGACCCAGATATCTAAATCTTACATTCGATTATATCACTGCATTACATCGACCCAAATATTTAAATGTTACATAAGATTTTCTTTTGGCTTTGTCAACCAAAGTTTGACATGATCATTTCCTGCCAGTAGAAAGGTTTTTACAAAAACAATAATGATTATTTACATAAAGTTTAATGTACACGTAAAATATCAAATTGCTGTATACAGCATAATAGTTACATTAATCCATACGCCGATAATATCTAAAATGGACTCCAGAAGTTCAGACAATGATCTCGGAGCATTTGCCGGGTGATCTTGGTCTGTGCTGGTTGCATCCGTTGACACTAGCACACTGTGGGTTAATTAACATAAGTAATTGTTTGGTCCCATGCTTCTTGTACATGCCCTTTATCACCATCACTAGGGCATTATGACATGGGATACCAATACATCCTTTTGTATTATATATTTATGCTAATAAGCATAATATAAACTGTTACTGAAAAATTTCCTGTCATCCAAGGACAGATGGAGAGGAAGTCTATTCTTTAGTTTAACCTAGGATATCATGTAACATGTATATATTTGAATTAATTACCAGCATGTTAATGGCCTATAAAACACTTTTAACAATTGTCAAATAAATATATGGTTTGTACTTAGATATTAACATCTTGAAATTATTTTACTTCATATGGAAAGATAAAAACAGTTTAAAGCTGACGCCATTTTTTTGTTTTCTTTTGGAAGGAATAAATTTTACTTTTGATCATCTCTCCATATTTACCTGTAATTTAAGCAGGTGACAATGAAATATTCTTGGACAATGCAAAAGTGTATAAAGTATATAGCATTTAAAGCGTGGGGAGGAGCTCTGTGGACATTGGTTTATATCATTATATGTTCATTGACATTAAATCACTGGCCACTCAATGCTGTGGGTTTAAATCCTGCAGGACTTTTAAATTGTTTGCCATATGAGGAAACTTTAAAGCTAGCTTACAGAATGTATTGGGTTTTATTGCCTGAAAAAAAATCTATCCTGTTTGTTTGGGTTTTTTTATAATCAATTTAATTCTATGGTTAGGAAAACTTTGACAACCATAATTATAAGAATTATCGAACTGCCATGATATCCATGTGATATTGTTTCAAATTTTATGTTAAAATGAAAAAAATTACATTTTCATAGCGATTTAAGTTTGTGCAGATTGAATGATTGACAATGTTATTTGTTTGCTTGAAAATTTTTTATGTTTGGTTGTATCTGAGCCTCAAAGTGGATCAATTGCATTTGAAGTTAACAATCAGTTACAAAAAGTATGAAGTTTCCAAAATGAATTAACAGACATTTATAACTCTGCAAGATGTCAGCGTGAGGCATTGATCAGTTAAAATACTTTGATGTTTTTTAATCCAAACTCGGAACAAATTCCTTGATTAGTTGGTTACATTTTAGAGAAGAACAGGAAATATCCATGAACTTTTTAACGGAATTCTAATTGAAACAGTTTAAGACTCCAAAAAAACTTTTACGGTAATTACAGAAAAACTATTGATTTATTTAGAAATCAAGAACACAAATATAATTAAGGAAAATAAGAAAACTTAGAAGAAAAAGAGAGATTGTCTGATTGTGACAGTATGAAGGTAAAGAGATGGACAGAGACGGTCAACATAAGACAGTTAAATGACCATGGTTAATTACTGATGACATATCTTCCCCTGGTTCCCCGTTACTTTATTACGTTATAAAAACACACAGACATGACTCTTTTTTTACTTCGCATTGAATACTCTTAAAACACTTTTGTCATATAACTGTCAGTAATTTTTGTTTTTTGTCCACTAAATATAGTACTGTAGTAACAGTAGGTCAAAATGTGAATATTTTATGACAGGTTGAACTCTCTTATTTATTCGGACCTAGATCGTTAATGATAAGCTTGAGGGCCCCCATTTTACACCCCATTTTACCATGAGAAGGTGAAAAACATTTAAAGCGTGGGGAGGGGCTCTGTGGACATTGGTTATGTTCATTGACTTTACCAGCCACTCAATGCTATGGGTTTAAATCCTGCCTTTAGATGTTTTGACATATGAGGAAACTTTAAACAAGCTTACAGAAAGTATTGGGTTCTACTCCGGTACCTGTTTGTGCCTGAAAAAAAATCTGTCCTGTTTGTTTGTTGTTTTTTTTATAATCAATTTAATTCTATGGTTAGGAAAACTTTGACAACCATATAACAATTATTGAACTGCCATGATATCCATGTGATATTGTTTCAAATTTTATGTTAAAATAAAAAAATACATTTTCATAGCGATTTAAGTTTGTGCAGATTGAATGATTGACAATGTTATTTGTTTGCTTGAAAGAATTTTTTTATGTTTGGTTGTATCTGAGCCTGAAACTGAATCAATTGCATTTGAAGTTAACAATCAGTTACAAAAACTATGAAGTTTCCAAAATGAATTAACAGACATTTATAACTCTGCAAGATGTCAGCGTGAGGCATTGATCAGTTAAAATATTTTCATGTTTTTTAATCCAAACTCGGAACAAATTCCTTGATTAGTTGGTTACATTTTAGAAAAGAACAGGCAATATCATTAGCATGACAAAACTATTTAATTGAATTCTAATAGAAACAGTTTAAGACTACAGAGAAACTCCTAGAGTTACAATTAAAGAAAAGATTTATTTACAAATCCAGAACACTAAAATAATTAAGAAAACAAGAAAACTTAGAAGAAAACGACCAAGTGACTGATTGTGACAGTATGAAGGTAAAGAGATGGACACAGACGGTCAACATAAGACAGTTAAATGACCATGGTTAATTACTGATGACATATCTTCCCCTGGTTCTCTGTTACTTTATTACGTTATAAAAACACAAAGACATGATTCTTTTTTACTTCGCATTGAATACTCTTAAAACACTTATGTCATATAACTGTCAGTAATTTTTGTTTTTTGTCCACTAAATATAGTACTATAGTAACAGTAGGTCAAAATGTGAATATTTTATGACAGGTTGAACTCTTTTTATTTATTCGGACCTAGATCGTTATTGATAAGCTTGAGGGCCCATTTTACCATGAGAAGTGAAAGATAATAGTTTTATCATGCCTTAATGCAGAATCTTTGCTGTTTAAATGAATGAAATGGCCGGTCATTGACCATTTTTGACCACTAAAGTTGTATTACTGTAAAGGTAGTCTTGTTAGTGATTGTTTTATTTACTTGGTATTTGGCCTTAGTAAGGTTTGAAAGTCCAGAGAATGTATTGTCTTCATAAAAAAAAAAGAGAAAAAGATGAGAAAAAAAATAAATCTAAAATTTAATGAATTTACTCAATTTATGACAGATTGTATTTTTGAATGAAATTTGAAAGAGTTGCATAATTATGTAACATTAATCAAAATAAAAATGCTTACTTAATGATTAAGGTTTACAGTAAAATCGATGTTATGAAACTTTTTCTGAAAGGTCAAGTTTAATGTTGAAGTTTATTTATATCAGTGTTTCTTTATTTAGAATAAAAAAATGCTGCAGGTGAACTTTTATGTTGATTTATCTTTTTGATTGTTTTTCTATCTTTAAAATACATGAATAAGCTTAAATATTGCTTTTCATGATGAATTGGATTAAAGGTTTTTACACTTTGAATGCTTGCAGCAAAATAAGGTTACAGACCAGTGTCACCAGCCTATAAAGACAGGACAGTTTTTGCATTGTTGCAGTCCGACTGGGCTTTGGATCGTTGGCTTAGCAATTTTGAAATTATTATTTTATTACATACTTGAAATATAAAAAAAAAAGTAAAAAAAATATTTTTTACAATTTTTCATTTTTTGTATTGTTCAGCATAAACAGTGACTTGGCAGTAAGTTAAATTATGCCGCAATGGAGTTGTAATTCAAAAGTTACAATAAAGCATTAAAATAATGAATCTGCTTGCAACATAAAAGCTTTTTTTCTTCACTTTTTTTGGAAAATATTTCACCAGGACAAAAAAATTTTTTTTAAATGTTTGATTATATCTTGTTTTGGTAATGGTTATTCAGCAGAAAGAATTTTGCGCTATATTGTCATAATATATCTTAATATAACATGAAAAAAATCCCATTTGGGAATGAGTGAATTTGGTACAGTGACATTCACTTGGTGCCTTATTTCTCTGGAGTTCAGTTTTTTTGGCAAGCATAATATTCTTAGAATGTTGATATACACTTAGTTCATCCCTTAGGAACCAGCCTTTCTATGTCAATAGTTTTCTTTGGCTCCATTTACTGTGAAAATTAATCATTATAGGTAAAAACTGGAGACCATTTGTTACTTAAGTAGCATGGGAATGAAAGTTTATTTACAAACAATTACTCAATGTTTTGTAGGTGAAAATTGACTTGTCTGTCCCAGATATTGTATCAGGCTGACAATTCATGTAAATCTTACGCTGTAGTTTAATCAACTGAAGTTGAATCAGTTCAGTTAAGCAAGATTATAAAGTGGCGAAATTTTGATGAATGCCAAGATAAAAACTTCAAAAGAAAAAAAAAAATCACCTTTTAGGCTTCAACAGTCTTTGTTGATAAATTTGTTTAAGTACACCAATAAGTTGACTGAATGTTTGAAATCATTTAAATGTTAATATATCCTAGAGCCAGTGCTTGTAAGTCAAGTTAAATGTTATATAGTATGTGCACACAGATATGCTGGTGATTAATTGTTGAATTTTGTTTATATATTTTCAGGGTCACGTAGTTCTTACAGATTTTGGTTTATGCAAGGAAGGTATTGAAGGAATGGGAACAACAAATACATTCTGCGGAACACCAGAGGTATGCATAACTTCAATACTGTATATAGTAGAACATTGTAAACTGTGACACATATTGACCTTAAGGCAGTAAATGTATTTCCTTGGTGCATACTTGTATAAGAAATAATTCACAAAGCAGTAATTGGGAGTTAATTGGCCACCCATTACTACAAAGTTTCCATATAAGCTATTGTAGTATATGTGTAAAATCCTACATGTATGATTCCAAGACTTCTAATCCAGTTACCTCTCTGGTGCGGGTTCGATCCCCGGGAGATGCTTTGGTAGTTTAGCATGGAGGAAGGTAATCTAGTACTGGTGTAACTCTCCAGGAACGTTGGTTAGGAAACTACCCACCTATATGATTGAAATACTGTTGGGAAAAGGCGTATTTAATAACAAACAAACCTACATATATGATAATATATATGTGTATTATTTATATTGACTGCCTTTGAGACCTTGCTGGTCCTAACTTCCACAAATCCTGATTTGCCTGATAGGCAAGAATTGCATAAACAAGCAATTACTACTGTAAGAATTAACCTATTATGACTCAAAAGTGGTGAAGAATTAAATCAGGAAGGAAATACATCTTTTTTTTTTGGAAAAAAAAGAGTTTGTTATGCATCGGACATATTTCTTGTTGGGCTATATTTTGTACAGAGAATATTGTAATATTATATTGCTTCTTATCAAATGTTTTTTATTTACATTAAAACACATTGCTAGCCATGGTCTTATAAATCAGACAATATGTGTTGTGTCTAGTAGAGTTTATGCTAACATGCCAATATTTTAAAACCATTTGATTTGAAACATATTCTCTTGTTAGCAATAACTGTAAATACAGGCAAATGCAGTCAAGGTCACTATCAATTTTTTATATAGATCTTTTGTAAGTTTTAAGACTAATGATCGCTTTTTAAGTTTATAGTTAGTACAAATTTGGCATGGGTCATTAGATAATTGTAAAGCATTGATTGATAGTAATTGATCTTATTATATAGCTTATATCACGTCCTTTGTCTTGCTTACAAAGATTTTACTTTTTATGCAATATTATATGAAGTACAAGGGCACTTAATTTATTTTGAGTTTCTTATCGGAAAATGTTTGACGTCAATTGTGTTAGGATTTGACAGCTAGAGCGAATGACAGCTCTTATTATAATTATTATTAACAGGACATGAATTTTAAACAGCTATTGTGGTAATATAACTGAATAAATCCTGCTCACTAACATTTGTATGATGTCAACTCCTAATGATTATATTATAAGAATAAGAAATTACTTGTTAAAACTACTCTGCTCTTAAGTGGTCATAGTTTACCAAGTAAACTTTAAGTTGAAAAAAATAGTACCGAAATAACATAATAGAATAATGGTATCTGATACTGCCTTGTACTTAATTATTCATGTAGATATGATAATTATATTTCAGTATTTGGCTCCTGAAGTGTTACGTAAACAACCGTATGATAAGACGGTAGATTGGTGGTGCCTGGGGGCCGTACTGTATGAAATGATGTATGGACTGGTAAGTTCATAGGTCCTCATTTATGCTTATGAATTAATTTTCTTTACAAGCCCACAATTTGTCATAAACTGAAATGAAATTATATATTTTAACTTAATATCGTTCTTTAACGGCAGGTACAGTTTACCTACAGAACTTTTAGGCAGAAAAATCATAAATATAACAGACAAATCAATAGCATCTACTATATTTTTACTTTCATTTCTTTTAATTGTAAACTAACATGCTATTGTTACATAGCTAAATCAAACCAAACTGTGTTTTACTTGATTTAGAATCACTGCCCTCAACCTTTGTAACATTTTTCTGAACTTATATTAAAAATGCAATGTAAAATCTCCTTTGCAAATGACTTGAAAATGTTGAAGTTGGATTTGAACCACAAAGTGGTCTGCTAAATTTTGACATGTTTGCTGTTGTAGATTTTAGTTATATAGCTGTATATTTTGATATTATTTCCAGCCGCCATTTTATAGTCGGGACACAGCAGAGATGTATGACAACATATTGTATAAACCTTTACGTCTCAGGACAAATGTTTCTGCTTCAGCTCGATCATTGTTAGAAGGGGTATGTATTTATTTGAACGGTTTATTGTTACCTTTAACTAATATAGAAGCAGTCCAGTCTGATTGTCTGTGTAGTCAAATCAGGCTGTCCCCTGTTTCATGTATAATTTTAGCATTTTGATATGAAAGCCATACACATAAAAAGTAGGATAAGTCCTTTATACAAATATTATATAGCATTAGTGCTTATATCCAGTTGCTGGCAGTAACAATCGCAGGTCTATACCACCAGTGTAATGTTAGGTCAGTGTATATCTCTCACTATTTGATCTGATTAAGACCTATTTGATCTGACTAGACCAATTGTCGGCAGCTCCCTTATACTGTACAACCTTTATACAGCAACACCCTTTGGGAGACCAGCAATTTAGTTGTAGCCAAGAGTTGTTGCTCTAGTGAAGTTAAGTTTGTTGTAAAGTCTTTCTTTTGGAAAGGGTGGAAAAAATTGATAATGTTATTGTAAAGAGGTAATTGCTGTTCAGGGGGTTACTCTGCTGAGGTAACATTCACTCTGTACTCCTTCATATTAACAACAGACAATTCCAAACTCATTGCATAACACAAGTCCATGACACAAAAGCAGGAAGACAAGGTTGAGATAATTTGTCTGGCTTTTTGTTTACACATGAAATGGTTGTCCATCATAATAAGATTTGAGGGATTCTGTATTTGGAAACAGTTTTAATTAAAATCTAAATTCAGACAGGCCTACACTTCAGACTTATTAAAAAGACATGATATTCTAAATTAGGTAAACTCGGTAAAGTTTAAGGCAAAAAAAGTTAAGGTGTGTTTCAAACATGTGTTTAAATTAGAAAAATGTTGTAAACAGTCTACTTCTAACTTGTCTTTTCTATTTTTGGTTTGATTTTATGTTCTGAAAACTTCAAGGAAAACTTTTTAAAAAAATTCACAGTATTACATGTTGTTTAAAAGAATAACATCAGATTTTTTTCTGTGTAAAACTAATTTTAAGTTGTCACTGTGAAGTAGATAAATATTGTGTTAGGCAGTGTTTGACGTAGTTCAATTAAACATACATTGAATCCATGTTCATATATTCAAGATTGTTATTACATTTTGCATTGTTTAAATATTGGCCTTTTTGGCATTTGAAATAAATTTAATCTGTTATCTATGAAAATAATTACAATTACAATCTAAGAGACTGAAAGTGCAATGTTGGCTTTACTCAGATTATTGAAGATTCCGATTCTTGAACTTAGTTAATGACTCAAGCTAAATACCTTAAAATTTTCTGAATTGACTGATATTGACTGAAATACAAGGTACCACTTGCTATCAATAAAGCTATATATCTGTTGCAAAATTTTTTTTTTTTTACTTTTATCTACATACATGTAATTTGAATTTTGTGATGGTACTTTAACAAAGAGTTGGCGTCTGAATATACTGATAAAAAAAGCATAATGTTTTTTATACATTGTAATAATACAGTCTAGGAACACCCACATACACAAGACACCTGCCAGATTTCAATTTTAATTTATAATAGACAGTATGTTATTTAGTTTAATAATAATAAAAAAATGATAAAAAGCTTTAAAGGATTTATAATTAAATTCTGAAATTTATTATTATTACAGCTGTTACAAAAAGAAAAAGAACAGCGCCTGGGTGCCAAGAAAGACTTTCAGGAGATCAAGAGTCACAGTTTCTTTGGTGATATAAATTGGCAGGATTTAGATGCCAAGAAAATTGATCCCCCATACAACCCTAATGTGGTAGGTATTTTATATATATTATAAATTGGTTTTCAAGAGTATTAAATCAACAGATTGTCAGAGGTGTTGTGACCTAATGATCATGGTCCTTCTCTGAGTCATTTTAATGTTTCCTAATATGAAATCAGGACTTGTTAATTTTAAGAAATGAACTCTAAAGTGATGAAGTATATATTACCAAAAACTTCTTATATAATCTAACAAAGAGCAAAGTGTTTGTTCTCATAAATGTGTATTTTTTCACTATCTACATTCTGTCAAATGTGAAATCTGTATTAGCAGAAGGCAACACATAGTTTCTTTATAAACAAGATGATATAGATTTTGTAAATCAGACAAATCAAAATCAAGTTAAATAAAAATGTCCCTGTGGTGTCCCGTTATGATATAATTATTCATTTTAAGTAATGATATTGTTGGTTTATTTTATATTGTTTAATGTCTGCATAATAAAGTGATTGTTTTTGTACTTCATGAAAACAGTCTTTTTTTGTACTACATGTAGATCTATACATATTACAATTTCCCCTGTTTCAGAGTGGACAGTTAGATTTGCGGCACTTTGACCCTGAATTTGTTCGAGAGCCAGTACCAGGTATGTAGAATCAAATATGTTTCAGTAAATCTTTGTTCAACAAATTACTATTGCACATGAATTTATTTAACAAATTACTATTGCACATAAATTTATTCATTTAATCTATACCTTGAGTATAATGATAAGACAAAAATAGACAAAGGGAGACAATTTTATACATTGATGATAATTTTCAGTTTTCTTATTTCAGCTTCAGTTGGGAAGTCCCCTGGCTTAAACAAGATGGTTAGTGCAAGTGTTATGGAAGCAGACTGTATGTTTCAGGGATTTTCTTATGTCCCACCAGCAGAAGATGCATTTAGCTGAAAATATCTGGGACCAGTCTAATTTTGTGCCAGTCAGTTTTATTGCCAAAAATTAGAAAAACCAGTCTTACGCCTATGCAAAATTGTGCTAAAAGAGACAGCATTATGGGTAAAGTGACAATGACACTCTTTTGCCAAAGTGAGGCTCATGGAGTTTTAGTTTTAAAAGGAAAAGCATGAGAATCAAAATGATTAGCATTTTGTGATATTGACATCATATGTGATGATGCAGTTAGTTGTGTATATAGAAATGTTCTTATGCTGGTGAACAATGGACAGATGAGCAAACTATTGACAGATTTATGTTTCTTCAAACAACAGATTTATTTTTAAAAGTTAATTAGTCATATCATGATCAGATGGTTTTTGTTGTTGTTTTGTTTCTTTTACAAAGTTTTTCTGCATATTTTCCCTTGTGTTATGTTTTTTTGATATGCTGTGATTTTGTTTTAAAACTGAACTGATTGAAATCATAAATGATAACACACATAGTGTCAATGTCTTTCAGAATACATCAGCACACAAATCACTCATTGTTCATGTCAGAATGTAATAATCGCCTTTATAATGATACCAACACAAAACTTACATTCTGTGAGGCTCTCGTAAAAGCATTGTATTCAAACATGTATTTTATTATTACTATTACATGTAATTCTGTTAATTTTGAATAGAAAATACTAGAGATAATGATACAAGTGGAACAAACAATCAACACAGAATAAGTTTTATTTAAGTTTATTTAGTGATAATAATAATGATGAAATGAAAATATTAAATATTTTTTACCTTTACTAGAAAAAGTTTGGGGTTTTTTGTCAAAGAAAATTTACTTTAATAGACATTTTGTACGCATTTGACTGAGATATTATCATATCAGGTTTATATATCACCTACTATGTTTAAAAGTTAATAAGACAAATAAAGGAAATTCAGTTAAACGTTAGCAAGGATATCCCTTTTTGTCATTATTTCTATTGATTATCAAAACAGCTGTATTATGTGTTATGTTAACATATGCTGAATAATAATCTTCATGTGTTATGTTAACATATGCTGAATAATAATCTACATGTGTTCAAAATGAAAACATTTTAACATTTTTTGAAAAATGGCTGAATAATGTTCATGCATGGTGCTATTTTTAATGGCATTGTTCAGTGTACAAATGTTTGATTTAAAGAAGAATTAACTCACCTTTTAATGTTTTATTCTTAGCTAAATTGTTACAGTTTGTAAGTGCTTAATTAATAATTCTACTTGTGAATTAAAGATAGGGAAGACATTTTATATTATTGTCCACTTTTCTTTCTGGAAAATAGCTGATAAAATACCTAGGCATAGTTATGGCCCTTTAGTTTTTAAGAAAGGGAGGTTGATTATGACATTCCAGATTCATTCACATTTTGAAATACATTACATTCCTGAAAGATCATATTGTAATTATATTATTGTGATGGTAAACAATGTTTATGGAAACACATACCTCATTTTAAACTATAATGTTTTATTGTATATATAAGCATCACATTGTATCACATGTGTGTACTCGTGTAGTCATCATGTAATCATCATATAGTCATCATGTATCCAGTTTGTATGTGTGAAATCTGTATTACATGAATACATGGTTTTATATGGGAAAATTATGAGAAAAAAATTACATTTTAAATATTCTTCGTGCAAAAAAAATATAGATAGCATAATATATTTTATTTATAAAAAAACATTTTTTAATGAAAATTATCCCTTTTATTGCAATTCAATAATAGATTTGAAAGTATCTTTGGAAGACATAATTTTTTATAAATTACTTTATTAATTTTAATAAATTTTAAAAAATTATTTAAAATCTGTTTGTCAAAAATGGTTTTGTTCACAAAATGTAATATATGCCACTAGTTAGTGTGTGTAGTGGCTTGAGGGGGTTATATGTGTATCATCTTTTAAAAGCATAATTGTATTTGTTTAATTATATGTACATGTATGTATATACGTGTATCTTGTCCAAATACTTGCAATGCAAGCATATTGCATAGAGATGTACAACTAATTGTGAAGTTTTTCTGAAATTATCCTTATACATTTACATACAGTTGTTTGTTTCACACAAGAAACTAAGTAAAAACATCCATCTTGAAGATTTTTCAAGCTATTTGACTACAACTTTTTTGCAAAGTGGAACATAAAGCTTCGTATTGTTTATATGAATTATTGTAAAATCCATTTTTTTCAGTTAAATGAAAGTTTAGATATATTTATTTTATAGAAATTACATGTACCATAAGTTCAACAATGAATTCAGTGAAAGTCACCTTTGAAATGCATTAGGCTTCTAGTTGTGAGCTGTTACCCAAACTTAGTGGTTAGTGGTTAGACCAATGCTTGGTGCATTACTTGTAAAAAATGACAAAACATTGATAACATAACTTATGAAAGTTAATGTTTCTAGAGTAATTTATGCACAAATTTGGGGAAGTGTCTACATTCCAAACAACATGATGTTTTACATTGTTGGCCCTATAAATAGAACAAGTAAGACAATTGTGATTAAGGTATAACTAAACCAATACTCAGCATATTGTTAACGATCTGTTTGGATCTTGTATATATAAAAAGTTTTTGTAACAGTATACTGAATTAAAAAAAGTAAAAAAATATTTAATTAATGACCTTCATTTTCTTATACAAGTACCCATTTAGCAGCAGTAATGCAGTTATTTTTTTCCACTAGAGTTACTCCCCTTTATCTTCTGTGGTAGGGTCACATACCCATGCTGACCCTAAAATATTAGATGGAGAATTATAAACTGAAAGTAAAATGTTTTTTACTCAAATGCTTTTTTAGTAGGATATTTTATATTAAGTTTACGCCAAGCATTGATCCAATCATTCAACTTAGAATTTGAAAACCAGAATTTTTTATCCGATTTTATCACTTGCAGTGTTCAATTCCGAAATATTTTTTAGAACAAGGGTTATAATTTGTTTTATTTAACTTGTTGACCATTTTTAACTTGTTAATGTATTTTTAACTTGTTAATGTATATATTGTTATTAAGACAGTAGAGTATTATAAAATCTGTTGTATGATAAAATGAACAATGCCAGTCTCTCACTGTGTCAGAACTGGCTAAAATATGCTAGAAATAAAATTGATAAAACTAAACTGTTTGTTGTTTTCCTCTTATAGATATATATTATTAAAGTTACATTAAATAAATATGTAAAAATATATTGCCGTCGGCCTAAAAAACAAGCATTATACAGTTTCATAAACCTTTTTAACAGTTATGTTGTAAATCTCATCAAATATTGTTCATAAATTAGGATTTTAAACGGAAAACCCCACGGTAACACTAAAGTTCGTATACGAATTTTAACATGCAAATGAAGACTATAATCAGTTCGTGTATGCGCTACGTCACATTGTTATAGTTGCTATCCGGAACACAGTAAATATGAGATTTTCTTGTGCAAACACACTTTAACCGTTTTAACTTCACGGTGCACTAGGCCTGTGGTTCAGAAAAAAGTAATCATCTCATAAAAAGGATTAAATTTGTATGAAAACATCCGTTACAATGCGGAAATATACCGTTAGATTAGAACTGCTGCACATAGTCATGTTTGTTGATTTAATATTGATGTACGGATGAACCGAGGGCGGAGTTTCTCATGCAAATAGAAATAATTATTATTGTACTTCCGATTTTGCCACAATGAGGTTGCCCATTCTTTATGCTTATAAAACTTATTTTGGTTGTCTTAACACCAAAATAAAATCTGGAGTGGATATGAAACCCAATTTATTAATAAAATGTCGCCATTTCTGTTTTATGAAATTTATTTAATGTAGCTTTAATTTATATGAATTTTAACAGTTAACTTTAATTTTTTAAAGCACGAGTGTTGTTTAGTTTTAAGCTTTAATACCTCAAGCTTTAATACCTCACTAAACTAAGGTAATAGACTAACCTAGCCTTCATGAAGGATTTGTCTATTTAAAACAAGAGCTGTCAGAGGACAGCAAAGCTCGACAATCCGAAAAAGTTGTTGCAAGGGAATTTCATTGAGTATAATAATGCTTACCTATATGAATACATAAAATTGTCCTAAAAAGGTACAAAGACTTGTTACAAGATGTTTTATCCGGTAAATCACTGCTTTATTATTATGAATGCATAAAAGTGTCACAAAAAAAGGCACAAACCCTTCAGTAGTTATGGAGATACCAGCTTACATGCAAAAACTTAACTAAGAATTCCTAAGTCAAAAAAGGGGCATAATCAGAGTTATTGGAATTGTGCCAATCATCTTAGATAATCACAGAGAACAAGTGTGTGAAGATTCAATCCATTCCCTTCAGTAGTTACAGAGATACCAGTTTAAATGCAAAAATTATAAGTCGAAAAAGGGGCATAATTATGCAAAAAAAAGCAAATCAGAGTGATAGGACTTGTGCCAATCATGTTAGATAATCACTGAGAACAAATGTGTGAAGTTTCAATCCAGTCCCTTTAGTAGTTATGGAAATATCAGCTTACACGTAAAAGTTAACCACAGGGACGCTGACACCGACAAATGGGTGACTGTATTAGCTCGATTATTCTGCAAATAGTCAAGCTAAAAACCAGATTTCAGCAGTAAAACCCTTCAAATGGTTATAATGAAATAGCAATTGCATGACCTACATTTCAGAGCAGGCACTGGCAACTGTGCAGTGCTCCCACTACAAATAAAGGGGTTGTTAGAAGACCCCTCTCCCACAAAACTAAAACTTAAAATCATTCAGTGTGATGAATGCCCTATGAGTGCTTTGATGAAGAAAGGGCAATGAAATGTTCTATATTTTTGAGGTGTTAAGACTAGGAAGGTAAGGCAGTTTTCAAATTTCCATCTAATGATTTCTAATCCATTTCATTGTTTCAAGATAAGCTCTGAACAAAATTAGAATTTTGGATTAATCTTAAAAGTTATAATTACAGCTAATAAAGTTTCCAGTAAATCCCTTGTATAGCTTTTGAGTTATGCTCAAGACAAGAAAATTGCAGAGAAGGGAGATGATCCAATAAATTAGGACCAAGTAAAGTAATGAACCTGATTGTTCATACTAATTGTTCTTAGACACTGAATTTTACATTGATATTTCATGGGTGCAAGCTAAAAATATCAGAAAACCTGAAAACCCGGAATTTAGTATTACTTCAATTGGTTTTATATAGAAAATAGAGAGCTTTCAAGAGAAGAAAAAACCTGAAGTTCAGGCAAATGCCTGAAAACTTGTACCCATGAATTATTTTAGTTTGACATGAATTTTAGCTCAGTTGTGAGGAAAGCTGAAAACTAATAGTCAGCTTCCTGGAGCTTACAAATACTTTTATATGCAAAAACATGGGTCATGACCCCAGAAGTGCTCAAACCCATGATCCCTGTGTTGAGAAGCAGACAACTGGGTCATTGCTTTCCTAAGACTGAACTTTCAGCTGATATTTTTCACTTTTCATTTATAAACATTTTTGTGGTGTAAAAGGTTTTCTTAATAATATTATGGATAAAGCAAAGAATGTATTATACATTTACTATTAATTATATTCTTGTTATTTTTTTCCAAACCAGTATCAAATAATTTGGGTCTCATCCAAGAACTTGCACCAATAATATTATCATTATCTCAATCTTAATTGCATTAATGAAAAGACAAAAAGTTTTTTTTAATTTTTTTTTTTTGAGAAATTTTGACCCTACCTCCATGAAAGATTTTTATATATTACAATAATTATTTAACACATGTTAGCAATAACATTTACTTTGATGACCATGACCCTATGTTGGTCCATTGAAAGGAAATCCAGTTAGCTTTCAAAATAAGCTACTGTCTTAATACAAACTTACATGCAAATATTGTTCCTAAATAAGTTGTAACTCTTCATGCATTTTTTTACAGCCCTTTCACCTTTTTCAACTTCCACTTAAGGAATACAAAAACTTTTGTTGCGAAAATATTGTGTCCGATGACTTAACTTCATCTCACTCAATATATAAACTTGAAATATAACACTCAAGTGGTTTCATTTGATCAAGTTTTTTTCATGGAATTACTTTATAACATCCGAAACTATATAGCTGTATACCTATATCACTTATATATTTTTTTTCAAAGTATCAATTACCACACAGTTATGAAAATACTCAATTCAATTACCTCCCTTTTATTTAAGCATCCACCTTCATAATTGCATGGCTTTATGCAACTCTTCCTCGGCAAGTAAAATAAAAACCAATATTGTAAATGTAATATTATTTGCATTCACATCACTCTATTGCTAACTTTTCTAAGCTAGAAATCTCTTAACTGTATTACAATATAAGAAGGTAACATTAATGCATTATAAGCATCTGTATTACAAGGCCAGTTTATAAAATATTTTTTTTTTAAATATTTTTTTAAATGTAACTTAATCCAATATAACCATCAAATTGTGAACTTAACAATAATTTGGATTTTTTTAAGTGGGGTGCAGATACACAAATAGCAGATGATATACAGATAAATGACCTATATTTAAAAAGAAAAGAAAAATATATTTAAATTTTAAGAAATGTATGAATCCTCATAATTTAGATGAAACTTTGGATGCATTATCTAAAATATGACAACATTAGCAATGATTTATTTCTACACTGTTACTATTGTCCAAGATAAGGAGAATTTTCTTCATACTTTCACAAGTTATAGATTATTATTGTAAATAGCAAGTGTAAAAAACTAAATTAGAATTAATTGACACATATACAAATGAAATACACATAATTCAAAGATTTTTAAAATAAACACAAATTTTGAGGCATGCTGATTTAAGATGTGGTTTTAGACATTTCTGTTCGAGTGGTTTTTTACCATTTCCGTTCGAGTGTTTTTTTTAAGTCATCAGTATTCAAATAGAAATAGCATTGAATTTGTTCATGTTGTTTGTACAGAATTTATTTTAGTTCCATAGGAAGCTTAGAGTAGCTTACAGAAATACTTTCAAATCTGTTCCCGAAAACTAAACTGTAGATCTAATGAGCAATGAGTAGTTTCTTGCTCAAGGAAATAACCTTTTAACCCTGACAGGCATTGAATTGTTAAATGTATATACTAAACAATATAAATGTCATTGTTTTGTAGCCATATACTCTACTAATCTATGTTGTTGATTTTATACAGTCCTAAAGTTGAACAATAAAATTGACCAGTGCTTGCCCTCTGGAGTGATATAAAGAATATTAGTACAAAATAACACAACATAATTATGGCCTATAATTTATACTCAAGACAAACCCCTTCAATATGCATATTAAAAAAAAAAAGAAATACAAAGACGAAATATAATTTTTTCTGTGTTTTAATATAACTGAAACAAAAACATATTTCCATATGATAAGACTATTAGAATACAAGAGCCATATATACAGCCATTTTCTTTAACTACATTTCATTACAACCATTTCAACATATAAAACCCAAAACAAAAACTGTCTATCCGCAGTAAACCAGTCTAAAAGAATTATTGAATCAATATTTGAATAAAAAAAAGTCTTGGACCCAGTCTATTTAACAATAATAATATTTCAAGAATTCATGTCATTGTGTAATTGTTCACTTTTATTGATATATTGCACACAAATTATATGCCGTCTTTATTATCCACATAATATTAAATTTATGTTTAATAATAAGTTATAATCTAGGCAAATATGATCCTTCATATTCTGTTCCTGCATAGTGCTGCAAATATTTTTTAAATTAAACACCAAAAAGCACAAACAAAATCCTTTATAAATCTTGGAAGAAACCATTCTATGTAATGCAGATACATACATTTACCCTACACAGCTGGATTTGTACAATGTACATGTCCTTGGAATTTGAAATTAAAAGGATTTCATTATCATAATAATTTATGAACATGTACTAAACTTAGCCTCCAACAGTATAATAGAGCCAAGTCAGACTGCAGGGACGTATAATACACCGGTACACTGGTCTAATATAAAGACTTGCAGTTTCAATTCCAGGATTGTAACAGTTAAACTAAATATACACATACAAAAATGGCACTTATGATATACATTATAAAACTGAAATTATTAATATACCTAAATTCCTTCTTGCTAAATCGACATCAATGTATCTTACAATAACAATAGCTGTCGGTAGGACAGCAGGCTCGACTATTCTAAGTGCTTGATAGTAAAGGAGCCTTGATAATGTTAAATTTTTTAAGTTCACAAAAGGGCTAATTTTTTTTTATAAATTCATGTTATAGGCCTTAGAGAGAGTCTAATTATACAGTATTGGCTTGACTATTCGGAAGGTAATGTCACAAGGGTGTTTTATTGAGTATAATAATACTTATTACCTATGAATACATAAATTTGACAGAAAAGGTACAAAGGCTTGTTATTAAGATGTTTTATCAAGTAAATCACTGCTTTATTATTATGAATGCATTAAATTGTCCCAAAAAAGGCACAAACCCTTCAGTAGTTATTTAGATAACAGCTTACAAGCAAAACTTTACCATGAATTTTTAAGTTAAAAAAAGGGAGAAAAATCAGCCTAAATGCAAGATAGAATTATGGATCTTTGTCAGTGACCTACAATTATGACCCTAAATGCATATGTGAAGTTTTAAATAAATATCTTTAATAGTTATTGAGATATGTAAAACTTGCATGTAAACATTAACCAAGAGACTAAGTAGAAAAGGGGATATGAATCAGCCTTAATGCAAGATAGAGTTATGGAAATTGGTCAGTGACATACAATTATGACCCTCCAATTATGACCCTAAGTGCATGTGTAAAGTTTCAAGTAAATATCTTTAACCTTTAACCAAAATTTCTAAGTTTCAAAGGGGCAAATAATTCTGCAAATATTGCAGGCAGAGTTCTGCAATTTTGCAAACTGATGTCCATTGTTACTATAAAAAAGTATTTTAAATTTCAATTGAATATGCCAAGCAATAATTGAGATATTGTACGCAACTTGTCAACCTGATGTCACGGGGGGGAATCACGTGACTTTGTATAGTAATACCCACGAGAAAATGGCGACTGCTGAGCCCCGGTAAGTACCTTATTATGTTAAATTAAGGTGACAAACGTTTCTTAAATCAAAACAAAACCTAGCGTATCATATGCGCGTTAATTTTCTTCAAATGGCAATACAAGATGCATTATCCTACGTTTTGTGGTTTTTGAGAACATTGTTTGAATTGTGTGAAAATTGCACATTCAGCGATAGTAATTCGCACGAAGCGATATAATTTGGTACCAAAATAAAGGAAACTAAGCCTTCTTTTTGCACTTAAGACACCAAATCAATCATTTTATTGACATCTGTTCTTGTAGAATTCCATATAAAATTTTGTTCGAAGGTCTGCAGCCTACAAATGTTCTTTACAAGTGTTTAGTAAGTAAAACGAACAATTTCTGGATAGTAAGTTACACGAAAACAAAATAGTAAGTTTCACGCACAGTTTCCAATAGCATACTAAAATGTGACGAAACTATTTTATAATTATTTGGTTTCAAATTTGCAAGTGTGTTCCGTCTACGGTGACAGAGAAAAAAATATCGAGAGAGTATTTTAATAATTATTCATATTATTTCATAATACATGTATTCATATTCATATAATTTCATAAAAGATTACTTAACTTAAAAAAAAACTAAATTGACATTGATACTCAATAATGTATGTTACACTTGGCCCCTTTTCACGTTAGACTGGACCCACATCCGTTATCCTTAGAACTAGCTATATAAAGAAATAACTGTACAGAAGGAAATATTACAACACCATCATTTACTTTTCAGTTACCTGCAATTTGGACCAAAAACGCAAAGGAGAAGAACATTCGCCATATCACATTGATATTTAATGCCATCATAAAACTGGTTATACCAAGTTTTTATTAAATTTATTCTTTTATACACTGGCAGATTTTATAAATAAACCCAAGAAGTTTTGTTAAAACGTTATGTTTTACTATACGCTTATTTTCTTATCATGTGCAAATGTGTTGCGTCGTAAACTCTTACTTTTTATGATATTCAGGGCGTCCATGGCCGAGTGTTTAATGACCCTGATTTTTATACACATGCTTCTCACCGCTATGGATTATAGTCCGACCAGAGTCCTTGAATTCTTTCATCAAACTAGCTAAAAAAAAACATCGGTGCTTTTAGCTCAGGTGTCCCGACATTGACGGTGTGATTTGAAACCCAGCATCTAAGATTGTTTTATGTAAATATTTTTTTACTCCACTTGCCTTCACTCTAAAAAGTGTAAATATCTTTGACCGTTTGATTTCAAATATTCGTTTTTCTTTAAAGGTCAATTATGCCTCTTAAATGATATCATTTTTATTTTTTTAAAAAATTCTGTTTATTTTTGGTATCTTGTTACAGTTTCCGAAAAACATACTCATTTGCTAGATACTCAAACTACCTTTTGCATCTTTGGTTCTGTTGGAAAATGGTATACCTTTAGTGAATAAGTATTTCGTATGGAAGTCAAACTACATGTACTACTTTGTTACATTTTGCTACCTTAACGACACATCACTTAATGTTCAGCGCTACCTTTTTCAGCTGTAATAAAATTCTATCATGCGTTTTATCCATTATTTAAACATTATGAAACACATGTTTGACATTTCTAAAGAATTAAAACAATATGGATTTCTGAGGCACAATGTGCCTTAATCATAACTTGTATCACTGTATCATTGTTTTTTTTTTTTTTTTTTTTTTTTTTTTTTTTTTTTTTTTTTGTTTTTTTGTTCTTGCGAATTCTTCAATATATTTTCATAAATTAAGTAACATAGTGACTAAATGTAACAATTACCGCCATATAAAAACATCAGCATTCAGTTAATAAACCATCATCACCGTACCAAATAACAAGCAATTATATTTGTTTCATCTTTTTTTTTCTAGAAAAAAACTTACAGTAACTATGAGTTCGGCAAAGACACACCTGAATGTCAATAAAATGATTGATTTTGTGTCTGCAGAGGTCAATTTTTCCTTTTATTTTGGATTATATCGCTTCGTGCGAATTACCTATCGCTGAAAAAGTGCAATTTTCAAACCAATTCAAACAATGTTCTCAAAAAACCACAAAATAGGATAATGCATTTGTATTGTCATTTGAAAGAAAATTAACGCGCATAGATACGCTAGTGTTTTGTTTTGATTTAAGAAACGTTTGTCACTTAATTTAACATAATAGGTACTTACCGGGGGCTCAGCAGTCGCCATTTTCTCGTGGGTATTACTATACAAAGTCACGTGATTCCCCCCCGTGTGATGTACATTGTTACTATAAATAAGTATTGTAAGTTTCAATTGAATATGTCAAGCAATAATTGAGATATTTGACTTTACAAAAACTCTAACCAAAATTTCTAAGTTAAAAAGGGGCAAAATTCTGTCAATATTGTAGGCAGAGTTATCCAACTTGTCAACCTGATGTACATTGTTACTATAAATAAGTATTGTAAGTTCAATTGAATATATCAAGCAATAATTGAGATAATTTGACTTTACAAAACTTTAACCAAAATTTTAAGTTAAAAAGGGGCAAAATTCTGTAATATTGTAGGCAGAGTTTATCCAACTTGTCAATCTGATGTACCTTGTTACTATAAATAAGTATTCGTAAGTTTCAATGAATATGTCAAGCAATAATTGAGATATTTGACTTTACAAAAACTTTAACCAAAATTTCTAAGTTAAAAAGGGGAAAAATTCTGTCAATATTGTAGGCAGAGTTATCCAACTTGTCAATCTGATGTACCTTGTTACTTTGAATAAGTATTGTAAGTTTCAATTGAATATCTCAAGTAATAATTGAGATATTTGACTTTACAAAAAACTTTAACCAACGCAGATGCTGACGCGACTACAATAGCTATCATATTCTTCGAATAGTCGCGCTAAAAATTATTAAATTTTATATAATAAACCTATTCCAATATTGCTCTTAAAATACATTTAAATCAAACCCTGAAGTAGCACTTTTATTTACCTGATTATTTAATATCAATATTATGTTGTAACTAAAGGTTGGACATGAAGTGATTACAATGCAAGACTCAAGTAGGCAAAATGGTTACTAACTTGACAAAAGTTTATAAATAATATGAATAGACAATTAAAATCATCAAATATCAAACAAACATGACATTCTTATAACATGTTTTTCCATTTTAACAAGTTTTCACCAATGTTGCTCGCTTGATGGAAGTTTGAAACCACTTCAAATCATTCCCCTTATAACAGTTCTTCATGATTTCATTTTATTTGCTACATTTCCATAAAACGTCTTAAATTGCAAAAGCAACCAACAAAATTTAAATTCAAGTATTTTTATAACTTCTTTTATAAAAATTACTATTCTAAATAATGTCTTCATGATAAATTACATGAAATTCCTAACTATAATTGTGTACCAACATTAATAAATAATAACCATTATTGAATAGCAATCAAATGTCCCATTTGATTGTCCCAATTACAATAATTACTTGCAGGTTACATTTATATTGGCAATAATTTATATTTTTTTCCTTAAGTCTTTGAACAGCAATTAAGGCTGAAAAAAGCAATAAAAAATCATTAAATTTACCATGAATTAGTTCAATTACGACCTAAATATATAGATCTATTTAAAGGGAAGTAACTACGCTAAGAATGTACTTAAGACTGTTGTTGGTATGTAACATGCTGGACAGGTGTTACAGTGTGTGCAAGACTAACTACATTCTTAATATCCTGTGGAGTCAATTGGACAGCTGTGGCTCCATGTGGGTGCTGTATTGTAACCACACCCTTAAATTCTGCCTGATTTAAATTCAAAATATTGCCACCACTGACAGAGTTATATGCCCCTGCTGGTACAGCCGGTATAATTTGTGCGGTCTGACCTTGAGAAATGTCTACATTTAAAGCCTGCAGCTGTTGAAGTGGTATTGTGCCAGTATTATTAGTTGGTAAGTTTTCAAGAAACCTTAACGTTTCCATGTAACTAAGTAACCGTGAGTCAACAGGATTTGCCATCAACAATTGTGTCTGATTATTCTGGTCTGAAACAGAAACATTTGACTGACCCATGTTTGCAACTGGTTGCGCTGTGGCAATTTGGTATTCAGGAGGTTGTTGTAATGCAGCAGCAAGACCATTAGCACGAGTTAGTTCTATTGCCTGTGTTTCAATCTTGCCAACTGATAGCATTGTTTGGTGTTGTTGTGGTTGAGTCTGCTGTAGTTGGATATGCTGTACTTGCTGTTGCTGCTGTTGTTGCTGTTGGTGATGATGATGTTGTAGATTGGACGGATTGCTCACTGCTGTTATGAACATATTGCTTTGTAACTGCTGAGCTATGTGTTTATATTCAACATTTGGTGAAACCTGAATCTGACGAACAATAGTTTGCTCTGGTTGAGAATTATGAAGAACATATCCCTTTTCATTAATCTGGTACTGCATAGGCAAGGTAGAGTGTTGGACTGTCGGCATTCCTGGAGGTGGCTGAATGCTATTCATTGAAGCTGCAGCAGCTATTTGGTTAGCTTGGGCTTCTTGTTGTTGATGGTGTTGTTGCTGTTGCTGTTCTTGTTGTTGCTGAGCACTTGCTGCAGCTGCAGCCTCATATAGTACTGCAGGTATCTGTATATCTCTAGCTGCACCATGATTACCAGGTGTCTGACTTATGGCATATTGTAGGTTTTGAAGAATGGTTGCAGATGTAGCAGACATATTACCAGATTGGCTGGCTGCAGCAACACTACTCATCAATTGTTCTTGTAGGTCATCAGGTTGCATTGTAGGAATGGCCATTTGTAATGGCACCATTGTTGGTTCTATTTGTGTGTAGATCTGCCTCTCCCTCTTTTGTTTTGATGGAGAAGCCGTCGTGCTGTCTCCAGTACTTCTCCTTTGTCGCCCTGATGTTTGATTATCGCCTGTATGTGTTGTTCTTAAATGACGAGTCAAGTGATCCTTTCTACCAAATCTTTGGGGACAAAATTGGCAGAGGAAATCTTTCTTTTTGGTGTGAGTAATCATATGTCTTTTTACATCTTTTCTAGTGAAGAATTTTTTTGAACACTCAAAACACTGATGCGTTTTTTCAGTTGCATTTTTAGCAGCTCTTGCACCAGTATGCACTTTTAAATGAAACAGAAGTTGTTCCTTGTTTTCATAGTTTTTCTTGCAAATACCACAAGAAAGAGTTTCACCTCTATCAGCAGCATGGAAGGCCATATGAGTCCTGTATGAAAAACTATAGGAATATTCCTTCCCACACAGTTCACATTTCCAGATTTTCTTATGTGGATCATGAGTTATCATATGATTTTTTAAATGATCTTTACGATTAAAACTTTTGTCACAATATGAGCACTTATGATGACGTGGACTAGTGTGTATCAGTCGATGACGTTCTAGTTTAAACTTTGACAAGAATCCTCGTTCACAACCTTCAACATCACATATAAAAGGTTTTATACCAGTATGTGAATAAACATGTAAATAATAGGCTGCCTCAGCTTGAAAACTTTCACCACAATGTGGGCAAGGCGTAGGTGCTTTGGAAGACTTTGGACCTCGTTTCTTTTTTGGTCTATCTTCAGTGATAACAAGTTTCTTTTCCTCAAACAATGGATCGTCATCATTGTTAGCATAACTTTGATCCTCAATATCATTATGACTATCGTCTACATCGTCATCATTGTCATCATCAGGCAAGATGTGATATGGATTGTCTATTTCTAATTGAAATTGTTGTTGATTTGTATGATGCTGGGGCTGTTGTTGGGACTGTTGTAGTGGTTTTTGCTGATGCATCGGTTGGACAGTATGCTGTACGGGAACTAATATCACATTATGTTCAGTCTTAACAAACTGCTCTTCATTCTTTACAATGGCAGCTTTTGTCCTTGGTCGACCTCGACCTCTTTTAACGGGTGGTGAGGTTACATTTGTGTCAGCACTCGTACTTATGTCAATGTTTGCCTTTACCTCTAAACCTTGCTGAGATTCCTTAACTTTAGTTTTCTCCATTTTTGCTCTCCATGTTTTTGTAGGTTTAACATATTTCCTTGGGCGTCCTTTCCGCCTAGCTTTGATTTTGCTTACACAAAAATGGTTTTCCATTTCTTCTTGATCAGAAAACTTCACTTCACACTGAAGGCACTGCAGTTTATTGTCATCAACTACAAACAAACATAAATAATCATTATTTATCACATATAGTGTTTACTACAGATATTTCTATATTGTGATTCACTGGTACTGATACTTAATTACTTCCTAAGAAAAAGTACTGGTACTGCAGTACTAAGCTAAAATCTAGTACTGGTACTGCATAACTTAGCAAGTAATGGTTCTTAAGTAATACACCCTTAGTACTGATGCAGCTCTGATTGTGAATATAATTTGACAGACACATTAAAAAAAATGCTTTCTATTCAAAATCAGTCAAATATGTATAAATACTTAATTCAACTTCAAATTTTTATTGCAATTAAGCATATACATACCATAAAGTAAAATAAAACTTACATGTAAACATTGTAAAATACACATGTAAACATGGAATTTTCAAGAAGATAAGATATACAACTATCTAAAATAATAATAATTGTACAAAATTTTTGCAGTTATTCTTAATGAAATTAAATACTATTTTTTAGCTTGTTTTCATTTTACGCCTTTCCCAACAGTATTTCAGTCATATAGGCGGGTAGTTTCCTAACCATCGTTCCTGGAGAGTTACACCAGTACTAGACTACCTTCCTCCGTGCTAAACTACCAAAGCATCTCCCGGGGATCGAACCCACGCCAGAGAGGTTACTGGATTAGAAGTCATAGACTCTAACCCCTCGACCACGTAGGCGGTCCTAGAAATGGACAGTTCTGTAACTTACACTGTCTGATAACTGGTTCAGTTGAAAGCATCCCTTTATTTATAGATTTTGCATAATCTTTCGAGTACCACACCTTTAACTCTGTGTTTGTCTGTATTGGCTGAAATTCAGTAAGTATGCAACTATATACAAGACTGTAAAAGCTGTTTTGGTAAACTTTCATAATAATCAACAGGAGACACTTGATTGGGTGTTGGTGATGGTGTCTGTCAATAAATTGTACTTGAATGAAAAATATTAAACATAATGACTGTATATACAAAAGGCATAAAGCTCAATACCATTTACTGTTCTCCCTTATCAACATTTTACTGAAACCTTAAAGAAGTTAAACTGTTTCTGGAAAAAAACTTTCAAATGCCTATACTTTCACAATACAGTAAAAACTAAGCCCTAATAAAAGTGAACTATAACCTCATTTTCAACATAGAAAATCATTGTTACACTTTCCAGTCTTCCTTACCTTTAAAGACACAAAATAAATTTGGCCATCTTCTTGGTATGCAATGAGGTTTTGTTCTTTTACAGATGTTGCTGGTCGCACAAATATCATCCAGTTAGAATGGTCCTCATCAGTAGTATCATACAACTCGGCACACCCATCATCTGTTAGCACCTATAATCAGCATAAATTATTATGATAAGGAAATGATTCAAACAAAGTTATTTTTTAACTTTTAAATTTACCACTTATCATCATAACCCTTGTCCAGCTGTATGCTTTACATAAATCATTGCTGTTCATATATTCACGGAACACGAGGCTATTTCTAGAATTATATGCATGATCAAATATGATGTTTTCATTAACACAAAATAGAGATCGAAAATGCCACTTGTCCGCTAGTAATTAAAATTTGTTGCAGGACGAGCACAAAAAGTTGCCTGCACACCTGAAGCTACTTGTCCTGCTCTGAAAATATTATTTTAGGCCTGCAAAAGCAGTATGAAAACCATATTGGGAAAATTAACAAGAGCTGTCCGTAAGACAGCGCGCTCGACTTTTTTATTGCTTGCCAATAAAAAAAGTTTTTGCAGTAAAAGGCAATACAAGAATCTCTGTATTTTTAAAGTGAACAATGGCCATGAGCATTAAGATATTTAGTGAAGAATTATTTTACTGAATTGTGTGATACCCTTGAACACTGCAGCAAAGTTTGAAATGTTTAAGTCAAAAGAGGGCTGGTAAGAAAGAAAAAAAAACTAGTTGTTTGATACCCTTGAATATTACAGCAATGTTTATATGACATAATTTATGGTAAAGTGAACAAGTGGATAGGAATGAATTTTTTTAGATTTTTTAAGTTTTTTAGTGCTTGCCTATAATACAAAACATTGACAGTTAAGGGCCATAATTCAAATAAAATCTTTGACAGAATTACCTTCTCCTGGACATGTTTGGGAATCATGATTGTAAACAAGTATTCCAACTTTCAAATTAATATCTCAAACAGTTCAGTCAAAAAGTGGACTGGTACTAAAAACTTAACCAAGATTCTAAGTCGATAAAAGGCCTTAATTTTTAAAACAAATCCTTGACAGAGTTACCTTCTCTTGCGTACAGATGGGGGTAATGATGTGAAATAGCATTAAAAGTTTCAAAGCAATATCTCAAAGGGTTAAGGCAATAAGTGGATTTTACCCATATTCAATGTATTTTCTAAGTCAAAAAGGGGCATAATTCTGTCAAAAACCTTGACAGAGTTATGTCCTCTTGTCTGTTGATGAAGGTCGTGATGGTAAACAAGTATGGTCAGTTTCAAAGCAATACCTCCAATGGTTTTGAAATAAAGTGAGGTGGTACAAAAAACTTAACCAAGCTCAATACACTTTCTAAGTCAAAAAAGGGCCATAATTCTGTCAAAAACCTTGACAGAGTTATGTACTCTTGTCTGTAGATGGAGGTTATGATGGTGAACAAGTATGGTAAGTTTCAAAGCCATACTTGTAATACTTCTGAAATAAAGTGGGGTGGTACGAAAAACTTAACCAAGGTGTGACGCCAACGCCGACGCCGACGCCGGGGCGAGTAGGATAGCTCCCCTTTTCATAGAAAAGTCGAGCTAAAAAATTAAATTTTTAAATAACAGAAATGCATTTAGAAATCATCCATAGCTTTTATTATAGTTCCTGTTCCTATATACAGTAAATTCTCTCTATTAAGACCACTAACGGGTCTGACTCAAAGTGGTCTTAATAGTGAACTGGTCTTAATAGTGAATAAGTCACTTTAACAGCTGACGAAGTCCAACTTAACTTAATGTATACCTTGTATAGTTTTATGCACATGGTAAATGTACTTAATTAAATGAGTAAAAAGAAACACATTTTTTTAAACAAAAAACATTTTTAATGCATGATAATAATTATTATACTGTACATCATTAATATGATGAAAACATTAATTTACGACTTCCACTTAAGAAGAAAAATATGAGGTATTAATATAGTATGACTCTCATTATGATTTATACATTAATTACTAGCGAAATAAAGCACACATGAACTGATAATTTGGTGTAATTAGCAATTTTTACCATACTTGCTATAAATTGTGATGCACAACAAACAATTTTACATGCTATTTACTTGTTTATCACATCCTAATTACGCTGACAAATTAATCGTTCTCGCACCATAGCTGCTTAGATTTATTAGCCAGAAGTGGTATAAACTGATCATGTTGACGCTTGAATGCTAAAGATACATGGTAAAGCAAGCGTCTAATCAATTGATGTATATTAATGACCTCATTTGACCCGGTGTATTTGTTTACGCCAGAGGGAAGATTAGGACAATCAATTGGGGGGCAATTAACACGCATGGTCGTTATACAGGTTAATGTTTTGATAAGAAATACACACAAATGTCTGGCAGAAGTGGTCGTTATGCCGGATTAGAGACGTGGTCGGTATACCGGTCATTTTTCTCAATGAATAAAGAAGGCAAATATTTTGTACTTTTAAAAAGTGCCCGTAATAACGGCGTGGTCCTATTTGTGACGTGGTCGTTAGGTGGCATTTTACTGTATTACTGTTTTATTTACCTTAAATTCAAATGACATGTCTTGTTCCATACTATCTTCTAGCTCTGTATCAGAGGTAGCATCTGTCGCAGTACTGTCACTAACATTAACATTGGATGTGTCACCAACTCCAGAATCCTCAGTTGATTGGCCATCAGCCTCTATGGGCGGACCTAACAATAAACTGCCGCCCGATTGGTCAGTTCCAACTGAATGTTGTAATTGAGTTGCAGCTACAAAATCAGCAAAGTTCAAGTGTTGCTGGACTGATGAAAAGTCTGGATGTCCGCCATATGATGGATATTGCTGGGCTAATGAGTGCAGATTTTCCTGTGTAAGTTGAATACTATTGGGTGTTGATGGAAACCCAATGGACTGTAAGTCTTGCAGGCTATGTTGTAACTGATTAAGGCTGGCATGATTATGGATGGGACTTGAATGGAGAGGAAGTTGATTAAGGCCTCCCTGAAGATTTAGAAGTCCACCATCGCCCATCCCTGACTGACTGATTGACTGATTATTTACTGACATTAACTGTTGTGGTATACTTGATATTGCCACATCATTCCCTATAGAGTTATTACTCTTGGTCTGCAAACTACGGACACTAGCAATAATTGGTGACTGTAAATCATTTGAAGATTGATTTACATCTGAATTGTCCCCATTTTGAGTAAGCGTTGAAGTTTCCATTGACTTCTGCATTGCATTTTTCTTCTTCCATACTGTGGTTTCTTTCTTTTGCTTAACTTCAAGTTTGGATTTAGAAAGTATAGGTGCATCCAATGGACCAAATTGTGACCTCACAGGAATTACACGTTTAGAAAACACAGCAGTGTCTGAAACACAAAATCAAATTTCTACGGTAAACTTCGGTGATGATTATAACTAATTAAACACTTTACAGAATTACATATCACCGTAGATATGAAAATTACATAGAACTAAAAATACATTTCTTTTGTGTATATCAAAATATGAAATTAAAAAAAATAATTAATAAATGATATTCTATGAATGAGTTTTAAAAGTCATTTCCTATATGTATTGCAGTGAACACAGGGCAGACAATACTGTGTTAGTTGATGTATTTACTTCAGAAACATTTTGCGAATGTCAAAAGTGGACTGTTTATGTGCCGAAATATTTGCAAAAAATACTGTTTCTATGAATTCTACGAGTCTTCAGCAACTGCATAAAATAGACCTCATCAATGGTATATTTTAATTTTATCAACCTGGTTTGTTATCATTTCATTGTGTGTTCAAATGCTAGTCAATTATAGATTTATTATTGTAATAAACAGACGTTTTGTAACTGCCCTTGCATTAAAACCGGAATGCATCTGTGTCACACATTTTTACACTACATAGGGCTAAACAATGTCTTCAAATAGAGACAACTTATGTGTGCTCATAAATTTGTGAAAAATTTTCAATTTGCAAATGGCAAATATTTCCATGTCATATATAAAGAACCACTTCTACAATAATTAAGAAAACTTACGGACAGAGCCATTTTCTTTCACAGACTTCAAAGTAAGAGATGAGGGGAGTGTAAGGCGTGCTCTTGATGGGATAATAGCATCCTGAACTTTGTGTAATACTCCATGTTTCTTGCACATCCCTTCATGACTCTTGCCACAGTCACCACACCCTGAAATTATAAATACATGTAAAACACTACAGTAAAGAGATCTCCTTAATTTCTTTTTTTCAAACAGGATTTATTCATGTAATATTAAAATAAGTCTCAATTCCTTAGTATGCAAAGTGTCTGTAATGAAATCAAATAAACTTTAATGACAAAATTAACTACAACTGGCTTGGGTGCAATACAACTTTGTTCAGTACTTGGCCACAGATTTTTCTATGTTTCCAAAGAAGATAATAATCAAACAAGAAACATGGCAATGCCACGAAACCAGGTTTTCAATTATCACCATTGTAGATAAATATGTTGTATTTGAAATACAAATACAAGCAACAAACAATGTATATATGTGCAATGTAAATCATGAATAATGTAGGAGGAATTGCCACAGAAGAAGTGTTCACTATATTTTCTGTATAAGGAAAAAAAACAAAAGGCCATAATTAGGTCAAAAATTATCCAATCACAAAACCCCGACAATATGCGTCAGGGCACTTGATGACAAAGCTTCTGTGAAAGTTTGAACAAAATCCGTTGAGAAATGTAGGAGGAGTTGCGCACAGAAGAAATTGTTCACTATATATTCTATATAAGAAAAAAACAACAAAGGGCCATAATTAAGTCAAATATTATCCAATCGCAAAACCCTGACAATATTTGCCAGGGCACTTGATAACAAAGCATCTGTGAAAGTTTGGTCAAAATCCGTTGAGAAATGTAGGAGAAGTTGTGCACGGTAGGAATTGTTCACTATATATTCTAGATAATGAAAAATAACAAAGGGCCATAATTAGGTCATATATTATCCAATCACAAAACCCCGACAATATGCGCCAGGGCACTTGATGACAAAGCTTCTGTAAAAGTTTGGTCAAAATCCGTTGAGAAATGTAGGAGAAGTTGCGCACAGAAGAAATTGTTTACGCCCGCCCACCCGTCCGCCCGCCGACATACCTCAATCTAATAACCAGGTTTTTCCTTCGGAAAACCTGGTTAATAAAAATCTTTAATGGAATAAAAATCTTTGATGGAGTGAACAATCATGACAACATGTTTGAAGTCTCCAATGGTCAAGGGTACATTTATAAAATTGCATTGAACTTAAAAAAAATCATTGATATGCCAATGAAGACATTTAATAGGATAGCCCAATTATAAAAAGGTCAAGCTAAAAGTTTTTATTAACAATGTTATAACTAGGAAATTAGTTCATACAAATTAAGTCATACCACAATTTCATCCTGTTCCAGACAAAGTGGCATGCTATAGTCTAGTAAAAAACTATAATGTGAATTCATGTAAAAACTGTTATGTGGAACAGACAAAACTGTTATGTGGAACAGACAGTCATTTCTTAGCCAGTAAATTTATTATTCTTACAATACAGGCTTATTTTCTCCTGATGTTTTATCAGCTGAAAATTTTTTTATAGTCAATCAAAAGAATTACCATATTAATATAGCTGCTATTACTTATGTCAAAATTGAAGTAAATTTTACTTTGTACATAATAAGTGTTTAATACTTGATAACAATTACAAGAAGTCTGGTTTCAAATTATGCAAGTTAATGTACAAGTTACTATCATATGCTAAATAATCAAATATAAGATTTGTAAATCTACCTACACAATTCATCAAAAGAGCTCATCTTTCTTCAGATCATTGGTCACACGGTAATTCAACCTGAAATAAGGCAAGTCATTTTAGCTATATAAAAGAACATACATATAATAATCACAGGTAAACTTGTCTAATAATCGCAATTCCACATTTCAAGATGGTTTCCATTTAGGCCAATGGAAAATTATAGAAGCCCAATAAGATGTAACCAATAGTGCACATCAAAAGTTTTAGTGTTTGTATTTCAAATGAACAGTTACAAATTTACTTTGGTTAGTCAGCTAGGTAACTTAAATGTACAACATCAGTCTGGTATTTTAATCAACTGTTTTTTTTTTTGATGTTTTTTTTTTTATAATTGGAACACTAATTGGTTAGTATTCATTAGTAAGATTTTACCAAATTAAATTGGTAAAAAGACACACCCATTTAATTTTGTAAATGCTTAATAATTAACTCTCACCTTAACACAAAAAACAGTGACCAAATATTTTCAACTTTCTATATACATTGGTACAAGTTAAAATATCAGAAAAAAAACTTAAATACACAGAATTTTGTATAAATTATTACTTCAATTGGTTTTATGTTTATGTAGAAAAAGACAGCTTTTATGATTAGGAGAACCTGAACTTCAGACAAGTGCCTGAAAACTTGTACCCATGCATATAATTATTAACTTGTATTGTATTTTATATTTAGCAGAAGATGAAATCTTCACATTGCATAACAAATTAGTAGGCAAAAATAAGACAGAATTTAAAAGGCTAACAAATTTTTCAGCTCATGTTTGGTTTCCCGAGCCCTCAATATATTAGCAGTGTTTTTGTTTTCCTTTTGTAATGATTGAACATATTATTCTTTTATACTCCTGGCTTCTTCTTAAGAAAATTCTTTGAAATCATGCAGTTTCGAATTAAAATTTTAATTAACTTCAAGTTTGTCTTCCCTTTTTCCAGAAATACCATGTTACCATGTTTAAGTGAATTTAGGCCGGGATTCCCCTTTCAAGGGAAAATGCCTTGAATGGTCATATATATATTATTCACCATGCAAGTTTATTTTTATGGTTCAATTGTTCAAGTCAATTAATTAATTATTATAGTCAATATTGATTATTGCCAGATAATTACACTATAATGTATTGCTTTCGACTGACAAACAGCTCATAACTCATAATCTCATTATTGATGGAATTTGTTGCCAAAAATATGGTGAGAGATCTCATTGTTATTTTATTAAACAATGACCTTCCATCTAGTATAGATATTATCAATTTTCAAATTTAAATAAAGTCCTTTGAGTTTGAACATCTCTACCTGCCAGTGTTCAAGAATTAAAACTAAATCTCTGTAATATAAATTTAAATGTGTGAAATTGATCTCTGAAACTAGGCATTTGTCACCAGTGGCAGTCTAACTCAATGAATATAGTATGAATAATGATAAATTTAAACAGCAATGCAGTTTGTAATTCAAACACTAAAACACAACAACAAAAGTCAAAGAAAACTAGAATTTAAAATAGGCCTCCTCTTAAGACTTGAACTTATTTGTTTACAAACACCACGTGAAACTTACCCAGGGCCAGAGTAAGGGCAAAACATGAGGGGCCTCTTCCCCCGTCATGTTTGCAAAACACTTTAGTTTTAAAATGGAAGATAAATTTACAATTTTCAATCACAATTGATTCAATAGGTCTAAATATAATGGACTGACGGTCGAAACACCTTTAAACAGTTTCCGTATCTTTGATTAATTAAATGACAAAGTCCATTATTATTGTCCAAAATATTTGTTGTATTTCTTTCAAGATTCACGTATTTGGCCCCCAGAATTGAGCAACTATCGCGAGGTGCGCGAAGGGTCGAGGTCATAAGTTTTTCGAGCTGTAAACGTGTCAGCTTGAGTAGAATGACATGCAATACGTAGCTAAAAATGTGTATACAATTTGATACAATTGTATAGAATAAAAAATACCTTGAAGATAGACAAACTATAGCTGTTATAACCGAGAAACTTGATAAAGCAAGTAATTTGTCCCATTGGAAGCCATTGCTGATTTGCATTGTGGGAAGGACTTTCCCCGCATTCCCTTTACGTCATAGAGGGAAATCCGACAGCTATGTCAACGACTGAGGAGATTCGACGCCAAAATTTTGAAAGATTTGAAAGGAACAAGAATGATTTCAAACAGCGTATGAAAGATGGTTCAGAAAAAAATCCTTGTTATGAGGTAGTGTTTTACAATTATGTATAAGGTTGTCATCATTCGATAATATTGTGAACAAGTAAAGAGGTCTTCATACTGCAGGGAATCCCTCCCTTGCCAAAGGCAAAATTATAAACTTATATAAATTTCATCTGATAACCGGTTAAGGTCTGTCGCAACAATTTTATTGCTGTCATGTTGGAATATGGGCTGCGACTAGGGGATAGCGGTGAAAGTCAACTGGTCCCAAGTCAATCCGGCCCCAGGTCCTGTACCAAAATTCATCTTAAAATGTCTTTTAAAAGTGTGTTCACTGCCATTTAGGTGGAAACAAATCAATTGATCTAAATGGCAGTGAACCCACCTAAGACTTTTTAAGATGAATTAAGGGATTAAGTGTGATTTAAATAAAGTATCTTATTTGCAAATTAATCAAGTAACAAGAAACATGGCAATGCCATGAAACCAGGTTTTCAATTATCACCATTGTAGATAAATATGTTGTATTTGAAATACAAATACAAGCAACAAACAATGTAACTATGTGCAATGTAAAACATGAATAATGTAGGAGGAATTGCCACTGAAGAAGTGTTCACTATAATATTATGTGTAAGGAAAAAAACAAAGGGCCATAATTAGGTCAAAAACTATCCAATCACAAAACCCCGACAATATGTGCCAGGGTGCTTGATGACAAAGCTTCTGACAAAGCTTCTGTGAAAGTTTGAACAAAATCCGTTGAGAAATGTAGGACGAGTTCAGCACAGAAGAATTTGTTCACTATAATTACATTGATAATTCTGTATAATGAAAAACAAGTTACAAAGTAGACATGAAATAATATATCATATCTTTTTTAAATTACCTCCAAAGATGATATGACCTTTGACTGCCAAATCAAGTTAAAATCATGTAAACAGGATTTTCAATGTTAATGTCACTGTGACCTTGACCTTGACCTGCACGTCATCTTGATGTGGTAAACATTTGTCTGAAGTTTCATCAAAATTCTTCAAAGGGTTGAAGAGTTACAGAGCGGACAGGATTTTCAATGTTAATGTCACTGTGACCTTGACCTTGGAGCCAGCCATGCGGAACATGCGTTCTGCACGTCATCTTGATGTGGTAAACATTTGTCTGAAGTTTCATCAAAATTCTTCAAAGGGTTGAAGAGTTACAGAGCGGACACAATTTCGTTTGACGCCCGCCCGCCCATCCGCCCAGCCGCCCATCCGCCCGCCATACCCCAATCTAATAACCAGGATTTTCAAAATTGAAAACCTGGTTAAAAACATGTACATGTATATATTTTGAAACAAAATTGCTCATTCTATTATAGTTTGTAATTGATTGCATTTTACTCATAGACATCAGTGCAGTGATTTACCTATTGTGCAGGATCCTGTCGTAATATACCCCTAAAAGCTTACTTGGAGCACAATTCTTATGCATTTGCATCCAAGTGGAGGCATAAAGAATATAATGCTGGCCCCATAAATCTTGCTTGACATCATTAAAAGTTTTTACTTGATTAAAAAAAAAAACGTTTCAGTGTACAATTTTTTTTATTTATAATTTATAATAAGTAAACATTTTCATTAAATAAGTGGTTGGGTTGTTGAAATTAGCTGTAGGATATCTTGAATTATTGATCCGACCCCCACTATACTACATGACTGGAACCCTTATATTACAGAACCTGCATTCATTGGACCACTGAATATTGACAGTGATCATGATGTAAATCCCAGAGTCTGACATATTATTAAATATTTGTTCACTTGACATTTGTATGCAAATCTATTCTTTGCAAATTTAAAAATCCATGAAACTTTGTTTGTTCATGTTTAATTATGATCATAATATGATTTATTAGGAATTTATATTCAAGTGGTTAAAAAAAAAAAAAGATCTCTTAACAAAGGATCAGTACAAAAATAAAGTTGTAAATTCTATGTGGTATCAGTTGTTGCTAATGTTGTGTCCAAATATGAATTGTTATTTGACTCTAAAGGTCAAGGTCATTCAAAGGCCAATGCATACTTTAAGTGCTTCACTTGATGGTTTTATCCTAGGTGGGGCTTAATTAGCCTTAATCCAGGCAAGGAATCAAATCATGCCATTAATTACAAATTATTTAAAATCATGGAAAAATTTTAATTCAATGATTTAGCCTTTAATATCAAGGTCATTTTAAGGTCAAGGTCATATCTGAATTGCTCTATAAAACAATTTCATGTTCTAGTAGTTTGTTCATTAAAAGCACATTTTTAAAAATATTCTATAACTTTACTATAAAGGTCAATGTTATTAAAAGGTCATGGTCAGGTTGATCAGCTGAAAGTAAACACAAGAAAGCTACTTAAGGCCAATATTAGCAAACTTCATACAATAATTTAATGGTCGGACTGATGGATAGCCTCAAACTAGTATTTCCCCCTTATACAGCTTTTGTTGTCTGTTAAGTACAATACCAGCAAGGGTTGGGAATAATGACTACGCAAAATAAGCTTATTTTGTTTAAAATTTGTTTATTGTCGTCCATTAAAGAAAGGGTTTTATGCATTAAGTGAAGGAACTTATAGGAATTTCCTGTAATTCTTTGAAATGTTCCAGGCAATTAATACTGGCAGTCATTATGTTAACCAGCAATCAGTAACTGTTGTCATCTGAATTTCTCTGTTTTGAATATTTTGTATTGTTTGACCTCATATATTTTAACTGGAAAACACATAAAGGGACACTATTGAGGTTTTTGACATGACAGACATAACCAAAAAATGCTTTTTCGAGGTTTGAGTACCATTTGATGTAATTTAGGACTAGTGTGCGGATTTTCTGATCATTCCATCCCCCTGTGTTTTTCAGAACAATATATGTTTTGCGCATAAAGACCCAAAAATGAAAATCATTGCAACACAATTCAGGCTCAAAATTGCACATAAATCAGTACCCCATATAATTCTGAGTGTATTTCTTTATTATCCAAAGCAGATATTTCCCTTTTAAGTTGCTTTACTTGATCTATGTAAGAATTTCTAAATTAATGTTTTTAGGCTTTTTGACCTTGGTGGAGCTCTTAAGATATCACCTAGTACAATTTTCAATTATCACTCAGCCTCACGGTCTCTATGCAAAGATAATTAATTAGACTCTTTCCTTGGTATAATGTAGCTTTTTTGTAGTAAGTCCGCGAATCATCATCATATGAGCCGTGTCTGGATATGAGCCATGTTGGTTTTGTCGTGACGCAGCTCATATGCTTTTTGACACATTTGATAGCACAACCTGAGACATATGACATTTTATGGCTTAGGCATAACATAACATGGATTTTATATAAACGTATTTTATGCAAACAGTACATTGATCAAAACAATAATTTTTACATTAGGCATAAAAAGTATGTAATGAGAGCATAATGATGATGATTGCATTAAGATACATAAACAGTAATTTAGCAGGATTAAATGAAGTGTTATTTGTTTAATTATTTTAATGTTATATTTTCAGGAGGGCCAGTTGACACTTCGCTGTTTACACAATACAAAAGATAAAAGTGAATGTGAAGAATATGGAAAGAATGTAAGAATGTGCAGGTATTTTTGGGTAAGTTATTTTTTTTTCTTGATTAGCCATAGCATTTTTATGCCCTGGGCAAATATTAATTGAACAATCCATTTGTCTGTCCCCACACTCTCTTGAAAGTGAAATTATGGGATGATGTCTGTGTTAAATTCTGTGCAAACTTGAACTGTGGGTAAAAATTTGCTTATGGGATGAAGTGAGCTCAAAGAATATCAAAGAAATAACCCCATAAATTATACATGTATAGGAAAACACATTTAAGTTTCTTTGTGTATTTTTGCCTTGTATTAACCATGACGCTTGGGTCAATGTTGGCCTGGCTCCCAGGTCAATTAAATTGATATTGTCTTGTATGAGGAAACACATTTCAGTCTTATTTTGTAAAACTAAAATGCCAAGAGCTACTTAAAGATATTTAGCATGACATAGCATTACCTTGTGGATGTCTGCAAAATTGATATTAATCATGACACCTAAGGTCAAAATTGGCTCTGCCCAGGAAGCCACTTTGCTTGTATGGTAAAGGAAAACACATCTTATTTTTTGTGGATAAATATTATGCCTCTATATCTGGCATATATACTGAACCAAAAAAGAAACTTTTGCAAAGTATGTGCCAGTTGTTCAAGGGTACCACTTAGATGTACACACATATATACATGTAGTAGCTTGTAAAACTTGTTTTGTTTGCAAAATCGGTCAGCTAATCCCCGTATAAAAGCCCGATATGTTTATTCAACGTAAAAATCGAGTTTCAAAAGGATTGAAAAACTGTACTAACATATCTACATTCAAACTTGGAGAAAATTTCTTTTTTGTTTCAGTATAGCATTGCCTAGTAGACCTCTGTATTGTAAAAAGTGCCTCCAATATGGAGGTCATATAGTATCATACGGATGATTTGAGACAAGTTTCTTGATTGGGTCTCTACCATAATTGAAAGATTACTTTTGATTACTCAAACAAAATTACGCTTGGGCATATATTGCCTCGCCTTTGCAGTGCTCTTGTTTTGTAAATAAGTTATCATAAAATCACTGTAATTGACATAAATCACAAAATTTTCTTTTAATTAGATATATGTAGGAATATTTTGAAGTCATTCATGGTAATTTTCGGTCTCAGTTTTGATCAGGTTTTAATAAAATTTGCGAAATAAAATGTTAATTGATTTTGAAATTAAAATTGAATATGTTTCATCATTGATCATCAAAAACAAGAGTCCTTTGATTATTTAAGATAAATTATGAAAAAGGATGAAAGTTTATATAAGAAGGACCTTACAGTGGTGAATTTCTTGAATGGATTGTCTAGCTTCTGGTTTTGGAACTGCTCATTGTTAATTTTTGGTATATCAATAGCTCTTGGTGGTAACAAAGGGTAAATACTTTTGGTTCCTGCAGGTAAAGGAGTAAATTAAACTTCTACAAAATAGATTAACTTTTTGTAAACTTTCTTTTTTCAACTTTCTTTTTTCAGAGAACAGTCATGAAAGATCGAAAGCGTAAAGGAATCATGCCAGTTCTACCTGCTGTAGACGACAGAGAAAAAGTGATGGAAGAATATAAACATTTACTAGAAAATTCCTGACATCTTAATACTGCCTTTTTATAAAAAAAAATAATTTAAATGTTAAATCATGTGTTAATTATGTTTGATGTAAATAAAATGTTTTTAATGATAATTTTGTTTGAAAATTTAAACACATTTGGATTATTGTCCTTGAGAAAAGATGTCAGACTCATAAAGCCCTTTTTACTCGACAAGTCCATGACTCATTACTTGTTAAGTCCTGAACTCATTACTGGTTAAGTCCAGTTCTCATTGCTTGACAAATCCAGGATTCATTGCTTGTTAGTCCAGAATTCATTGCTTGTTAAGTCCAGGACTCATTACTTGTTATGTCCAGGATTCATTGCTTGTTAAGTCCAGGACTCATTACTTGTTATGTCCAGGATTCATTACTTGTTTAATCTAGATTCATTACTTGTTAAGTCCAGGACTTATTACTGGTTAAATCCAGGATTCATAGCCTGTTTAATCCAGGAATCATTATTTGTAAAGTTTAGGACTTATTGTTCCCCACCCTTTTCGAAGAAAAAAGGGGGATATAGTAATAGGCTCCGTCCGTCTGTCCGCACTACAGAATAAGGATAGGGGGCCATCTAACTGTAAAGAGAACAATAGAGTTCATTCCGTAACAATAGAATAAGGGGCCATTGGCCCTCTATTAAACAATAGAAAATAACAAAAGAAATGGCCCCTTTTTCCATTTCGGCCGTATGTCCGTCACACTTTCGTGTCCGGTCCATAACTTTGTCATTTATCAAAGGAATCTGAAATAACTTGGCACAAATGTTTGTTATAATAAGACGATGTGTCATGCTCAACAACCAGACCCCTACCTCCAAGGTCAAGGTCGCACTTGCTCTTTCAAGGTCAACATTGTCTATTTGATGGTATATGTCGTGTCCGGTCCATAACTTTCTTATCTTTGAATGGATTTTGTAAATACTTGCCACAATTGTTCACAATAATGAGACGATGTGTCATATGCACAACCGGTCTCCTACCTCCAAGGTCAAGGTCACACTTGGAGGTCAAAGATTAACATAGTCTATTACAGGGTATATTTTGTGTCCGGTCCATAACTTTTTCATTTATCAAAGAAATCTGAAGTAACTTGGCACAAATGTTTGTTATAATAAGACGATGTGTCATGCGTAACAACAAGACCCCTACCTCCAAGGTCAAGGTCGCACTTGCTCTTTCAAGGTCAACATTGTCTATTTGATGGTATATGTCGTGTCCGGTCCATAACTTTCTTATCTTTGAATGGATTTTGTAAATACTTGCCACAATTGTTCACAATAATGAGACGATGTGTCATATGCACAACCGGTCTCCTACCTCCAAGGTCAAGGTCACACTTGGAGGTCAAAGATTAACATAGTCTATTACAGGGTATATTTTGTGTCCGGTCCATAACTTTTTCATTTATCAAAGAAATCTGAAGTAACTTGGCACAAATGTTTGTTATAATAAGACGATGTGTCATGCGTAACAACAAGACCCCTACCTCCAGGGTCAAGGTCACACTTGCTCATTCAAGGTCAACATTGTCTTATTTGATGGTATATGTCGTGTCTTGTCCATAACTTTCTTATCTATGAAGGGATTTTGTAAATACTTGCCACAATTGTTCACAATAATGAGACGATGTGTCTTGCTCACAACCGATCTCCTACCTCCAAGGTCAAGGTCACACTTGGAGGTCAAAGATTAACATTGTCTATTACAGGGTATATTTTGTGTTTCCGGTCATTTTCATTTATCAATGTTTGTTATAATAAGACGATGTGTCATGCGCATCAACCAGACCCCTACCTCCAGGGTCAAGGTCGCACTTGCTCATTCAAGGTTAACATTGTCTATTTGATGGTATATGTCGTGTCCGGTCTATAACTTTCTAATCTTTGAAGGGATTTTGTAAATACTTGCCATAATTGTTCACAATAATGAGACGATGTGTCATGCGCAACAACCGGTCACCTACCTCTAAGGTCAAGGTCACACTTGGAGGTCAAAGATTAACATAGTCTATTACAAGGTATATTTTGTGTACGGTCTAGAACTTCTTCAGGATTTTGAAATAACTAGACACAAATAATCACAATGATAAGATGATATGTCACGCATAACACATGTGTCCCTACCTCCAAGGTCAAGGTCACACATAGAGGTCAAAGATTTACATAGTCTGTTATAGGGTATATTTTGTGTCCAGTCCATAACCTGGGATTTTAAAAATACTTTACACAAATAATCACAATAATAAGATGATATGTCAGGCACAAAACATGGGTCCCTACCTCCAAGGTCAAAGATTGACATAGTCTGTTATAGGGTATATTTTGTGCCTGATCTATAACTTCTACATAGTTAAAGGGATTTTGAAAATACTTGGCACAAATAGTTATATTAATAAGACGATATGTCATGCACAACACCTGCACCCCTACCTCCAAGGTCAAGGTCACACTTAGAGGTCAAAGGTTAACATGATAGAATTTGAATTCCGTGTTTCATTTTACTAGTATTTCTTTAATAAATTTATTGCTGCATTTGCAGATCTAGCATTGATCATAATTTTGGACTGAAAGTCCTGAAATCCATACCTCATAATTTTGAAATTGCACAATTTTATGCTTCATATAAAACTTCCCCGAAACTTACAAATTCTTGTTACTTGTTAAGTTAAGGACTCATTACTCGTTAAGTCCAGAAGACGTTACTTGTTATGTCCAGGGCTCGTTATTTGTTAAAGATCCTGTATGTTGTAATTGAGGTTGTACAACACACTGAAATTAAATTAAATATATGTATATAATTATGCTTATAAAACAATTTTCAAACATCGTAGAATATGTTAAATATGTACTGAAGCATAATTCTTTACATTATATAAAATTTCACTCAAGTGTGGTAACAACCTTACTTACAACATACAGGATCTTTGAGTCTTGGGCTCATTACTGGTTAAATCAAGGACTCATTACTTGTATATCAAATTTGAATAAATTATGGGTTGTCTGGGGTCAAAAACCAGGTCACACAGTCCATATAATTAGGGGAAATCCTTGTTGACATAAATTTGCACAATTTTAGGAACAGATGTAACATTATGATATCAGTTTAACCTTTTCCCTCATATAGACGTGTTTTGACGGCTTTTTGCCCCACCCCCCTTTTTTAAAGCTTCAAACAGTGAAAAAAATGCCCTATTTAGACCCCAAACACTGTTTTTTTCGTTTGACAAATGTTGTTAAAAAAAGTGACCACTTTTCGGCGCCACCCCCCATCAAGGAGGTCAACAGGGTGTTGCCAGAAGTAGGATGTGTTTGGGGGTTTGAAGGGGGGGCGGTAGTCCCCCTCATCGCCAAGAAAAGTTTGGACATGTGACAGGCTAAAAATGGCCTCAGGTCGATCTTAGGGTAAGTAGTAAATGACGCTGAAAAGACCTTTACTCTATCTCAATTCATTGAGAAGTTGCAGCATTTTGATGGAAAAAAAACAATGCATAATAGTGATTTTTCGCAATTTTGAAAAGTCCCCCGTTGCCATGGTAACAGGAAATTTACGATTGAGCATGCTGTTACAGAGAGCTATGTGTGCCAAGTTTCATCAGTATTGAAGCATTTTTCATAGTTTCATAGCAATTTGAACTTGTAACAGGAGAGCCTTTTCAATGAAAATGGCCATTTTTCACAATATGCTCATATGGGGTAAAAGGTTAAAGGCCCATTATACACTAGAAATGCTTGTTTTTACTGCTTATGTTCTTTTTTTCTTCAAACTTTTTATTTTTGTTGTACTTATATAGTTTCAACAAAAATACTCATTGCCCAATTTCCAAAACCATCTTTTTCTTCTGTTGCTTTTTGGCAATTAGTACAGTTATGGTGATGTTGCATGGAACAGAAGCAAAAGATGGATCAAGTAAATGGCAAGTTAGTAACTTTTTTGAAACATAATAGGACACCAAAATAAAAAGCTTTTGATTGCTGGGGCATAATGGGCCTTAAATATTTAAATAAATGACCTTGAGGGTTAAAGATTGGACAGCTTTGATTCATATTTTGACTAACTACCACCTTGGTATAACTGTCAGTTGGAGGAATTCAGGTATGACCACTGTCAGTTGGAGGACTTCAGGTATGACCTTGACCTTCAACATTAATTTATTGAATTTTTATCAAAGAGGCCAAATCTTAGTTATTAATGAATGATTTGATTCATATTTGTCCATAACAACACTTTGTACACAACATTCATGTGATGTAACTCAAGTATGACATAATGGTTTAATTAATTGACATTGACCTGGAGGACAACTTTTTACATGAAATTCATTGACATTTTGTAAAATCTTGAAAGACAAAGTTTTTCTCCTAATACTGCACAGACTTGACTTATATTTGGATGCAATGACATGTTGGATAAAATCATCATAGTGCCTTAAGTAAATATTATTAAGAACTTTAATTGATCTTTAACATTTTTTTTACGAATGACACAACCAACATGTTGAATAATTCAAATATGACTCTGACCTTTAAATGACCTTGGCCTATATATATGAAATTTTTAAAAGTTGTTTTATTGGAAATTGGATGTCTTAAAAAACATTTTGAGTGATAAAAACATTTTATTTATAAAAAATAAGTGGGCGTGGTCATATGCACATGTATATAATTAAATATTTTTTAATATACTAGTTTACCAAGACACACAGGTGCTATGTTCTATATGGGCTATATACTATAACGTTATATACATATATAGGCCGATTGTGTAATATTTGATTATGTGACTAGCGCCTGTGGTCCAAGACACGCACCGACTGCCTGTGGTTTACAGTTGTACTTTCGTTTTCACACTTGAACTTTCATTTTATAACGAGGCCAAAAAGATGGCGGGACAACAGCCTGAACTGCGGGTATCTAAGATATCTGAGGAAGAAATAGACCAGCTTACTATGCCAAAAGCAATGAAAAAGTGCAGAGAATATAAGATTTCTTTGGGAGATAACAAAGAACTTGACAAAATAAAATGGCTTATCAAATTTCATCTGTTATGTCAAACAAAAAGACAAGCGGTGAGGGCGTAATTGTCTACTTTCGTTTTCAATACATTGTAATTGCCAAGATTTTTTTATGAAAATGCATAAGTTATTATTATAACGATAAACGGATGAAAGCTAAAAGTAAATCTTAAAGACATTTCTCACCTATATAAGAAATAATCAAGGGTAATTAAAAACGAAAGTTGAAACACCTGTTCTGTATGGAATTAGTGTAACTGTATATTTGTTTAGACATATGCAGTGTTTATCCATATAAATCTTCAAATTTTACTTGAAAACAGAGGATTATTACTGATAGGCGATACAGAAAAAATAATAGTTATCATAAGATTGCTATCCACATGGGTTCAAACCCCTTCAGGGATGAGCTGAAAAACATTACCAGTGTTTACACTCATTGCTCAGTACTGGTTGGCTCCAGGAACACGTATACATGTCTTTATTTAAAGCTTCCTAAACAATCTAATTCTGTATAAACCAAAATAGAAACCCCTGAACTGCAAAGTAGAGAAATGCTAAATTTAATTATATATCTATTTCTACATGTATGTTTGTTTTCAAACAAAATTATTTTTGACATACTGAAATATGATTACAAAATGTATATAACTGAAGACATACCACATCTCTTCATCGAGGCATTTAATACCTTTAAATGTATCAATTGTAGAAGGAATCTTTGATATCATTGTAATATGCTTAAATTGTCATTTGCTTAAATAATATATTTTCAAAATTATCAATAAGTAATCTGTAGTAGTAATGATAAATTCAATTTCATTTATATTTGAAAAATTATATTCTCTGCTTATTACAGGAAATAAATTTTCTTTCCGTAAGTGGAGACCATGACAAGACACGAAGGAAAGCGTTGTCTGATTTGTATGATGAAACCATTAATTATGCTAGCAATGTGATTAAAGATAATGATGATCCAGTTATAGAGGAGCTGAATAAAATGTTCCCAAATATTTGTGAACGTTTGGATCAAGAGAGGAAAAAAATGTTGAGTGATGTAGCGCCAGTGCTTGTTTTAGGTATTTTCATTATTTTGGACACATACTTTTCACTCTAAAATGCACCCTCTATGAGTTTATCGAATAAAATTTTGAAATCATTACTTCTAAATATTCTCTTTTAAGACTAAAGTGTTATCCTAGATTTTAATCTACATTGTTCTTAAATTCCATAATTCTCTAAAGATAAGTCTATCATAAATATAAAGAAGATCCATGAATATAAACAAAAGGCTAAGGGCAGTCAGTCTTACCTTTTGCAATATTAAATACCAAGATTAATAATTCTCTTACAATTTTTTTCCTTTTTTTTCTATTTTTTTTAGGAGAAACAGGTTCTGGGAAGTCATCGTTTATCAATTTATTATTAGGAGAGGATATCCTGCCATGTTCATTGCTAAGCAACACTCATGTGATCTGTGAGATACAATACTGTGGGAAAGATAAAAAATCATGGGCTGAACTTGTAAAAGCTGGTAATATGGAATGTTCATATATAATTATGTATTTCAGCTTAATATGAATATCTAAAGGAAATTAATTTTTTATTAATTTGTCAATTTTGCTATTAACATGAAGCTTTTATTCATGTAAGCATAAATGTTTCAAATGAATGAGTTAAAATTCTCTAATATATATACAATTTTGATATACAACCAAATTGTAATATGTGGTTGATAAGATTATATCTGGTTAGTATAATAATAATTTGAGGGTTGACAGCAAAAGGTCCTTCTTTATTTCATATAAGTTACTGCAGATTTGCAATGTGATCACAATGTTAAGAGCATGTGCTAGGGTCGTGTAATACTTTACTTTTGAAGTATCAGCCCACAGTAAAGGCCCAGTCATACTGGAAAAAGAAATTTATGCTTGTGAGTTAAAAATACATCGTACCACCTACTATATTGGTGCCTAAAACAAACCATCCTATTGATTGCGCAAGGTGGGACAGACATACTGTATGTGTAGAAATATTCGCGGGCTTTAGTGTAGAAATATTCGCGGGCTTTAAATTTTCGCCATCTTCGCGGTGACATTCGATCCGCGAGTTCATGTTCAGCGCGAATATTTCTACACCAATAATTTCTTAATAGTCATATTTTCGCGCATCTACAGAAAAATGTATATCTGTGTGTTCACGGCTGCCATAAGTTTGGAATCCGTGGCGCTTTCAAGAGGGCTTTTACTGTTGTATAAACTGTATATGTAACATTCAGTTCTGTATATAAATCAGTTTGCTGGTGTATTATTGTTTGACTGACATGATTATCGGATTCTTGTATAAGTATATACATGTTTGAACAATACCATTGCATCACCCTATTTATTTCATAACCTGAGTCATAAACGTCTTGGCATCTAATCAGATTATATTTTGTTTTTTCTAAAAAAACAATACAAACAACACATACATTAACGAATTTAACTGATGAAAACATGGAAAAGAAAACACAATTACTCATTCAACATTTTAACAAAATCAGTGAAAAGATTATGGTCTCATTCAGTGCTGTTTAAAACTGTGAAAAATCAAGCACGTTAACGGACATTCATATGTTTGCCATAATCTGTCCGCTAGACAAATTGAATGTCTTTTTTCTGTACAATACCGTATTGTGTGACACCAGGTGTTGAAAATAACTGTGAAGTCCCACAATGATTACAGTAAAAAGTATGTAAAATGAAAGAAGGCTGCTTGCGAAAACCATTGCCTTATCGTGTAAGAGTAATTTCCCTCATTTTTTAGCTCGACTATTCGATAAGAATAAGTAGAGCTATTGCAGTCACCCGAGCGTCGGCGTCGGCGTAACCACTTATGTTAAAGTTTTTGTAATAGTTCAAATATTTTCAAAGTCCATAGACATATGGCTTTGAAACTTTGCACACTTGTTCACCATCATTACCCCAACCTGTAGACAGGAGGAGGTAACTCTATCAAGCATTTTGACAGAATTATGCCCCTTTTTCGACTTAGAATTTACGTTAAAGTTTTTGTAATAGTTCAAATATTTTCAAAGTCCATTGACATATGGCTTTGAAACTTTGCACACTTGTTCAACATCATGACCCCAACCTGTAAACAGGAGGAGGTAACTCTATCAAGCATTTTGACAGAATTATGCCCCTTTTTCGACTTAGAATTTATGTTAAAGTTTTTGTAATAGTTCAAATATTTTCAAAGTCCATTGACATATGGCTTTGAAACTTTACACACTTGTTCACCATCATGACCCCAACCTGGAAACAGGAGGAGGTAACCCTATCAAGCATTTTGACAGAATTATGCCCCTTTTTCGACTTAGAATTTACGTTAAAATTTTTGTAATACCTCAAATATTTTCAAAGTCCATTGACATATGGCTTTGAAACTTTGCACACTTGTTCACCATCATGACCCCAACCTGTAAACAGGAGGAGGTAACTCTATCAAGCTTTTAGACAGAATTATGCCCCTTTTTCGACTTAGAATTTACGTTAAAGTTTTTGTAATAGTTCAAATATTTTCAAAGTCCATTGACATATGGCTTTGAAACTTTGCACACTTGTTCACCATCATGACCCCAACCTGTAAACAGGAGGAGGTAACTCTATCAAGCATTTTTTTTTACTATCAAGAACTAAGAATAGTCGAGCGTTGCTGTCCTACCGACAGCTCTTGTTAACCTGATGGGTGTACGCGAATTTATGATTTTCGGCAGTCACCTCCGCGAATTCAAAATAGCGCGAATATATGTATGTACCCCCAAAATGGACCTTTCCGCGAAAATTTGCTTCCGCGAATGTAAATACACATACAGTAAAAAACATGGCTCATTTTCACTGCTTTAAACACTTTTTTTTAAACAAATTTTTTTTGTAACAAATCTGAGAAAAAATAATTGTCTCAGATATAATACTTGAAATTGAATTTCAATGTAGTTTTTATGTAGAATTTGAATATTTCTTTTTTCCATTGTTGGTATGAAAGCCTTTTAATTTGACGAGAGAGATGAATATTTTCTTATTTTTCCAAGTCTGTATAGACTATATACCTATTTTTTGTGTGTCCGAGTATAATCTGTTACTATTGTATTAGCACAGCATAAGAATGTGTTTGTTATTTCAGGTAGCAGCAATGAAGTTACAAAAATTGAGGACCCTGGAGATGGTAAATTTACAGAGATGTTAGCAGAGAGAATACAGGCTTTAGATGGCAATAAAAGAGCAGTGTATAGGCTTGCAAAGATATACCTACCATGTGATATACTTAAAGTAAAATATTTGATTGTTTTCCTAGTTTATTAAGTGTTAATTTATACTCAATCAAATTAAAACCACGAAACAAGTGATAGACTTATAAATCTTTATTTTTGGCATAACTGGCTAAGAAACATCAGACCAAATGAATGATTATATGATAAATATAACTAAAACTGGAAATAAGACATAAAACATGTTAAAACCATTAAGTCTGGTGTAGTCCGAGCCAGTATGCCTCCTTCTTTCTTGGTATTGGCTTACGAGCCTAATCCCCAAAAGAACATGGATGATAGCAAAGTGTTTGCAACCATCCAGTGTTTATGCCCAAGAACTTTAAAATACATCAATATGAGTTATATACATGTATGAAATAAATGTGATTCGTATGTAGCCCTTAATATGCTACATTTGAACAGTAAAAAATTGGCGTATTCTAACACTTATATGGATAGAATTGAACAGAACACAAATGGGATTTTCTCATAGCTTCTGGTATGGTTAGAATTGAACTGAACACAAATGGGATTTTCTCATAGATGAAAATTTTAAGGTATGTGAATAGCTGTTTTTTTTAGTATTTAAACCAGAATATTGTTTGTTTAACTAATTGAAGAGTAAGATAAAAATGTAGTTTCAATGTTCTTTATTTTCAGTCAGGTTTGATGATAGTTGACAGTCCCGGTATAGGAGAGACAAAGGAAATGACAAGCATGGTTCTCAGTTATATCCTCAATGCTGCAGCATTTATATATGTCATTGACAGTACCAATGCTGGAGGTATGCAAGCTAGGGTAAGTTTAAAATACGTCAATGACTGTACCAATGATGGAGATATGCAAGCTAGGGTATGTAAACTACTTCATTGATAGTACAAATGTTTGAGATTGATACTACAAATGTTTGAGGAATGCAAGCTCGGGTAAGTACCAGTGCTGAAAGCAAGCATTGTAGGGTTATAAAACATCATTCACAGAACCACTGTAGAGGCAATGCAATCTATGGTAAGGAATGTCATTGTCAGTACCAATACTTGAGGAATGCAAGGCATCGTAAGTAATTACATTGTTGACAGTACCACTGTTGGATGCATTCAAGCTTTGGTGAGTTAAATACATTGTTGACAGTAGCATTGTTTGAAGCATGCAAGTTAAGTTAAATAAAAAACTTTAAAGAAAGTACCAGTGCATGGTCCGTGCAACCTATGCTATAATAAGTAAAGTATATCACTGACAATACCAGTGCCTGGAATCATGAAAGCTAGGGTAAAGTAAACTACATCATTGACAGTACCATTGTAGAAGGCATGCAAGCTAGGGAATGTAAACTACATTATTTTGACAGTACCAGTGCTGGAATGCATGCTAAGAAAAAGCTGGAAACAAAAAAAAACTTGTTTTATATTGTACTCTCTGAATATACTTTTTACAGGTCAAAGAGTTGGTGCAGAAAGTTTATAGACAGGCGATGGAGGACCAGAAACTATGCCGTCCAGAGAGTGCCATCTTTGTTTGCAATAAATGGGATGAGGTATAAACACTATACATATCTTGAACATATCAGTCTTGCTAAGAAAAGAAGCAAATACTGAAATGATAAAACATAGGATATTTAATATAGATAAATGTTTTAGAGTCGCCCCTTGAAAAAGATTAAGATTAGTATTTTGAGGCGGCCCCTCCATTATCGATCATTCAGTCCTGTGATGTTTTTAGCATGAACGCAACAGAAAGATCATCCTTAACAAAATTTTTGTAGCAGCGAAAGTTGTCTTTTTATATTACTGTAACACATATCTGATTATTTTTACACTATGATCTTGCAAAATATTGACAATCTGCTCAGACATGAGTTATTTACAATTAACCATTTAAACTGGTACACAGGTTAGTAGTAAGGACAGGGAAGATGTGTGGGAAGATACACAAAGAAAAGTAAAGGAAGCCTGGCCGGAATGTAAAGAAAATCAGCTGATACGGTTCTCCACTCTAGAAGCATTGTTTATACAACAGAAGGGAGGCCTGGCACCAAAGTTTGAGATTATCTTGAAGAATATTAATGCATTGGTTCCTATAGGTCAAGAAAATCTTGTTCTGAAAGGTTATAGGTAAGTTATTCAACAGTAAACTGTAGTCAGACTTATTTTACTTATTGTTTTCAATAACATGTTTACATGTTTTAGGTTTAAACATTATAACTTTTGAATATGATATTTTTATTTTCATTTTACAATGCTAAAGGAAAGTTGAGATAAGGAAAGACCATCCTAGAAAACAAAATTTTGTTTAAAAACAAGGCTTTATGAAACTGTCAGTGTGCAATTTAAATTTTATTGAAAATTTATGTAATCAGATAATAATATTTTTAAAGTCCTTACAAGAAAATCTTTGCAATTGTTATGGGAACCAGATCAAACTGTAAAGAAGTAACTTGATTTGAAGAATACCCTTTTTGCTTTAATTTAATAAATAGTTTGATGAGATACATGTAATGTTTAGTTAGAATTACATGAAGCAGAAGAAACATTTGACTTTGATTGTTTTTGCTTCCTAAATACCAAGGTCATTGTCATGAAGACATGTATAACAGTATTATACAGGAAACCTTTACAGTATATGAATATCAAATAATGGATTTGCCTTTGGCTTAACAAGCAAACAAAGGCATTGCTTAATAGTACTTAAACTTATATGTAATTTGTGGGAAAACATGAATTGATGCTATGAAATTTTGTGAGAACATGTTAAACTATTTCTTTCAAGGTTATTTTGAATTTTTAACTGAATGCTTTTGTAAAATTTAGAGAAAATGGCACTGATAACTTACGTGTAACAAGGTTTAATTAGTCCTTGATGAAATTCGTTCTACAAAATAGTTAACAAATGCTATGCTATTGGTTTTAAATAATGCCAATTTATTCTCTTATGTGTTTATTTTATTGCCTATTTATAATGCCAAATACTCTCTTATTAGTTTTAAATTATGCCAAATACTCTCTTATCATAAGCTATCCTAGTCAGTAACATTTGGTGAAAAGAATTGTCTAGAAATAAAATACAAATAATCATAATAATTTCAGGTACTTAGAATGGTTTATAACAAGAAGTATCACATGTTTTGGTGCACATTTGTCACAACTGAACCTGTCACAAGAGGATAGAGAACAAAAACGGAAAGAGACAAAAGACCGACTGAATCAGTTGAAGTCAAGGATATCAACTTTCTTTGATGAACAGTTTAAAACATTGAAAACTGATATAGAAAATATTGCTGACAACTTGAAACATTTCATCACTGAAAAAAAGAACCTAGCTAAAGTTTGCAAGTATGTAACTTGCAGGAGATTAAAATGATTTATCACAATTTTAAATCTTTGACCTCCATTTGTACAGCCATTCAAAAGGTTTTCTGTAATTTGTCTGGTCATCTGACATATTAGACAAATTTGAAGCTGGTCTGGTAATTATTTGGTCAGTGAATGACCAATGTGTCTGATTTATTTCAGCATCTAAAGATGAATGTATATAGAATGTGTTGTGAGACATGACTCTGTCTGTCAGACAAAAAGATAATGTTTGAGTTACACAATATCTAGCGCTTTTACTTAGTCAACTGGAAGACAGTTTAATAGAAATTTAAATCTTGTGTTATATAAGTCATCAATTTCATAATATTGAAGACTATTGTTTAACTGTAGTTTTAGCAGTATTTAAAGCTCGTGTAAAATAGGGTACTGAAATTCTTGTAACATGAATATTTTAACCTTATCACAAACAAAAATATTGAATGTCAACAATTCACTTTGCAATGGTATATAAATTTTAGTAATACTAAAATTTGTTACTGCTTATATCATAGATGCTATTAAATATTTATAGTGACTTTAAAATTTTCAGGTTTTCTGACAAAGAGCTTCCCAAGAGAAAGACTTGGAATGAAGCAGCTGTGGAGGTGAGACACAAAGTTTACGGAAGCATGCGCACACTGATCAAAGAATGGGAATCTAAAGAAACCCAATTCGGAAACATAGCTAAACACATTGAGGAAAGTATTGGAAAGGAATTTCCTGCCTTTGATAAGGAAATCTATCAAGCTGAGAAGTTAATGTCTCAACCGCAAAAAACACAATCACTGGCTACTTATGACGATGAAATCGATTTGGTTCCAGAGTTTATCCAGAATAAATTTGGAGGCCTAAGTCTGGGTACTAAAGTTGCTTTAGGAATTGGACTTGCTCCTGCTCTACTTGTAGGAATGATTGTAAGGTTACCAGTGTTTGGAGTTCAGGCTTTTGAGAAGTTTTACTCGAAATACAGTCTTGACAAGGACTTTAAAGAAGCTTTAGGAGATAATGAGAAACTCAAAGTAGTGTGTGAAAAATATGCTCAAAGGACTGTTGAAAACATTACACATAAAATAAACATGAGACAGATCATTGAGGAAGATATGCAGCCTCTTATGACTTATTTGAAACAACAACACAATAGGATGGAGACACAGATTCAATGTGACCTTGACCTTCTTAAAAATCTTAAAGATGAAGATCGGAAAGATGAAGATGTGAGGAAAGTTTATGAACCCATGAACAACAAATTTCTGATATTACGAGAGTGCCTGAATCATTTCATGCTCATACATTTGCCAGCAAAATTTGCGTCTTGGATTGAAGAAGTTCCGTTTGCAGATATTCAAGTCTGCAATGATAAGTTGATATGTGAAGGGTTGGAGGCAGAGATATTTGAGGCAAAGTCGAAACCTATGAAAATAACTGAGGGCAAAGACATTGTTTGTGTGCGAGCAGCCAAACAAGAAATTAAAAGAAACAAGATGAAACAGTTCTTAAAAATTCTGGAAGCATACAAGTAAGTAAGCTTAATAAAATTTGATATGATATTGTTGATGTGTCCCATTTTGATGTGTCCCATTTTTATCCCACAGTTATCATAACTTGTGCAATTATCATTTCTTTAATTGAATCAATCTATAGAAAAGTGCTAATGTAAACCTGTATGAATTTAGTTTTGAAATGCATATATAAAATTCAAACCTATATTGTTTTATTTTTTTCAGAATAATTAAGAAGGAGAATATTGCCAAATGTTATGGTTTCTGGAATCCTGGAGTTGGGAGTGGAAAACTCTACCAGATTCTTGAACCCCTTCAGTGTAGTCTCCGACAGTATACCACAAGAGTTGACTTCACAAATAACAATGACAACAATTGTGTACGCACTATGATCCAGTTGGTGAATGGCCTAGACTATCTACATGACAAAAAACTCATACACTTAGATCTTAGTATGGACACAGTAGCGGTATGTTTAAGAAATAATATAGGTCTAAGCGGTGTTTATCGGCTATTAAACACCAATTTGGAGTTTTGATGCGTAGGAATTGACCAAGAAGGCGCAGTCATGAGTGCTTAATTTCTTTTCATCAAAATGGCAAAACCGGTGTTAAATTGCCGATTAACACCGCTCAGACCAATATTGCTTCGATTCTAACAAGACAAAATAAGGTAGATCACTTAATGCTATATTTTCTAGCGGAGATTCTTTCCGGTGACGATTTTCGTATAACGCTGTTCTATTTCACACTCAACTGTTGCTAAGATATAGAAATTATTAAACAAAAGAAATAACAAAAAAGTTATTTTATCAAGTTTTCAACAATTAGAATTAACTTGTCAGACTGGAATGTATTGTGTTTACATAAGTGTTTGATCAATCATTCTTGTCAGTTTAAAATGACGTCATTATTTACGAATGAGTTGTATACTTAGGATGACCTCACTGCGCTGCTTACTAATTGGTGATGATTTGTCATATAAATTTTATGAACTGGTATGTCCCACAAAAATATCATTTCATGTATCCAAATCAAGGTCACAGTGACAAGTTAAATCTTTGGGCCAGCAGTTTGTGTTTAGGCCAGTAATTGTTAAACCATTCTATGAAAGGGGATATTTATGATTTGACAATGGTTTGAACCAGCAAATTTGTGTCTGCTCTCTTTTTAACTACACGAAAGATGTTTTCCTAGGGTCAGATCTTTATCTGTGTAAGACAACATATAGACTCCTCATTTCAAGACGAGTGCCAACTCGAATTTAAAAGTGAAAGCGGTTTTGTGTCTGCTGTATATATTTTGAACTGCTTGAGGCATATTAACTATATTTTTGTCAAATGTTTATCACATTGGGACAACATCCAAAACTCACATTTAAGAAACTCTATTACTCAAGGTCTAAGATACCAGTCAAAGATTTGAGTCAACAAATTTGTGCTCTCTAATGAAAGGCTTGAAAGAAGTTCATGATTCATAGGTTAACTATTCATCGTATTAAATGGTCTGCAGAACCTATATTCCTGTAATTTAGGACAATACATGTTTCTGAAAAAGTTCATGTTAAAGGGCATACAGTTGCCCAAATAAGATATTATTTTGGTTTTCTAAATTTGATTTGGACATATTTCACCCAATCTATGGACTCTGGTTAGTAAAACTTGGACCTAACTGACATCATGTGAATTGTGACTTTCTTATCAGTAAGTTTTGTTAATGCTTTATTTATAGGTTGATGCCAATGGTCAAGTCAAGTTGACAAACATAAGTCCAGAGGTGAGAGTAAATCTTGAACCAGTTGTCACAGATGGAAAAGTTTGCCTTTCCAAGTATATTCATCTTGAGCCAAAATTCTTCCAGAACAAAGATTTGGTCAAATACAGGGTCAGGGATGATATGTATGGGGTTGGGATTATAATGTGGGAAATGTGGGCAGGGCAGCCTGTTGTGGAAATAGGAAGGGAGTATGAAATTCCTGATGAATATTTTAAAGGGTCATCAAAAGAGTCTTTAACAGATGAACTTGAGAAAAGCGGATCATCTGGGAAATTCAAAGGGATGAGTGGCAGAGAGCAGAGAAATTCTGGCAAAAGTAAAAATGAAGATAATGACTTTGAGGTGGTTGAAGATGAAAAATGGTTCCAGAAATATCTAGAAACATTCAGACCAAAGAAAACAGAGAAGTTTAGTGATGAAACCGACCAGAGATTACATCTTTGTAATGAATGGTGGGGCACAATAATCTATTGTCTTGATGGGAATTTGGATGCAAAGAAATGGCTGAAGAGTTGGAAAAATTATCCAAATTTTCCTGAAGTGTCAATCCATTTCCAAGAGAAGCATTTTTCAAGTGATGGTAAGAACTAGAGTTAAGAGTGAACTGGTACAGAATTCTTTATGACCTTACATGCAATAACAACATTGAAAACTGGAGCTATCTCTGAAGGGAATAGTTATAAATAGACCTAGTTATTGTCTGGAAACCATTTTCTATTTTTAATAACAGTGATCTTGACCTTGACTCTATCTTTACATAAGCTTGCTATTTACCAAGTTTGATCATCATATCTCAATCTAACTTTAGTTATTAACAAGAAACCATGAAATGGACAGAGCGATCAACAAGCTCCTATATATCCCAGAAAATTTTGTTTAGGGATATATATATATTTTATTATTTCATGCTTTCCAGTGTTTTATTGTAATATATCAGATGATTATATTCTGATAAACCACTAGTGAAATTTATGAAATATAATTTTCACTGTAGCCGGACTATATCTGAATGCGGATGAAAAGAAAATCATAACTAAATGGAATAACAGGCAGAAATTAATGCCGTCGTGCGTAAATTTTGCTTCTTTAGGAAAAGAAAGTCGATGTCATCATACATCATGTTAAAAAACGTAACAAAATTAAAGAAATTTAACAGACCTATATTTCAAAATTGATTATGTGACGGCATGATGTGAGGACGTCACAAAGGAGAATGCGTGACATTACGCGGCAAAACCAGTAAAAAAATACTTAAAATCACTTAAAAAGCATGAAATAAAAAGAAAATTTATTTGTTTTACATATAAGATTGAAAAATATTTCATTCGTGAACAGCAGCTATTATATTTTCACTCGTGGCTACGCCACTCGTGAAAATATTGCATCTGGTGTTCACTCAGTGAAATTATATTTCAATCTTACATGCAAAACAAACAAATATCCTCTATATCTTGTAATATGAGAAAAAGTTACAGTTTTTAGCTTGCCTGAGCACATGCAGTTTATTGCTCCATTGATCTTTTGGGCCTGATGGAGATTCAATTTTTATGTTTTCTTCTGTTGCCCACAATTACTTAAAATCACATATACACAGAAACTGCTTAGCCAACGTTCAGGGAATGAAGCAATACAAAAAAAATAATAAAACAACTACATTGTATATTCCATTAAGTTATATATCAGTGGTTTTATAGAGACTTGTGATAAAAACACTGTCAGATATTACAAGGTCATGAGATATTTGGCATGCAGCGTTGTGGAATGGACCTTTATTGAGTTTGTTCAAAAAATGACTTAGTGGTCAACATTGCCCAGATCTAACAAAAGTTTCAAATACATAAATTATGCCCCTGGGTGTCAAAATTAGCCCTGCCTTTTTTTGTAGGACACTTTTTAAAGAACTTCAATGTCTAGAGCTTACATGTAAATGTTCAGCAGTGGTCCTCTACTGATGAACAAATAAAAATATCCACAAGTTTACAGTTTGCCCAACAGGCCACTTATTTTGCCAATAAAGATAAATATGTGATACTTTTGGCATGTTTCATTGCCACATGAATTTATTGCCAAGTGAGCCTCTACAATGTGTCATTGCCATGTTAACTTGGACAATATTTCATTGCAAAGTGTCAGAATACAATGATTAAGTGCCAGGTGAACCTTAACAAAAATTATAGGAATTATATCCCTGTGGTTGCACTTGGTACAAGATCCCTGGGTCACTGTTTTCATAGACATTTGAATCATCTTTTCTGAAAACATTATGCCTAGAGTTTAGCTTTTTAGCATGAAGAATTAGGTAATGGTCCTTTACAGGTTATATTATATAATATACGAGTACAACTTTCTTGGATCTTAAAAGGCCATGCCTTGGGTTATTTTTGCTATGTAAAAGCAAAAAGTTAAATTGTTATGTCCAGTGTACTTATACATTTAAAGAAAAATGGTTATGTTTAAATCACATTTAAGTTTTGGTGTTTGGTGTACAATTCATTTCCTCATTATGGTTAGCATGTGTGCCATTGTTTAATTTCAAAATTTAGCATTGATTTTAAGCCATTTATTCTGACAAATTAAGACCAGTATTTGACATTTGTCCTCTAAATATGACCTTGACCATTAAGGTTCATGTTTGGTTCCTATACCTGACATACTATCTCATCATACTCAGCCTTTGTTAAATCATTATTCCAAAATCACCCATCAAATGGTAGAATTATCGAATATATTGTTTACACAGTCTGTGTTAAACCAAACTTTTACCATTTGACCTAAGTTTTATTCTTGGTACTTATTCATGATAATATGTCTCATTTTACATTACATTGGTGTCAAGTGATTTCAAAATGACAAAAATACAACAAATCACTATTCTGACAGGTAACCAAAACCGGGCTACACTAACTAGGGGGAGTTTAATAACAAGAAAATCATAATTTATTTTCATGTGTACAAATTATTTAATTTTTGTATAACATTTTCATCTGTAGTGAATAGTTTTAACATGTCAAGTTCTAATGGGTGCATATGCCCTGGTATAACCAATGAATGTAATGGCTCCCCAAGGTCACAGGAAGTCATACTCTTCAGGGTGGAGGTACAAATTGTCTGTGTGTCTGCTCCAACTCTGGCCACACCCACACATATACTGTCTTCATCTAATACTGAAATATTTATGCATGATTTTTAATACATTCCAAAATTTTCTATCAAAACCAACTATTATCATTTTTAAAATCATCTTAAAATGTTTTTAACTATTTTTATGGGTGAACATTTTTGTTAATGTTTATCAGTTTATTGATTCATTTACATGCAGATAAATTGTGACATACATTTTATTGTGAATTATTTAATAATGCTTTTTGTTTTAAAATGAAATTATTTTATATTATTTACATAAAAAATATGACATACTCAATGTATGTATTTTATGGTATTTACAGAGCTTGTACATTCCATGTGATAATATATGTAGCTTTTATATTGCAATAAAGTTAATCAACTCTATCAGTATTTGAATTGTGCATTTAATCTAGTTTGGATGATCGATTATAGGTCAATCAAATTGATACATATTGCCGACTTTTATACCAGAATCCTATGTACCGCCTTTAATGAAGATAAAAATTTTGACACAGATGGTAAATATTTATGATTGTACGCCAATATTATTTGTCTCAATGTTATTGTAGTAGACCCATTGTTTTAGAAGCAGTTACATAGAAAAATAAATTCTATGTTAACCTTAGTTGAAAAAAAGAAAAGAAAATTAGCCTAAATAATATTAGACACTTTAAAAATTAAATAATTTTTTGAGATAAATGTTCCTTTTGATGTAGGTCTAGACCAATGATCATTCGCTAACTCTGAAATTTTTCCCGGAAAATTATTCTATTTTGTGAACTAAGATCCAAAACTGAAAAGCATTTTGCAGTGCTTTTCACTCAAATTGCGCTAAGAAGAGCACAAATATTTATTTTTAATGTACTTGCGAGTATATTTTGTTATTAGCACTTTCATACCTTTTTGTTTTACTGCCCTAGATGATCAATGTAAGGAATTCAAATATTATGTTTTAAAGCTTTTGAACCTCAGTGGAGTTCCTACATTATTTTATGTCTGACATAAAGACTTACATAAATCAGTCTGTCCGTCAGATTTTTTGTTTTGAATTATCTCAACAAGTTGTTCAGCTGCTAAACTAACAGACATGTAACGAGGTGGCTCATATATTTTTCTGCCTCTGAAATGTACAAGAAAGGCATGCTTTAAGATGATAACTTAGAACAGTAGAAAACACATGTACGATATAAATATATGGGAAAGACAAGTATTTATTATAAAGTTAAACAAGAAATTTCATGCCAAATTAAGTGAGTCCCAAAGTAATTACCTGTATAACATATCGAAAAGAGTGTTGATGTCAAGACGGAACATATGTCATTTAAAACTAAATATTAATGTACTTTGTATAAAAGTTCATCTTTACAGAAAGAAAATGATTAAAACTCCAAAGCAGGCATATTCCAAAATTTTTGATTTATCTTGCTTAATCAATTAGAAAATGTACGTCCATAAGCTAATCAGAAAGATCAATATTCATTAACAAAAATATCTTACTTCATAAGATTTTCTATACTTTGTTCTTTTACTTTTATATCTGAAACAAAAAGACAACACCAACATGTAACATTTTTAATGAACAGCAAATAATAAAATGTTCCCATACTTAATATTGGACATGTAAATATATCGGATTCCTGTTTTAATATTGATTTAGAGGGCTATAAAATGCCTTTGTCAGCATTATAGAGCCACTCACTTTCTGCACATGCAGTGTGATCAGGTTCTATATCAATATGTTCTGCTGCCTAATTTCATAAGTTTGACATCAGCATAAAGCACAATGGACAGAATCAAATTAATAAAACGGCAAGTCAATTATGGTACACACAAGTTTTCCACTACATTAAGGATTCATCTTATGAATCTGACAAAACTATTTTTCACTCATTTCATACTCTGATTTGAGGCCCAGCTATGTAATAGCAGACCATTATTACCAATATAGAGCCAGACTAACCTGTTTACTCATTTAGGCTAACAAAAGTCGTTTTTAAAAATGTTAATTCAATAACTTTATTATTTACTTTTGTTATAAAGATACATGTTCCTTGTCATTTACTTTTACATGAAGATACATGTTTTTAGTCCACTAAGTATAATATTTTTAGTATATTTCTAATGTCAGCTTTGATAATAAAACTGATTAAACAACCAGAACTGTTTAAAATTTAATGCAAGGGTAAGGGTTAACAAGGGGATATACCTTTTATGTACACTAAATACAAGTATGTTTGAGCTTCAGAATATGAAATAAGTATCATTGATTACCTAGTAGACACAGTGTGTGCATGCCTCTCTGTAGGTTTGTACATATCTTATCAATAAAAACTGTCTGGTTTCCAATATCATCCCAGAATACTATTGAAAATGGTTTCACCGAAATTGTAAAAGCTGAAAATTACTAACCTGGATTATAGAAAATATACCGTGTATTGCAAAAAATCGAGCATTTTTAAATAACTAAGTACTATATATCTACCAGAAAAGAGATAACACACATATATTACTTATCATTATCACTAAATCAGTAAATCTTATCTTTTGAGAACAGTTATAGCATCCTATAATGATATCAAATGTGAATTTTCTGCAAAATATCATACTGTTACCCTTAGTGTCAATGCATTATTTCTAACATGACCTGACGCAAATAGCTATGTCTTCTTAACTTTCCTCAAGAAAGAAAGATAACTTCCTCATATGGACAAATTCAACATCTCTTGTAGGATTCAAAATCTACAAGCATTGAGGATTACATGATTTGTAAATATTTATTAATATACCTGAAGACCACAACATCCAATTGCATTCATGATGGAAGCATTATGGATCACTATGTATTGAACACCTTTCTGTTTCGCTCGTAACACCAGATCAGTGTGAGTGGTAGCTCTATAATACAGTACATCAAATAATATTGAAGAAAAAAATACATATATAAAACAATATTGCACTCCACTTTATTCAACATCAATCTATTAAAAAGTGCTTTCAATACTTCTTGGGGAATAAGCAGCAAATATTTTCACCTGACAAAATTGTACATGTATACATATATTAAAATATCTACATGCAATTACAGCACTATACTATCAGACAATTAAACCTTTTAACAATGATCTTACCTATAAAATCTCAGACCAAATCCAGCCTTAAACTTCTTTATTTGACGAAAGTTTGATGTTTGAAAAAATAGACTATTAGAAAACACAAAGCTCAATTCCAAGCAAAGCATAAAATATAATAGAGACAATCAGATAGATTGACAATATCACATAATGTGGCAACAAAACTTTAAGAAATGCTCTGATTATTTAATTTAATCAATTCCTTAAAATATTGTAATTAAATAAGAATCAATATTCTTACCCAAATGGATCACCAACTACAAGGAATACTATGTCTTCTCTTTCAGAGTCAGCCAACAATGTATCTATATATAAAAACAATATACATATAAGTTTATATAAATTGTTCAAAGCATCCCCTGTATTACAGTAATTATAATTTATTGATAAAAATACCCATAAAACTGTATCAAATACAAACAGATATAATAAAATTATAGTTTAACTAACAGTAACATAAAAATATAAAACATAAAAATATGTTTTTGCTTCCTTCAAAAAAGTTGAAGGATACCTAAAAATGGTTTATAAACAGAATAGTAATTGCAATTATTCTCTTATTTCATTAACATTTTACAACTCATGAAAGCAATGCACTAAACTCCTAGGTAGACTTTAGGAAATGATGAATTTTTATTTAAAACCCTAAGAAACATAAATTCAGTTAAGTCACCTGACTCTGTCTCTACCATATCCCTGTCTGCTAGGATCACATCTCTACCATAGAAAGTCTCCTGAAATGACATAAATCGTCATCTTAGTGCAGTAATAATTTAACTCCTTATATAATTTAATGGGAGTTAACATGTTAATGCACTAATGGGATGAAATGTTCATTTATGAATGTTAGAAATTTCTCTGCATGTGACCTACTAGGCTACTACTACATATTCCACATGATTTCTGAATTAGTGGTAAGAGACAAATGATTGTTAGACTCATTTAAAGACTTAAAGAAAAACTTCACCTTAGTTTTCATTTTAGTTGTTTAGTTATCTATTTTTTCACTTATTTTCTACTTAAATACTTATAATCCTGAATTTAACCCTTAATATAATTCTACATATAAAGTTTCCACAGAACCTACTGAAATACATGTATAACAAGATATGTTTGTAAAACATGTATGCCCCCTATCAGCAGCCAATTAGTCATGTGATAAGGTTATAATGCATGACTTCTGACCCAGTGATCAAACAATTAATAAGGGTTATAAAGTATCTACTGGTCATGACTTTGACCCCTTGACCCAAAACTCAATAGGGGTCATCTGCTGGTCACGACCAATCATCATACAAAGTTTGAAGTTCCTAGGCCTAGGCGTTTTTAGTAAATTGATCAGAAACCGTTTTTACCTACAAGGTCAATGTGACCTTGACCTTTGACCCCTTGACCCCAAAATCAATAGGGGTCATCTGCTGGTCATGACCAATCACCATGCCTAGGTTGAAGTTCCTAGGCCTAAGGGTTCTCTTATTATTGATCGGAAACCGTTTTAACATACAAGGTCAATGTGACCTTGACCTTTGACCCCAAAATCAATAGGGGTCATCTGCTGGTCATGACCAATCACCATGCCAAGTTTGAAGTTCCTAGGACGAACGTTCTTTAGTTATTGATCAGAAACCGTTTTTACTAAAAGGTCATTGTGACCTTGATCTTTGACCCCTTAATCCCAAAATCAATATGAGTAATCTGCTGGTCATGACAAATCACCATACCAAGTTTGAAGTTCCTAGGCCTAAGTGTTCTTGAGTTATTGATCAGAAACCGTTTTTACTTACAAGGTCAATGTGACCTTGACCTTTGACCCCTTGACCCCAAAATCAATAGGGGTCATCTACTGATCATGACCAATCACCATACCAAGTTTGAAGTTCCTAGGCCTTAAGGTTCTTTAGTTATTGATCGGAAACCGTTTTTGCTTACAAGGTCAATGTGACCTTGACCTTTGACCCCTTGACCCCAAAATCAATAGGGGTCATCTACTGATCATGACCAATCACCATCTCAAGTTTGAAGTCCCTAGGCCTAAGGGTTCTTTCATTATTGATCGGAAACCGTTTTTACCTACAAGGTCAATGTGACCTTGACCTTTGACCCCTTAACCCCAAAATCAATAGGGGTCATCTACTGATCATGACCAATCACCATACCAAGTTTGAAGTTCCTAGGCCTTAAGGTTCTTTAGTTATTGATCGGAAACCGTTTTTGCTTAAAAGGTCAATGTGACCTTGACCTTTGACCCCAAAATCAATAGGGGTCATCTACTGATCATGACCAATCACCATACCAAGTTTGAAGTTCCTAGGCCTTAAGGTTCTTTAGTTATTGATCGGAAACCGTTTTTGCTTAAAAGGTCAATGTGACCTTGACCTTTGACCCCTTGACCCCAAAATCAATAGGGGTCATCTACTGATCATGACCAATCACCATACCAAGTTTGAAGTTCCTAGGCCTTAAGGTTCTTTAGTTATTGATCGGAAACCGTTTTTGCTTACAAGGCCAATGTGACCTTGACCTTTGACCCCTTGACCCCAAAATCAATAGGGGTCATCTACTGATCATGACCAATCACCATACCAAGTTTGAAGTTCCTAGGCCTTAAGGTTCTTTAGTTATTGATCGGAAACCGTTTTTGCTTTCAAGGTCAATGTGACCTTGACCTTTGACCCCTTGACCCCAAAATCAATAGGGGTCATCTACTGGTCATGACCAATCACCATACCAAGTTTGAAGTTCCTAGGCCTAAGGGTTCTTTAGTTATCACTCGGAAACCATTTGGTCTACGGACCGACGGACCGACAAGTGCAAAGCAATATACCCCCTTTTCTTCGAAATGGGGGCATAATTATAAAAATAAACTACACTATCACTAAATATGATGGATACTCTCAGCACTATGACATCTGTCACTGTATATTTATTATAATAAATAAAACTGCATGAGCAATAAGGTAAAAATCTATCTATTTTAGACATGACCTAAATTATGTTCTCACCAAATTTGAAAGAATCACTGGTTAATAGATTATGACTGTAGAATCAAAAGCATTATAAATGGAATTCATTCAAAAACAAAGTAAGCTACAGTTATGATTCATGGACAAATCACTGCCACTCACTGGTCTCTATCTGTATCACTGTGTCAAGATTTCAATACTTTTTCAAATTATTCTCTCCATAAACATTATTAAAATTATAATTATAATAAAGGGAGATAATTCAATCAAAGCTCTATGAGTACTGGCAGAAAGCAAGTTAAGTGTGAAGAATAAATTTAAAATTGTTAAAATATTGTTATATTTACATTAGTTTACATGTTGAGCAGATCTATCATTTTTACATAATCTCAGAATGCACATCTAAAGATATGTGTACACAGATGTAGAGTTTCTTGCTCATAGAATATTATCCACACAAAAACATGCTTCAAAAGATGATTCAAACTAAATAATTGACATTTGTTTAAAAAAAAAACAACATTTTTTTTATATCCACTTCATGTCAGTGAATCAGTCCTTGATATAACAGAAAGACCTGCATCCATTATCATAGCATAAACAGTTTTAAAGAAGTTGCAAATATTTCAATTTGTATAATAAATACTATGTAAGCCGAGTTTAAAGATAGAAACCAGTGTATGATGATCACTAAATGATTGTTAAACTGGTTAGTTCTTCTGCTTAATCTGCCTTTATCCCATACTTTTAAAATCAACAAAAATTTGAAATATATCCTACTTTTAGAATACTCAATTACCTAAGGGCCAAGAAATAGTGACTGTTTCAATGCATAGTAAGTTTTAAGTACACAGATTTTTTGGCTTATTTTATAGCCGACACATGGTCATATTCCCAATTGAAAATAGTATATGTCACAGGGTGAGAAAAAATGTGCAGCCTAACAGAGACTCGAACCCGGGACCCTCGGAATACTGTACTGCGGCTCTACTGACTGAGCTATCCGGCCGCTTACACATCTTCTCCCCTAAATATGGAAAAGTTCTAAACCGTGACATACGGTACTCCCCACTATATTAAAATTTGTCCTCGAATTTCTAATGGGTAAAGAGAACAATGTGAAATTGAACTTGGAGCTTATACCATCACGGTCCCATGTTGGGCGCCAAATGTCACAGGGTGAGAAAATGTGCAGCCTGACCGGGACTCAAACCCATGACCCTCGGAATACCGTACCGCGGCTCTACCGACTGAGCTATCAGGCCGCTTACACATCTTCTCCCCTAAATGGTGAACAGATCTGAACCGTGACATATATTATTTTCCCAATCTACAGGAAAAAATTCCAAAATTAAAAGTTATGAAATAAAAATATTTAATAAAAAATTGTAAAATCTTTGAAAATAAAGGCTTCTTCACGGTTATAGAGCTTAAATGTTTGAAGATGCCATCCTGATTGGTGACTGTTTGCATTCATTAAATCGAGACAGTTTTTATTGTTCAGGTTTCTATTGGGTGTCAGATGGTGATGGTCGACCCTCACAAGATTGTGTTGGATTTTGTAGAGAAGGGTAACAGAGCTGATGTTGTGTCTCTGTTCTAGGTTTTGCCAATTAAGTTCACTTATCATTTTAGATACACTACTGGTGTAATTGTAGTCGCTGTATACATATCTGGCAGCTGACCTTTGAACTTCTTCTATTTTGTAAACCAGATATTTTTGCCAAGGATGCCAAACTGTGGAACAGTTTTCTAACTGGAGCCTTACATAAGTTTTGTACGCAGTTTCTTTGACCTTTTTGTTCGAAGTTTGACATTTCTTTTTATAAATCTGAGTGAATGATTTGCTTTTGCTGTTGTTATTTACGTGATTGGTCCAGGATAGATCTGTACTAATTGTTATGCCTAAATATTTTGCAGCCTCTGTGGATTTTAGTTGCTGACCATGTAAATTATAGAGGAATGTTACTGGATGTTTTTGCCGCTGATACTAAGGACTTCACATTTATCTGGGTTAAATTCCATGGACCAATCAGATTCCCAGTTTTCAAGTCTCAAGACTAGATGGTAAAAGGTAATTTTTTCAGATATGTAAAAATTATTTGAAAACCAGTTGTATCGTTGTAGCAGATGTCCCGTTCATGTTTAAATATTAAAATATTTTTGATAGAGTGTTTACGGGGGCGCAGGATCTGACCCACAAGCGTCTGGTTTACATGACTGGTTTAGACTTAATGGTTGAAGCGGGAGAAGACAGACTCAAATTGTTTATTCAGTATGTAAATTGTGTTTATCTACATATATAATTCAATATTCACAAATCGAATTAAAATTTCTAGAGTGGGTGGACCAACGCTCGGCGTAAAAATACTTTATTTGATATGTCAAATTCAAATCAACGTCAACAAACCTCAATGTTATATGTCCATTTTCAAGACCGATGATATTGTTTTAAATAGCCATTGTGTAAAATTCGCTAATCATAATGATGTGCATGGCTGGAGCTATAGATAGTCCGGATAAACAAAGAGTGGTTTGCGTGAAATTGTACCATAGCTCGGCGTACAATACTATATGATGCAGGATTGTTTTTCGAATAAAACATCTTTTTTATCTTATGGAGAAAACATATTGAATAAATTGTAACAACCAAATTAGGTTTATACATTTACAAGTACTCAACTTTTAGTTTAAATTTTACAGCCCCAGAACTGTAGTGTTAAAAGATTTTAATAGCGAGCTCGACGAGCTGGCCAGAAGGGCCTGCTCGCAAAGCGAGCTTTACGGTAACGCGAGTACCTGCTAAGTGATGGTTTTGAAAACTTTCGTTCGAAGTACCGAATTGGACACATCGCAACCTTTCGAATTTAAAGATAACGATAAAAACTGAGGAATTCTGACTGAAAACGGATGTGTAGACTGGTCACCCGCGCACGTCTATGGGAACCATAATTGGACAGGAAACCAGAATAACGGAAGCTGAACGAAAATGAAAATTGAAGGCGCCATTTTGTTTGAAAATTCTGATAAATTAAAACAATTTTTTGACAAATTTGTTGTGAAAACTATCTAGAATGAAAGAAAATGGTCTAACTAAGAAAATGAATCCGAACACCAATATCTTTTATTCAGTCGTTAACACTGTACAGACGTTTAAAGTATTGTTTACGTGACGTCACAATGTAGCGCCAAACAGCGCGTGCAAAACAAACAAATCAAGTACGTTATTTTAATGTCGCAAACGTTTTAAGTTTTACATTTATTTCACTTTAAATAATCTTTATTTCGCTTGAAAAATTATAGAGTGAAATAAAATAAACATAGTTTTATCAACGTTTTCAAAACTCGTTATTCATTTCACGACAGGGGCGGAGCCATATTAAACACAGTACGTGTGACGTCACACGCACTCGTCACTGCATTTGAAATAAAAATGAGCGATTATTTCATGCTATTTCACGTAAAAAGTACATCGAGCTCGCTTTGAGGCTTTGCCTTTTTCATATTAATTTATATGTTGGGGATTACATACGGTTATTCGTCTGCTATTAGCACTGTCACGTGACTTTACCAGCAGTGAACCACACCAGGATAAAATGGTGAAAGATGTAAATAAATGCACCAGTGACCTAAACCAGAGATAACTCGAGACATTTTCAGATATTTTAAAAAAAATATTTTTTTTACGCCGAGCATTGGTATGCGCCGAGCATTTGTCCAACCACTCTGTATAATTGTCTGGTTCAACTTGCAACTTCCATACCAAAGCATCTTTGCCAACAGTCAAAATTGATGTGTATGCCTCCAAATAAACACGTTTAGCATTCCTCACTATTTCTAAACCTTTTACTGTTATGTCTTTTGCGTCACCTAACCCAAGTCCTACTAAATAAAACATATTTTTCTTGTTTACTTCTGTCAGACTTCACGTGTGGTTAATTACTAGTACGGAAATGACGTAACGGAAGTCATGAAGCAAGCATATGGGACAACACGGACATGTAAATTGGATAAACCGGTTATGATACTATTTTTTCTTCTGAACAAAATTCCACATTTAAAACATATTTAATAACCTTTAATTACGGTTTTATATCATAAATATAATGCTCAAATGAAGATTTATCAATATTGTCATTCCATACTGTAAAGCATTATCTTTAAAGACATAACATTAAATTACAGCTAGGTAATTAGAAATTTATTTTGTATAAAGTCTAAGTCTAAAATTGAATGCATACATGTATATCTTAATGATTACATATAATGTGAACAAATATTTGCAGTACTTATTTTACATATTCTTCGATGTTTGAAAATTGTTTTAGAAGCATAATTAGATATACTGTACATGCACATATATAAAATTTCACTTAAGTGTGGTAACAACCTTAATTACAACATGCAGGATCTTTGCCAACAGTAAAATAATAAATAGCTTTGACATGAATAAATTCGAGACCATTATTGTATAATCAAAAGAAGAGCAGTGACATTTACAGCACGTACATATATCGGAAGATAACAAAATATAAATGTAGCAAAATAACAACCAGACATCTAGATTATATGCATGCAGAGTATGTTAATTAATTGAATAAAACAAGCAATCACGTATAAATCGAAATCTGCATGAAGTAATAAGAGGGCAGATAAATTGCATAATTGTTATGAAAAGCAACACATGTGCGAATGAAATAAAAAGTAGGAGGCGCGCATACACAATCAAATGGAGGGAAGAATAGCATGCATGAGCAAATAAGATCAAATTTAGAAGAAAGCGAAGAAATAAACATACATTAAATACAAAACTTATAGGAAAATAACATATACAGCATTTAATGCACAAAAATTAAGAAAAGCGGAATCTCTCAAGAACGGAATTGAAAATATTGCAGACTCGGTTTGATTGAATCTGTTCATGGACAATTAGTAGTAATTGCATGCTATCGTCCATGCACCCTAACACCTGCCTAAGCAGAATTCTATATTTAAAAATGAACAAAACTAAAAAAGAAAAAAAAACATAATTTAGATTTAATACACATACATAGCACTTTAACAGATTGGGTTGCTAAAGGTCTGGATCAGTCTCCTTTGGATTGAGATAGAGTAAAAGGCTTTTCAGCGTTGGTTACTCCTTACCTTAAGATCGATCTGATCGAGGCCATTTTTAGCGGGTCACATGTCCAAAAGTTTCTTGGCGAACCCCCAAACAGAAGGGGGCACATCCCCCTTGGGGGGGGGGGGGGCGAAAAGCCGTCAATCTATAGCACAAACACTTGTTTAGAAGCGAATATAAGGCATTAATACTGGCATTACTCCAGTATATACATTCATACTTTTTAAGCATTTTAAGCTTAAAGTTATCTTATTTGAAAATCGTATTCCATTTTATCCTGAATTATTGTGTTCTCTGGTAGTTTAACTTAAAAAAAATTGGCACTAAATTTATTTACGTATTTTGGCTTTCATGCATCGGGAACCAGAAGGTAGAAAAAATAAACTTGTTCTCTTTAAATTTTTATCGACTGCTGGCGTAGTAATATTCAAATCGCGTAAAGCAATGATATATGTAATTTTGTGATAAAAGGAATTGAAATTTAGTAATTAAATGACCAGTCAATTTTGAAATAGATAAGGTATTATGATTTTATGAATATTATAGCAAAATATTGGAACTATCTTTGCTCCGCGCAGATAGCCTAAATGCGTTCAAACCATAGTAAGCCCAAAAACGATATAAATCAAAGCACAGAAGGCGCTGAAATTGTTTAGGTCTCAGAATGTCAGAAAGGTGAAGGTTGTGAGATTATAAACCAATTTGTTTTTGTATAGTGCCACCAATGCTTTCCAGTGTTTTAACTGTAGTAAATTGGCTATAAGACTAATTGCAATACTGATAGTCAATTTAATGTTTATTTGACTTAAATTTTTAAAAAAAAAAATGAGTTCCCTCAACTGGGATTTGAACTCCAGACCTCTCGATTCATAAGCGAGTGTGCAAACCCCTCGGCCACGGTGAAGTTATATGCTAACGTCTTGAAGAAAACCATATTATTCTAAATTAGAGTTTGTACATGTAACTCTTATTATTTCGACGCTAAACCTGTTGTTTAACACAGATGTAAATAATCATGGAGCTTAATTACTGTAAGCATGTATATCTATAAAGAATGAAACAATATTAGAAATCTTCGACCATTCGGGAACTACTTTGCTTGAAAATTAATGCGCCTCTCATTTGACAATCTTTACGCATTGATCTCCCCTGAATTTTTCGGCGTTAGTGTACATATAAAGGGAAGTAACCGCTTCAAAAAAGTGGACTACTTTAGGCATTTGCAATTAACAGCATTAGACTCTGAAATTTCGCTACCATTATTTGTTTGGTCTGACGACCCAAACAAATAAAAACACTTAAATTTGGCGTGACGTCATTTGCGCTATATAGAAACATAGCGTTATTTAAAGCGCGCTAATGTTAGCTTTACACTATAGGCGCGTCGTTGAAAAATTACTCATTTTTACAGATTATTGTTCTTATTTTATATTATGTGATAAAAAGAATATTATATTCGTGTAGATTCAATACTAAATTTATTGAACTCGTTGAATAAAACAATATTATGCTCGCCCGCAGAGGCTCGCATAATATGATTTTATTCAACTCGTTCAATAAATTTAGTATTAAACTACACTCATTCAATATCCTCTATATATGAATTTTATGTACTATGTTTGTTTACAATTGTAAATGTGAGAATCTAATTAAACAGACTTAAATAAACGAACAAACTATACTGTTAAATAGTTGTTGATATTTAGAGTATTTACAGTAGGCCCTATTAATTACTTAACACATTGTAAATACGCAATTGTAATATATGATAGAAATTTACTGTTGCGAAATGTTCATAGACAATTTATATTATAGATTACATATTGTAAATATTGTACACTCTACCAACTAGTTCACGATTATAAACGCCCTCAATTCTTCTTCGTCCGTATTGTTCTAGGCCTTAAACCGATTTGTCTGAGTTCAAAAGGAATCCCCGTATCTCGGAAAGCCAATCAAATTTGTCGTTACAAAAATAGTATTGGAACATTTGACAGATAGTGATAAACGAAAATAGAAATAATTCTCTCGAATTTTCTTTCATATTTAGGTTTGTAAAGATTATAAGATAAAAAATACAAATCAGACATGTACAGTTTTGAGGGAGATTTCAGGAGGAAACCACAGCAGTCCTTGAGAGGGGCTAGCAAAAAGGCAAGTTTCACTTTCAGACGGGAACCATTGTCTGGCTGCTTGATCATTATAAAAAAAAGTGGGGGTGGGGTATTTATAAAAAGTATTTTTAATATCTGGTAGACATATGCATTGGGGTATAAAATCCAATTACATTTGTGAATATTAAAAATGGTGTTACTTATCTTAAGTGAGTTATAGACTTTATATCATCGGCATGAATCATCAGAATTGATTGTTAAGCAGATATAATGTAGATGAAGTTTTAAATGTTCAATGATGTGGACTGCAATGAACAAATGAAATGCTGTGTTGGGGTAGGGATTATAAAAGGCAACTTAGGTGATGACTTTGTTGTTCCTATGGCATGCAGTCACAGGACTGAAAGGGAATTTAAAGATGTTGTTATTCACCTACAACCTTGTGGATAGCTGTGTCATAATCGAATCAGGAGAAGGGTGCAAGATATTATATACTTGGTTCCTAAGATATCATGGGATGGGTTCTATGATATCACAGTATTTACATTACTTAGCTAGTAAAAGTAAGACATGATGATGCTAATATTTTTAAAACTGGCACACTAAATTTAATTTTCATCTGCCAATTGATTTAATTTTGTGAATAATGAATGTTTTCGTGGCAAGAAAACTATTTTATAAAACCTTGATATTTGACATGTCTACGTCCCCCAAGAGGGGTTTGACATTAACGGAAGATAAATGGATAGACTTCTATTTCCCTTAATTGATTTTACACAGTCAATTAAAATATGTGATGATTACATATAGTATATACTGACTTATCACATAAACTGCGGAGTTGGAGTGTAATAAAGCCATTTAATTAAAACGTTATTACACCAGTGTAATAATACTTTGACATGATGTCATTTGCTATATATAGAAACATAGCGTTAAAGCGCTTATGTTAGAGATACCATAGAATCCTCCTCTGAAACCACCCAAAATAGCAGACATTGGAAATAGTTTAAAATATAACATTTTAATTGGATCTTTTGTAGGGCTGTCATTGATCGAAAATTATGTATGGATATATTGAGAGACAAATATTTTGTATAGATATTTGAAAGTGTTTATCAATATTGTCTATCAGATGATGAATATCGTTGATATATCAATATTGTGATCATCAATGACAGCCCTAATGTTTTGAAATAATTTTTCGACAAACAGTTTTGGGAAAAGTTCACTTATTAAAAAGAAGAAAAATCTCATACATGTATGATATTTATATTTCACTATTTTCCGATAAAAGTTAAGTATGTGATACCATAGAACCCTGGCTACATGCAATAGCTTGCTTTGGAATGCCATAGCTTGCTTTGGCTAAAAGAAACTTATCTTAACATCTTTGATGATATTCTGATGTTCCTGTCAACTTCATGAACTACATGGATTTCATGCATTCAAAATAACCTTATGATGTTTAACAGCATAAAAAGGGAAAACAAGTAAAATTAACATGTAGATAAAATTCTTATTAGCTCAAGGTACTCCCACAAGATGAAACTGTTAATAGGACCTTTATTTTGGTTAGGATTAAAATGTTCTTTTAAAGGCCATGTTATGCCTCACATTGATATTGTTACCAGGTGTGACCAGTTACATGCCCAAGGGTCTTTATTCGGTCACTTTTCTGGAAATGGCTGTTGGACGGGAATTGAATATATAACAAATACTCATATAAATATAGTAAAACAACATGAACAATGTCATAACACAGTGATTTCTTTCCCCTGCATTTTACAGCGGAATAAAGGTTGTTTCCCCTAGCCCTAAATAGGTATATTTTCCCCTAAAATGCCCTTTGCACATTTTTCACTAGAGCCATGACTTAACAGCAGCTGACTTATATCAGTTTAAGACAGAACGCTGTCCCTACAGATAGCCCCTGCATGTATCATGGATGTTTAATTGAATTGAAATTGAATATTCTAAAACATGTGTGGGTAAACCATTCTCAGTTGTTAGAATTTGATTTTCCCCTTTTCTGATTTATCACGCTATATTTTCCCCTTCAGAAAGCCACATGTTGTTTTTAAAATTGAAAAAAAAATCACTGAAATATAAGATTAGAGGAAGTTGACAGATAAACAAGATGTAGGACCTCCTTTTCTCATACAACCCATAGCATATTTATATATAATCTATTTTATGAAGAAAAATTCTGCATTTAATCTGTGGTGTTTTAATGGAATACTCTAACAGATTATTTATGTTACATGTATATTATACTTCAGATATATAACTCCTTTTTATCACACTCTACTTTTAAGTTTGTTTAATATCTGAAACAACATATTTTGCATGTATTTTTAACTCAATTTTAACAATTCTTTTTTTATCTAGGAAGATAAAAGCACACTCCTGAAGAATGCCCAACAGCAGCGAGAAAAGAGAGAAGTATGTTATTTTATGATGTTATTTTATATATACAATATGCTTAAACGTCTTTATAAGTATTTACAAAGTCAATTACAAATACTATTGGAGTGTCAGTCAAGTTTTATTTGAACTATGCAGGTATATACTATCATTTTTAATGAAATACTGTGAAGACTATGATTTTGGAATAATTTTATTATGTTGGCACAGACCTGGTATACATGTAGTACAGAAAAGACTTGAAAATTTCTTAGTTTTCACAACCATATAAAAGGTATTTCATGTAATTTAAAGGGTTTAAAATCCTGAGCGGTGATACTAAAGTTAAGTTCAATTAGACCACTTGATTACTTTTTACTGTAAAATCTTTTAAGACTATAATTAATTATTATTATTACATTAAATCCTTCATTTTAGGAGCAACGTCTGAAACTTGAGAATGCCATTAAAATCCAGAGTTTCTATCGAGGTTATAGGGTCAGGAAAAAACAGGTAATCAAGTTGGTATTTCTTACAAAAGTGTACTGTTCAGATATTATATACTATAATAATGTAGATATACAAACTCTTAAAAGAGAAAATCCCTCTTGAAGAAAATTAATTTGGAAAATTTCAGATTGCGTTTCTTGGAATTACAGTAAACTTCAATTATAGAGAACACGGTTATAGTGAACTTCCGGTTATAAGGAACAATTTATTTTGGCCCGAATTTTGCCCTTCTTTATTTAATATAAAAATGTACGGTTATAGGGAACACGGTTATAAGGAATTATCGCTTATAAGGAACTAATTTCTTAGTCCCAATTTAGTTAAAAGTACAGAAAATTACACTTTTATAACAAACTGCAAAATATCGGCTATCCGTAAATAGAACCCGCATTTTCAACTTTCGTTTTCATTGGAACGGATTAAAACTCGGCGGAATGTACCGTTTATTGTTGTATGTACTTCAAGACATCGATTATAATAAATTTGTATAGCAGTATAGTTTTCAATTTAGGATATTTTTAGCATGAGTTCTGTTATTCCTTTTATTCTATTTTTTTTTCTTTAATAGTTTTGCTTGATTTTCATTTATAATCGGTACGCATGCTTGCAAACATAATCCATTGAAAACTACAAAGTACGCTTGATTAAAATGAAAAGAAGTCTGTATCTTTCATTAGTAAGAGTCACCCTTAAATTGGAAGATATTAAATATAACAGGAAGGAAAATCGAAAATCTTGTTTATTCTTAATGATGGAAAGGAAACGAAAAGCACTGAGTTTAGAAACAAAATATGATATTTTATGAGAATTGAGAAAGGAGTAAAACTAAAACTGAAATAGCAAAGGATTTTCAAATTCCAAAGTGTATGCTCTCGTGTATTTTGACTAAAATAGAAAAAATAGACTAATTTTTCTTAATCAAATGTTTATCAAAATGGCTGACCATGGTAAACAATCAGTTCGTTATTTGTAAATCTGTCCGCTATAAAAAATCCTGATACAAGGAACTAATTCGCTATATGCTTACAAGGAACTCTGGATATAAGGAACAGATTTTGAATGTCCCGATGAGTTTGTTATAAGCGGAGTTTACTGTATCTCTTAAGATAGGACAGAGAAGGTAACATCTCTCAAGCTCCCTTGTGTATACCTGTAAAAGTTGTTTCAATGTTTCATGGAATTTAACCAGAGACTGAAATTTCACAACAGAAAAGGAATGGAAAGAAGTAAGAAAAAAAAGGTGATGAAAGCTGAGATGTAAGATGTTGGAAAATGTTATTATGAAACTGAACTTTTAAGTGTTAAAGGTTCTGCCATCAATTCAGGTTTATTGTCTGTAAGGTTTTAAATCAAACCAACACTAAAGGTCATGTATGACAAATTTCCAGCTTTAGTGGTGGAGAAAGACCTGAGTAGAACCACTGATCTTCTGTAAGCTATCTGGATATTTTCCTCACATCACAGCATCAAATGTTTCAGACAGAATTTGAACCCACGCCAGTGAGATGCAGGTCATTTATATCACCGACCATAACCACACTTATTTCTAGCTAAAATCCTTAGGCATTGTTTAAGTAAAAGTTTTATACTTGAATGGTGTTTTCTTTTGAAAAAAACTGTAATTCTAGTTATTTTTTCTGAATTAAAGATTGAAATACCAGTATATAAATTACATACACTGTTATATGACATTGTTGAAATTCTCATCAGAATGATCTTATTTGATATTTTAGAGAGAAGGGTTACGTCAGGAGTTTGATGTTCAGCAGAATTCTCTCCAGAAAGTGGCACCAACAGTGGAGGCTCTTTACACATTGGTGTTGAAAATTAGTCATTTCTATTCTGACAAGGAAGATGGCCCAAGATTGGTTTGTTTTAGTTTAATATTCATATATTACAAATCATATACAAACTAAATAATATCTTGAAATAGAATTAGAAAATAAGGAACTACACATCAACACTGAGAAAGGGTATGAGTTTTATTATTGATTACCGGTTTCGAACCATTAAATTTCTTCATCAGGATGTATAAAGTCATTAGTTTATAATGAAAGAGAAATATGATATTGTTGAAATAAAGATAAGGAAAAAAATGTTCACTTGAAACAGGTGTGATGTTTGATTATGAAATTGTTTTATTGATTATGATGTAACAGATTAAATGCATATGTGTATTCATTATTATGAAATGTTATATAAGCATTATGTATATCATGAGAAGAAAATCTAGAAAAGTGCATTTTTATGACCCCAAAAATGCTTTTTATGTCCTGTTATATTTCAAGAAAGTTATTCATCAGCCAATTACCTGAACCAAGTGATAGGCATCTAAAATGCTCTAAAAACCATTATTTTATATTTATTAATTCCTGAGGTATAGTGTGCTTTTAAGAATGCAAAGACTACAAATTTCGTTTATCTTAATTTGTTTTATTTTTGTGTGCCACAGGTATGGTTAAGTCAACAACTAGTAAAATATAAAGACCCCTATCTAAAGTTGTTATCTGGAGACTCCAAGGGTCCACAACAGGTGAAGATGCTACTTCTACTGTGCTTAAGGTAAGTTAAAACTTATATGGCATCATTATGCTGTACCTTATTTTGATGAAATATTACCTTTTACAAGTAAATTTGACTTGTCCTTCTGTAACTGTTTTTATGCTCCCCGAAAAAATTTCGGGGGAGCATATAGTCGCCGCCTTGTCCGTCTGTCCGTCCGTCTTTCCGTCCGTCCGTCCGTCCCCTTTTCTTGTCCGGGACATAACTTTAAAACAACAAGAGGTATCAACATGAAACTTTGTATGTAGATCGATCTCATTGAGTAGGTGTGCAGTGCACAAGAACCGTAACTCTGCCTTGCCTAATTTTTGAATTATTCCCCTTTGTTTATTTTACACTTTGAACTTTGTCCGGGACATAACTCTAAAAGTATAAGAGGTATCAACATGAAACTTTGTAGGTAGATAGATCTCATTGAGTAAGTGTGCAGTGCACAAGAACCGTAACTCTGCCTTGCCTAATTTTTGAATTACCCCCCTTTGTTTATTTTACACTTTGAACTTTGTCCGGGACATAACTCTAAAAGTATAAGAGGTATCAACATGAAACTTTGTAGGTAGATAGATCTCATTGAGTAGGTGTGCAGTTTACAAGAACCTTAACTCTGTCTTGCCTAATTTGTGAATTATCCCCCTTTTTTTATTTTACACTTTGAACTTTGTCCGGGACATTACTCTAAAAGTATAAGAGGTATCAACATGAAACTTTGTAGGTAGATAGATCTCATTGAGTAGGTGTGCAGTGCACAAGAACTGTAACTCTGCCTTGCCTAATTTTTGAATTATCCCCCTTTGTTTATTTTACACTTTGAACTTTGTCCTGGACATAACTCTAAAAGTATAAGAGGTATCAACATGAAACTTTGTAGGTAGATAGATCTCATTGAGTAGGTGTGCAGTGCACAAGAACCATAACTCTGCCTTGCCTGATTCTTGAATTATTCCCCTTTGTTTCTTTTACACTTTGAACTTTGTCCGGGACATAACTCTAAAAGTATAAGAGGTATCAACATGAAACTTTGTAGGTAGATAGATCTCATTGAGTAAGTGTGCAGTGCACAAGAACCGTAACTCTGCCTTGTCTAATTTTTGAATTATCCCCCTTTGTTTATTTTACACTTTGAACTTTGTCCGGGACATAACTCTAAAAGTATAAGAGGTATCAACATGAAACTTTGTAGGTAGATAGATCTCATTGAGTAGGTGTGCAGTGAACAAGAACCTTAACTCTGTCTTGCCTAATTTTTGAATTATCCCCCTTTGTTTATTTTAACACTTTGAACTTTGTCCGGGACATAACTCTTAATGTATAAGAGATATCAACATGAAACTTTGTAGGTAGATAGATCACATTGAGTAAGTTTGCAGTGCACAAGAACTGTAACACTGTCTTGCCTACTTTTGGAGTTATTGCCCTTTGTTCATTTTGACACTTTGAACTTTGTCTGGGACATTACTCTAAATTTATAAGAGATATCAACATGAATCTTTGTAGACAGATAGGTCTCATTGGGTGGAAGTGCAGTGCTTAAGAATCATTACTCTGCCTTGCCTTATTTTGAAGTAATTGCCCTTTGTTTATTTTTACTTTTTGACTTTTGACCTGGACATTACTTTAAAACTATTAGAGATATCAACATGAAACTTTGTAGGTAGCTAGATATAATTGGATAGAACTGCTATGCTTAAAGAACCTAAACAAAGCCTGGTCTAATTTTGGAGTTATTGCCCTTTGTTCATTTTTACACTTTGACTTCAGGACATCAGGAAACTTTATAGATAGATAGATCTCATTGAATAGAAGTGCAGTGCAAAAAAACATAATTCCGCTTTGCCTAATTTTGGAGTTTTTGCCCTTTGTTCATTTTTTTTATACTTTCCTGTGTCCAGAACCTTCTCGGGGAGCATCACCCGGTTCAACCGGTTCTTGTTTACTGTCCATTGAAAATTGAAACGGTTTCAATTTCAAAATATCCATATAATTTTATTGTGCAGCTAAAGATATTGAATCTATATAGAATGCACAGATGCTCAAGCTGTCCTGGCTCTACAATGAATGGATACACAATAATTTATGTTGTAAAATTTCAGATATTTATGGAGTATAGCAGAAAGTGGACAGCCTATAGCTATACCAATGAGAATGCTGGAGGTATTCACTTCACAGGCTGTATATAATAACAAGGATATTCTTAAGCTTGTATGGAAATGTCTTATTGATTCTGGTAAGTTTATACAGTATAATATGATATTTTCTTTCATGTGCAGGGAAATTGTTGTCTGCGTAAAATGATGTCTGATTAAGTTTCTTAATTTTCTCTTCTTTTTTTTTTGGAATCTCTCCACCAAAAAAAAAAAAAAAAAAAAAAGGTAATTGCTTGTCAAACAGCTTCTTGTTCAGTCGGATAAGTTACTGATGTACTTGGCATCTAGTCTAGTATTAAGCTATTAAAGCATTTGCAAAGGGTGTTGTGATTGCTTATCTATGAATTTGTAGTCTGGACCATGCTAGTTCCATTGAATCTGTGACTGTGTGTAAGCTTTCCAGATAATTTACCTAGATACCTGCTAAGACATGAAATCATGGTATATTTAATACTACCTGCTAGTCAGTGTCACACAAAACAAAGCGTCAATTCTGTCATAAATCGCAATTTCAGTAGCATTTTTTGTTGTCATTAAATTGAAATAGAAAATATTTGAATATTAACTATGTAATAATTTATTTGAAGGTTATTTTGAGTGCATGCGGTTGTTATTAAACAACAAGGTACCATCCAGCCTGGAGAGAAGTCATGTTCCACCAACCCCAGTAGCTGCCAGTATATATGAACTAGTTATGAACCCTATAAGTTATGCTGCAACCTGTAAAGATACTCAATTTAGGTCAGTACTTTTTGTTTATACTCAACTTTTTAATTCACTAAACATGAACTGTTGTACACCTCATACTAATATTTGTTTTGCTTTTATTGATAATAAGATACATGTGTATGTTTATAAAATGGATGTTTTCAATGTTAATACATAAAAATCAGCTTAAATGAAACAGTAAATGATAAAAATGTGTATTTTTAACAAAACCGATACAGTTTGTTTTCAGATATTTAATTTCAATAAAATTTAGACTGTTTCTATATATTATGATACTTAGGCATTTCATCTAGCTCTGATTTAAGGGAGAGTTATTTTTGAACCCCTGTATCAGGATTTGAAAGGATTTTTGTTTTAGAATTTTAAAGGGTTGTGCCCAAATAATTGAGCTTGAACATGTATAGAAATCATAAGAAAAGTGTTTCAACCTTTCTTGGGGAATTTCCTATTTAGGGCCATTTGAAGGTTTCTAAGATTTCATTTAGTAAATTATAACAGTTCAAGTTGAAGTAATCTGCAAAAAATTGACACTGGAAGCTTCCTTTTTGCCTTTTTTAAAGGAAATTCATTAAGAAACATTTCAATTTATTCTGAAAGTAAATAGGAAAATGTGGAATGGCTGCACTAATTATTTATTTTAACTAACATGAGAAAGTATTTTTTTCCATTGCTTAACGAAATGTTAATATATTTCAGTAAGCTTGTTTTAACATCAGTGTGTCGATCGTTACTGTGTCCTGCATACACAGAACAGATTTCACAGTTTCTTCTACCTGCCATGGCATATGGGAAATATCCATTCCCCTTTGTAGACCTCATACAGACCCTGATAAGTCAGTGTAGAGAGGAGGAGGTAGGAGAAGGGAAGAATAAAGGGTATGGTAGAACAAGTTACAAGAAAAAATTGAAGACAGACATGACACCGTGGTTACTAAGGGCATTCCTTATGTTAGGGGAAAAGTTTGTTGGTAAGATTTTTTTGTCATACAAATATTTATTGGTAAATAACCTAGCACTTTAGTCAATATGTAAATGTTCTTTGAATTTAGAACTGTCCTTTGTTAGTTAAAGGGATAGCAAAGTAAAATAAGTATGCAGCATAAAGTCTTGTCACACTGTTTAGTTTTGCAGGCCCCAATTTTCCAAACTTGTGTCAGTAATTGGTTATATAATAGATTCCTTCCTACCTTTTATTTTTTTGCCTGGGACCACAGAAAAAAACAACACTTTTATGCCTGACAATATAAAAAGATCTGCAACCTTAAGCTTAACCATCCATGTTATTCTTTTTATTTATACAGTAAACTTCACTTATAGCAAACACGGTTATAAGGAACAATTGATTTTGGCCCGAATTTTGCCCTTCTTTATTTAGTATAAAAATATACGGTTATAGCTAACACGGTTTTAAGGAATTATTGCTTATAAGGAACTTATTTTTAGTCCCAATTTAGTTAAAAGTGCATAAAATTACACTTTTATAACGAACTCCAAATATCGTCTATTCGTAAATATATCCCGCATTTTCAACTTTCGTTTTCATTGGCACGGAATAAAACTCGCGGAATGTACCGTTTATTGTTGTATGTAATTCAATATATGAAAATGAATTTGTATAGAAGTATGTAATAGTTTTCTATTTAGAATTGTTTTAGCTTGAGTTCTTGTCACAAAGATAAAACGGTAATTCCTTTTATTCTATAATTTCTTTTCTTTAATAGTTTGCTCGAGTAAAATAATTATCGGTTTTCAACATAATCACGCATGCTTGCAAACATAATCCATAGAAAACTACAAAGTATGCTTGATTGAAATGAAAAGAAATCTATATATTATTAGTTAAAGTCACCCTTAAAATATAATAGAAGATACTCAATATAAAAGGAAGAAAAATGGAAAATCTTGTTTTTTCTTATTGATTGAAAGAAAACGAAAAGCACAGTGCAGTGAGTTAAGAAACAAAATATGATGTTTATGAAAAATTGAGAAAGGGAGTAAAACTAAAACTAAAATAGCAAAGAATTTTCAAATTCCAAAATGTACGCTCTCGGGTATTGTGTCTAAAAAAGAAATAAATGATTAATTATTCTTAATCAAATGCTCTTAAAAATGGCGGACGATGTTTACCAATCAGTTCGTTATATGTAAATCTGTTCGCTATAAAAACTCCTGATACAAGGAACTAATTCGCTTTATGCTTACAAGGAACTCCGGATATAAGGAACAGATTTTGAATGTCCCAATGAGTTCGTTATAAGCGGAGTTTACTGTATGCTTGTACAATATAGTTTCATATTCAATATTATGGACTGGATGACTGTTTTGTTGGCCACTATATTTTAGGTTCTGATCCTGCAATAGTTATAATTCTTTTATGTACAAAAACTGTGGCTGGTCTGTGCTTCTACCCAGATGCAAGATTTTACCTGAAACAATGCTGACTTCTAGAGTGGTCACCAGTAAAGCTTAAATATCTTCATATGATCTTGGCATTGTTGATATGACCTGAGGCTCCAACCTCTAAATATTCTGTTGCACTAAATTCTAAATACACAATAAATAATCTGGTTATGAGTGATATTAAAGATAAACGACATTATAACTATATATCCCTATTTAAGATGTATTCCACAGTTTTGCCATTTAAATATCCCACATATTTTTCAGAAACAATGTCAGCAGAATCATTCAGTATGTATATCCAGGTATTACAGAGGTTGCTACCAACGTTACCAGCTTCACGGAACTTAGATGATGATGATTCTGACTCAGAAGAAGATATGGATTATGCTGCCAATGTAAGATATAACAAACATTAACATTCATACATATTTAAAGAATTATGAAAACCATATACAAAATGTACAAAGCATTTAATTGATAAACTGTGCAATATTATATATGATAATGAAAAATTATACCTATTTCCATTATTATATGTTCATGGAAAAAGAATTATGAAAAATTATAGGATTACATTCAAGAGAAAAACATTTTGTTAATTGGTGTCATATTCCTTTTACACATTCTGCTTATATGATAAATAAAGCTAAGTCTTTGTTTTAAAAGGAAATAGTGAGAACCATGTTAGAATGAACATAATACAAATAACACTTTCACATTTATGGATAATATGATTTAAAGAATTGTTTGAAAATGATTATCGCATGTGCTTTTTTAAAAATACAAAAATGCGCTTTATTTTAATCAAATAATTTCTCAGGAAGATCTTTAAAGCGGCCTGTAGTTACTAAAATATATAATGAGGATCATTTCAAAGCTTCTCTCAGTAATGCTAGAATTTGTAATATGGTTGTCATAGTCTTACAGCTAGTGTGGTTTTACTAACAACTACAAATAGCATCATTCCAGTTGTGTTAACACTGAGATTTTTAAACTTAGCCAGTTAGTAAGATAATTCCCTAGGTTTGCTTTGCAAACTCGTTTACATTGTTTTAATGATTGAGGGAATTAAATTCTAATATATCTCTTTAATACAGAAGAAACTTATGTCAATAATGTTACTTATGTCAATTAAGAAGTGGAAAAAGATATATGTATGGTATGAAAATATTTGTCATGTTAAAAAAGTAGTGAAATGTAAACTTAAGATTCTAGTTCTGTTTAGTTTCTATTTGGAATCAAAATTCAAGAAAAAGCTTTGAAAACACGACATTTATACCGTATTGCGAAAAGAGGATATCAATGTTTGAAAGAATTTGGAGCAGAAAAGCAGGTTATAAGATTGCACCAGCTTGTATCAATCACCCACTGCTATTGTTTGTTTACAATTTTTAAGCTATGAGCCCCCAACTGCAGCTGCCTACATTATTACTGCCTACAAATAATCTCTGTTCTCACAAATAAAACTTGTACAGCACAAAATAATCCATAGCCTCCTCTTGCAGGATGATTAATCCTTTTAAATTCTTCCCTCCGATACTATTATTTTATAGAAATATTGTGAAATAATATATCCCAACACTGATTTTGTCGGTAAATAAAATCACTGTTTGGAGTTCGAATGTGAAGAACTTTATTACGAGGATGTAGCACGAGTGATATGATGCACATCCAAACAACAAACAGTGATTTTATCAAGAGATCCTTCTATGTTCAATAGGAAAAAATGCGGTTTGTGTTAGAATGCAGCATAACATAATATATAATTAACATGCCTGTCAACTAATTTCTTTGTTTAATCTTTGCTTCGTGATTATCAAGATGCTATAATAGACACATGGTAAATAACGAAAACAGAGTTTAATTAACTACATAATTATTTGGAATTATATAAGATTGATATGCTGTTGACAGGGTGCAGATGAAGACAGACTGGAGGAGGTGAGAGAAGAATGTTTAGGTGTGATAGATTCACAGGCACATGTTCACAAGATGGTTGCTTTAGTTAGTGGGGAACCAGACACCCATGTTATGTTTGCTGTATCAGTCATATGTCATTGTCTGATGAGTCAACATCGATTCTCTATACATAAACGAAGGTAATTATTATCTATACATAAACGAAGGTAATTATTATCTATACATAAACGAAGGTAATTATTATCTATACATAAACGAAGGTAATTATTATCCATACATAAACGAAGGTAATTATTATCCATACATAAACAAAGGTAATTATTATCCATACATAAACGAAGGTAATTATTATCTTTACATAAACGAAGGTAATTATTATCTATACATAAACGAAGGTAATTATTATCTATACATAAACAAAGGTAATTATTATCTATACATAAACGAAGGTAATTATTATCTATACATAAACGAAGGTAATTATTATCTATACATAAACGAAGGTAATTATTATCTATACATAAACGAAGGTAATTATTATCTATACATAAACGAAGGTAATTATTATCTATACATAAACGAAGGTAATTATTATCTATACATAAACGAAGGTAATTATTATCTATACATAAACGAAGGTAATTATTATCTATACATTAACGAAGGTAATTCTCTAGATATAAGCAAAGGTAATTCTATAGACATAAAAGGCAGTTATTTTGTATACATAAACAAAGGGTAAACTAAGGTAATTATTATCTATACATAAACAAAGGTAATTCTCTAAACATAAATGGAGGTAATTCTCTAGAAGTAAAGGAAGGTAAATCTCAAGATATAAACAGGTGATTCTCTAGCCATAGATGGAGACTATTCTTTAGACATACACCAAGGAAATTCTCTAGATATAAGCAAAGGTCATTCTCTAGCCATACTGTTACAGGGATAATTCTCTGGATATAAATGACAGTAAATCTCTAGACATTAATAAAGGTGACTTGCTTGACAGAAAAACAAGTAATTCTCTATTCATAAATTGAGGTAATACTCTATGCATGAATAAGAACTCTTTATGGTAATTCTAGTGGAGCGGGAAATAAGGTATCTCCTGTCAAAATAGTGCAAATTGTGATACAAGCATGAAACTTTCAGGAAATCATCTTTAAACTATAGAGATTCCAAAAGTGAAGTGGGCCCAAAAATATCTCTGCTCATTCAAGATGGCCGCCATTTTCAAAATGGCCACCTTATAAATTTGACGAACATAATAGCTCATTCTGTGAAATTTTTTGTACAGACCTAAAACTTACACTAAAGCATATATTATGTTTTCGTTTCATAAAAATTAAAATCTTGAACAAAATCAGCGTTCATTTCTTTTCAAAAATCAAGATGGCGTCCAATATGGCGCGGATTTTATGCAAAACTGATGTATCTCTTTTGTCATATAATTTGTATCTCAAATTATGCATATTTCAATAAAAAGTGTATAAAAATATAAAAAATAATCAAATTATATGTAAACCACAATGTAAGTCAAGCTTTTAAGTTATTTATCCAAAAAGTATCTTTAGAAATTTTAAAGAAAAAGTGCCAATATTTGCAGATTTCTCTAACATGGTTTTTGTGTCGCCTCTACGGAGTAGTGGCGACATATAGGGATCACTTCTCCGTCGTCTGTCTGTCCGTCTGTCTGTCTGTCTGTCTGTCTGTCCGTCCGTCCGTCACAAAACTTGTCCGGACTACTCCTCATAAACTACTGGTGCAATTTCATCCAAACTTTACAGGAATGATCAGTACCAAGTCTAGTTGTGCATATTGTCAGGATTTTCCGGTTCAATGATTTTTGTCAGAGTTATGGCCCTTTAATAATTTTTAATTTTAAAGTTTGTCCGGACTACTTCTCTTATACCACTCATGCAATTTCAATGAAACTTTACAGGAATGATCTGTAGCTCAAGTCCTTGCGCATATTGCACGGGTTTTCCGGTTGAATGATTTTTGGCCGAGTTATGGCCCTTTGATTAAAAGGTTTCTTTTTCTGTGTGTTGCCAGATACACAAAAGCTTGTCCGGACTACTCCTCATAAACTACTGGTGCAATTTCATCCAAACTTTACAGGAATGATCAGTACCAAGTCTAGTTGTGCATATTGTCAGCATTTTCCAGTTCAATGATTTTTGTTTGAGTTATGGCCCTTTAATAATTTTTATTTTTAAAGTTTGTCCAGACTACTTCTCTTATACCACTTATGCAATTTCAATGAAACTTTACAGGATTGATCTGTAGCTCAAGTCCTTGCGCATATTGCACGGGTTTTCCAGTTGAATGATTTTTTGCCGAGTTATGGCCCTTTGATAAAAAGGAGTTTTTTTCTGTGTGTTGCCAGATACGCAAAAGCTTGTCCGAACTACTCCTCATAAACTACTGGTGCAATTTTATCCAAACTTTACAGGAATGATCAGTACAAAGTCTAGTTGTGCACTGTCCGTCTGTCTGTCCGTCTGTCACAAAATTTGTCCCAACATGAAATTGGCCATCATGAGGCGACACATGTGATTACTGATCGCTCTTGTCTAATACTAGTAGGTCGTTGTACAAAATTCGAAAGTAACTTAGTTTTTTATAGTGTATTTGATATTTAATTAGCACTATGTGTTTATTGCAAACATAAAATCTGTGGGTTTTATATTTTGCCAAAGTGGGTGGGGTAAATTTATCTGATAATTGAAAAACATAAACAACGAAGTTGTAAGTTAATTTTATTTCTTTGCTTTTTGTTAAACTTTCTATGAGTTCTTAGGAAAATAGTCACTCTTATTTTTTTTCCAGTAATTTGTGTCTTCATTCAGGTCTAGAGGACTATGCTAAAATGCACATGCATTCATGTGTATACAGTCAATTGTAAAATTTGTTTTAGAGATATAACTCGTTTCAATATTCTTAATTGTAATGATAGTAGACTGAATATACATTAACAAAACATATGTAAAATATTGTCTTATTTACGAATACAATTAATTCCTTCACAATTTCATTACAAAAAGATATAAATCGCTTTTAAGCCAGCACAATGAGAAAAATGAATTTTGCATTAGATACCATAGTCTTACTGAAGGCTTGTTACAGTAAGATTCAAAGTTTTATCTACTTTCTTGTCATTGTAATTAGGTAAAATTGAATTAGCACTGTTTATAGAATAACATATCTAGACATGGTATTTTCAAAAGATACAAAGTAAAATTAAGGTGACTGATACATGTACATCATATGATCTATGTGTAGTGAAATAATCATAATCAATAGTATCGCTTGACCAACATATATTTGATGATAATTTGAAATATAAACAAACTGTCTGTCAAAGGTTATTCAAATTTCATGTTCCATATAAATCAATCCTTGACCACTCACTTTACATCCACTGCAGGATGGAAAATTGCCATAACTCTTTAATACAGAAGTAAGAAAAGATTATGTTAGGAGTATCATTTTTTTCTACCACATACAGTTATGATTTATGAACTATTTGTGAAGGTTTGCTTCAAAGGAAACATGCCCAATATCTAGGTACTCATAGGAACTGTTTCACACAAAAAGACTCATATAGTTATATTTCTATACGAGTCAATAAAAAAACTAAGTCCTATGCCAATAATTCACAATTTTAAAGAGTATCACAGAGTGAATTTTTAAGACAGTTTAAGTCTATGCAAACATTAGTAACATACCAGGGAAAGCCATTTTAGACTGCAGAAGCATGATTAAAAGGCCTGCCATGAAGGGCACTTAGATTTGAAAGACTTATATAGGAAATCACATTAAGTCCTCTTTTGGAGAACTACAATGCCTTTAACTTAGATATTCAACATACCAGTATAACATTGACCTCTTTAATTTACATAAAACTCTCTGTTCGTAACTTAGTGTACAAAGATTTTACATAGTAAAAATGTTTTTAAAAATCTTCTAAAAAGCAGAATGCACAAAGCATACAGCATAGACACTAAGCATGTACCACCATCTTGTGTCTTTAACATATTGAATGAATCTTGCTCATAGAGCCAACCGGGTTTATAGAATTGTGTAGGGAAACACAATAAGAGAACTTCTAGTGTTAAACTAAATGCATAAAATTGTATGATGTCTTGCAGTCAAAATGGCTTTGAAATGGGTATCACTTATTTTACACAGACTTAATATGTAATAACTTTGTATTCTCTAAAACTACAGTAACCGAATTAATTATGTATCATCATAATCTTGTAATACTCTAAAACTATTTAAAAAATCATGGACATATGGACTCATATAGGAATATTAATAGTTATTTAAGTCCTCTCATGAGAAAGAATTCTGAGAAACTGGATATTAAGCTGTTTCTTTTAAAGCATCCTTACAATATTTCGCAAATCATATACTGTTATGACAAAACTGAAACACCCAATTACCTACGTTTATAAATAATTGTGACACCTTTTCCCAACAATGGTGTTTGATTTAGGGTCATCATTGCCCTGTTATTGAAATAAAAAATATATATGAATAATTATGAATTACAGTTATTGTATTTTAAATAATCAAAAACTGTATATGTCGGTCAGGTGATATCATTGATATATCTGTTTCACAACACATAGAATGAGATGATGTGATAGTAGTCTTTTATTTTATATATGCAAAAATTATTATCTCATTGAGTTAGCTTTAAAACCATTTAAAGCCATTTTCATATTTTTCATAGTGAAGGAGTTAATAATATGCGTTAATGGACAACCTTATTCATGTGCGTGTTTGCTATTTAAAGCGTGTTTGTTGATATATTGTCTTCTTATATATCTTTACAATAAACAATTAATAAATAATATCAAGAAATTGAAACAAATTATATCACGCAACCAAATTTTATAACTGAGTGTATACTTATGAATGTAACTATGTTCATTTATTGATATTTTCGCTCACCTACTTGACCCAAAGAAAGACATATATTTTATAGCTTCCTACACAATCAAACTAAAATAAATTCTGTATAAACCAAAGAAAGACAAAAAAACATTCGTCTAATAAAGAATACTTTTTAACAGGGAACATTTGCATAATAAGTAACAGAAAAAGCGAAGAAATAGAAATAACTTACGGTCAGTGTGAATTTTTTTGTTTTTCTATTATATTATATATAATTATAGGATAAATTTACCCCATCCACTTTGACAAAATATAAAACCTACATTTTTAATGGTTCTCTGACATGTTAACAACAAACACCTATTTTTTAATTGAATTACATATTAGAAATATTAAAAGTAAGTTATTTTTTTTTTAATTTTGCATATAGAGTTAGAAAACTAAATTAGATAAATAATATTTAATATGCAAAAAAAATGAGATTTTTTTTTAGGATATCTTTAAACATATTTTTAGACATAAACTTAAAAAGCTTTTCTATCATTATGATTAACATATGATTTAATTATTTGTGATATGTTTAAACACTTTTTTTATCGAAATAAACATAATTTGTGCTACAAATTATACTATAGAAATTATATAACAGTTTTGCATAAAATCGGCGGCCATATTAGATGCCATCTTGGATTGAGAAGAGAAATGAACGCGGAATTTTGTAAGATTTAAAGTTTTGTAAAGGAGACACTTTATACATGCTATGGTGTAAGTTTCAGGTCTTTACAAAAATTTTGACTGAATGAGTTATTTATGTACGTCAAATTTATATGGCGGCCATTTTGAAAATGGCGGCCATCTTGAATGAGCAGAGATAATTTTGGGCCCACTTCATTTTTGAAACCTATGTGGTCTAAAGATGATTTCCTGAAAGTTTCATGCTTGTATCACCATTTGCACTATTTTCTCAATTTCCCGCCCCACTATAGTCCTCAATTAATATAGGATATACACTGCATAGTTTTCTATTTTCAAAGAAAAATTGATGAAAAAAAGAGCAATCTATTTATACGCTACATGTGTTTCCATATTAAATAAAATTATACATGTATATCTTATCTTTGAGTATAGATATATTCTACACTTGAATTAACTTAGTGACTTTAATAAATTAACTTTTTTATTCACTAGGTTATTATACAGTTTGGCTTACAATCCGAAGTTTGTGCGTAGTTTATGGCATTGTTGTGTCTCTGTATCAACTATAACAGCAACCAGGTAATCTCTTTCTGACAATTATCTTTTGTTTCTTTGTAATTTGTTACAACATTTTGACCAGGTACATTTTGTTTTTCTGTTCATGAAATATATATACAGTTTATGTACATGTATAGCCCAAACATTTTAACAATTTTGTACATTTGTTATTTACTTCTTTCTAATATTACAATATATATGCATTTGTTTTGATTTTTGTTGGTTAAGATGTTATGATCACAGACACACAGTTAGCTAAGAACTGATCAAATTTTATAATACAGTCAAATCTATTGAAACAATGTTGATGTAGAATTTCAGTAACAAATGTTTCTTAATACTTTATATCATTTTAAAGTGTTAGAAGTCAGCTTCTCCTTTCCACTGTAAGCTGGAATCCTACAAGGGATATTGTATTATTTCATGTTAGCCAGGTAGATTATATAAGTTTGTAGCACTTTGTAGGTGTCTACTTACATCTGCTGTTTTGCTTGGAGGGGCATCTGACATTTTCCAGCATGTTAAATCCGGAAAAACACATTTATGTGCTTGTATACTTCAAAACAAATGAAACAATGAAAATTAATGTTGCAGTAATGAACTGGAAATAAGAATGAATGACTGTTTTTATAAGGGCTTTTTATTTAAAGGGAAAGACAAGGTTAGAATAAAAACTTGATTTCAGAAAAAGAATACTATAAATAATAAATCTGCAAATTTTCTGCCACCAAATAATAATATTAAACGAATGATAACAAAATTTAAATCGCTAAATCACCGATTTCTACAAATCAGTAAGCGCGGCCATGTTTGTGTATTGGCCGTATAAAAACAGGTGCGCGTGATGTCATTTCCCCACATCTTTAGATTTATGATAAATCTAGTTGAATCGTAGGGAAATATTAATATAATAAAGTATTGACCAGACAATTTAATTTTCACAAGAGGTGTAGAGGAGATTTTTTTATTGTTCAAAATACGTAACAATATCAAAAAAAAATAATAAAAAATAAAGAAACAAAAACAAAATCAACGTCTACCGGTCGCACCACTTCAGGCCAGTGATGCCCGTTACTCCAAACAATGCTATGTTCATTAAAGTCTCATCTTAATGCAATTAAACAATATTTCACAGATTTAATAAATACACATGTTATTATTTAACAAAGTTTCACAATCAAATAATGCAATTAAATAAACGCACCAACGAATAATTGGCTGTTAATTATTGAATGGCGATAATTATCATTAATATAAAAATCCTACTAAAACGTGTTCTTAATAGTACATGTAATTAAATTTTTGCAGTTTGATTCTGACTTTCAAATTAAAAGGTGTGAACACATGTTATCATTGATGTACACATTTCAAAAATATAAGCAACTCTTTTGAAAAGTAAATTGTTAACATGTCTGTCAACATATGATGCTGCGCATCGTAATCGTAGCCTAATATTAACTGCAGGCAAAACATTTTTATTGGCTGCTCAAAAATCTAATTTGCATAATTTATTCACACAATAGCTGGTTCTTACTACTTATGTCTAATACTGTGCATTGTCCATTTTAATTGTTCCTAATTTGCACCAAATGTTCCTGTCACACTGTGTACTGACGATTTTAATTGCTCTTTGTATGCCTCTGTGCCGACATACCTTTTGATCATGCACAATGTTGCCCTGATTGGTTAATCACCCTTGTCAAATATTCTAATGACGAAATTGCATCTATTTTTTGTTACGCTTCATCAGTGAACTGAATGACCTTAGGGGAAATTAAGTTCCACACCTGTCAAATTATACTGTAAATTACAGCATGTCATAAAATAGCAACACATTTTTTTTTCAGTTACCAATAATCATTTTAAATATTAAGTAGATTTATGATTTTTTTGTTTTATTGGATTAAATTTACGGTAGTAGAAATGCGTATCTGTGTGGAAAAGGAATTGGGTTAGTAGATAACGTGGAAAAAAGCTATAGGGAACTGGATAAACCCGAGAATATGCGTAATTACAGGGGAATGGGCAACCTGTTGCTGTTGGTACCAGTTTTGACTGGGTGCCTAAATAACCTAACGGACAGTTTTGTTTTCATACGATATTAGTCCTCAGCAGATCTCTGCATATTGGATTTAGTTGATATTTTACGCTGAAAAAAAGATACATGACCGGCGATGTACCCTATTCGGACAGCTTGTCTAGTGAAAATTAAGTACAAAATAAAAGGATATATCGTCAATTTGAAGAAGTTTCTCATAGTACCCAAATTAAATTGATGGTTTATCTTTGAAAATTAAGCAGTCATTGCTTAAATCATGTGGTTGGATCATCAGCAAGCTTGAAAATCGGACAAATGATAATTAAGGTCGAGGCGTCTTCAATTAATTAATTAAAGCAATTCAGTTCCATATGATGTTTTCATAAATAATATATAATGTACGCAATAAGATTAATAAGTTTTTCATCAAGATATATTTCAGATGTACCAGCGTGTACACCTATACCGGAAGTGGGTGTAACACGTCACAATCTCGGTCTCGTCTGTCTCGCAAGAATGACAGAACGCCAAAATGGCGGCGCCCATGAACTTATTTCTCAAGTAAAAAATAGTGTCTTAAAACACGAATTTCTCACTTATAGGGTTGATGTCAACAGAAAAACTGTCATGGTACCTCTTTTTAAATGATGAATATTTATATTAGACAGACATCAATCCATCCATTCCTATTGACCTTTTCGAAAACCTAGCTAAACACCGTTTTCCGGTACGTTACCGTTTTAGCTCTGGGGAATTACATCAAATGAAGTACATAACACAGTTACGTGATATTTCGATTTTTCTATCATTATTTAACCGTTTAAGGTGAAAAAATTGATGTTTTTGAAAATTATCAATATTCCTTTAATATCTATTCCAAATTATTCAAAAAAATAAATTGTTTATAATGAAAATCAATAAAATTCAAACAGACGTAGTGGAATCTTCCATAATGAATAAGGTTATTTTCTGCGTTAACTTGTGTATTTACTTTATTTTTTGTATGGAATTATTCATACAATGATATCTAATTATTTTCTTATAAAGAAATAATTACTTTATTTCAATTTGATTTTAAAAAAGGCCGAAAACATCGAGTTCGCTATTACACTCCATTGGGTGAATTCCCCAGAGCTATGTACAGAAAGTACCGGAAAACGGCGTTTAGCTAGGTTTTCGAATTCGTGAATTCCTTTAAGATCTTTATCCAGAAATTTGGTTTTTGAAACAGGTTTTACTATCTGATTTAAATTGATGAATTTTAGAACAGAGACGGCATTAATCATGATGTTGAGTCGAGGATTGACTATGTCTGATAGAGATATAGGCAGGATAGTTCCTTTACTTGCCACATTCTGTTCTATGTTTAGTCACTCACTACATACACTTCATGATGCTGACTTTTACGAGGATACTACAGGTAAATTACAAGCTGATTTAGAATCTTTGTTTACTTTTGATATATGATTGCATTTTCAATTATAGAAAGTTATTTTTTCAGTTTCAATCATATAAAATTTGTTTTGAAAACCTAAAGCATAGTAGATGATAGAACATCATAAAGTAAGTCCTTGTTGCATATAGAATAATATAGTTATTAATGTTTTGCAGATAAACTACAAAACAGATATAGAAGACCATGTTTTAATGAATTCTAATTTAAAGTTACATACTATGTACCACAGTATCTAATACTAAAAACTTAAATGATTGTTAGTCCCCACCTTTTGAAAGTATATTTGTGTCAAATAATATTCTGTTAAAAGCTTAAGACTGTAAAGTGACATACTTTATAAACTTTATAAAATAATATATAAGAATTGTTTCGTAACCAGATAAAATGTATTTCAGGAAGCATGCCATTCAATCTATTAGAGATTATACAAATGGTGATAGCTTTGAGAGATGTTTGTCTGGGTATAATAGAGTTGGCACATCCTGACGCAAAACCTACAGTCAACGAGGACTACAGGCAGGCACTGAGCAGGGTCGGTGTTAAAACCAGGAATAATAATGTTAAAGAGTTGAATCAGCAGACATTACAGTGGGGATACTTATTTAAGGTAAGATATACATTGCTTGTGTTGTTACATCATGATTTTGTGTTTATGTTATATTTCAATGTCTTTACTATCAATATATCAGTAACCTTTGGGATAGTCTGTTTATAAGGAAAACTATCGGTAGTTCGTTCACATTTTTCATAATGTATATAATAAAAGGAAAATTACACAAGTGTTATTTTGGTGGACAGTATGACTCATGTTGAGTGTGAAAAGTTGTATTTACAATTTGCTCAAAGGAATTGCACAATCAACTTGTGTGATACATCCCATGCATCATATGTTCATCATTTTTAGATTGTACTGAGTAGCATTCATTACTTTAAGGATAGTCACTGGCTCATGGAAAATTAAGTGTTATAAAAAATACTTGTTCTTTGTACAGATGAAAACTATTCTTTGTGTACAATATTTGAACTTTGGCTGTTACCACTGACATGTTTGTATTATTATCATATCCTTCAGGTGACAGCAAGTTTAGTGAGGCAGATTTATACACGTGATGCACGGAGATCATTTTGTCCTAAAGATCTGTGGTTATCAGATAGAGTCAAGATACAAGCCGACGGACCGTCACAGATTTGTCAGTCTAATATGTCTATGTTTACACAACGACCATTCAGAACGATGCAGTCACTCTCTAAATACCAAGAAGATGAGGGACTGCCACCTTTGTCTAACAGGGACGTCAAAAACCTTGTTATCCTTACAGAACTACCATTTGTAGTTTCATTTCATGAGAGGGTCAAGGTATGTTGACTTCATAAAATACATTAGGTGCAAAGAATTATATGACTATGTAATGATATACAGTATGTGTTTTTATTGAATATTTTATACATACAGTATGTGTTTTTATTGAATATTTTATACATTTTTTAAACTGCTATTTTATTGCCATTTATTGTCCAATTTGCAAAATTTTCACACCAATGAAAAGCTATTGATCCTAGCTTTGTATCAATACCAACTTTCACATAATGATTTATACAGAGAGTTATGTAGCCAGTTATCTTTACACGAAACACAACTGATAAGGATGGCCTGTCGTCTGCTAGTTTGGAAACTGTTTATGGGTGTATTTGAAGTACATTACTGATTTTGAATTTTCAAATGTTCAAAATTTGAGATGTAAATTGTATATTCAAATATAACAGTTTAGACACATATTTTTTTTCTTCAGATATTACAGAAGTTGATAGGTAAAGACAAGGAAGAGAATCAAGGTGGACAGCATCAGTTCTTGTCTGGACCAAGTATTAATGTAATGATAAGAAGAAACTACATCTATGAGGATGCTTTTGAGAAATTGTCTCCTGATAATGGTATGCTCTGTTTCTCTATAACTGAAATACATTAATATATCTGTCAGAATGACTTGCCTGTTACATTAGTATAGAGCTTGTTCAACCAAAGTTTGCCGGTTTTAACCATCCTCAGTTTTAATTGCTTAAAACTGTCCCAGTTATGACAACGAGTTTGACAAACAGCAAGGTCAATACATGTATAAATTATTTCATTAGCATCCTTGTGGCTAACCCTGTAATTTTGTATACTTTCTGCTGCTCAATGTTATCCATTTTTTTTGCTGATCCTCCTAAGTTATGATGGACTGTTCCATTAAAGACATGCCTTTTATACAAATTTTGCAGAATAAATGTTAAAAAAACAAAAATGTAGCCTGTGATGCTTGAGAAGGTTTTGTTAAATCTCAGTTTGTCTCTCTATTATATTTGTATTTTAATCTTTGTTTTAATTGTCTTTACCTCCTTTGTAATTTTAACTTTATAGGAATTGTGAATTATAATTTTTTTAAAAGTATAAACAATATTTTATTATCATATGTTTAGGGTCAACTTATGTGACAGCCTTAATGTCCCTAATCTTTGACTTTATTATACCGTAACATAACTGGAAGGAAAAATTAGCACTTTCTATGTCATGATACATTACGAAGTTTTCTGTTCATTTAAATTTAATGATGAATTTTTCAAAGTATTTAATTTAACTTTGCGTGTGTATTTGTTATATTTTACAGAAGCAAACCTGAAGTTAAAGATGCGGGTACAGTTAGTCAATGCAGCAGGTTTAGATGAGGCTGGTATAGATGGAGGTGGAATTTTTCGAGAGTTTCTTAATGTTTTACTTAAGACAGGATTTGACCCTAACAGGGGATTCTTTAGTCAAACCACTGACCGTCTACTATATCCAAACCCACAAGCAGCTGTTCTTACCAATGATTACATGGATCACTATTATTTCCTAGGAAGGATGCTCGGAAAAGTACTTACTGAATTATTTTTAATGTATTTAGTAAATTTTGCTGTAATTAGGAAATTAGGAGACTATTCAAGATAACTTAATGTTTCAGTACACTGGACTGAAATTTTATATTTCATCTTTATGTACATATGATCGTACAGAATTAAAAAAAGAAACAATTAGAGATGATTAAGAATTAAAGGTGAAGTACATTTTCATTTCCAGGTTGTATTTAAAATCTTTTAAATCATAATAATTCAGGGTTCTCGGTGACGCTTATTTCAGCATCCCGGTACTCATGTTTGTTACGACTGGACACATATATTTCAAAGCAATAATTCTGCGTACGCTTAATTTCACCCGAGGACTCATAAACATTACTGATTGTACACAACCACAAATACATCAGCGCGTGTTGATCTATTATTATTTTTATGATATTTTCTGATTAATATATATAAGAACATTTTATTATTATTCATTGTGCATTAGTTTAGTATTCTCATTTGACAAAGTTTTTGTTTACATTTTTAGGCTATATATGAGAACATGTTGGTAGAATTACCATTTGCTTCATTCTTCCTGTCAAAGATTTTGAGTCGTCATAGCGGTTACCTTGACATTCATCACCTTGCTTCACTAGACCCAGAAATGTACAAAAATCTTCTCTTCCTTAAACAATATGATGGAGATATCAAAGATCTAGGGTTGGATTTTACAACTGTGAATAATGACTTTGGTGAAACAAAGGTATAATTTCTTATTTCCTACCTGTATAACTTAAAGGTAATAGCCATGAACAGTTATCATGAAACTGTGTTAAATAAGACTGTAAGGGAATTATTTTAGTCGTTACCCTTTTGAATGTATGTAATGATTGTATAAAAATTGAACGGACCACAACAGCAGCAACATATAGCGAGACTTTACACTGGTGGCACAGGCTTCTTAGTGCTCAGTGGGATGATACATTTAGCAGTGTTTCATCAGGTATCTTATAAATACTCTTTAAATATTTTAATAAACATTAAATTGATAAGATTTCTTTATATAAAAAAGAAGTTGGTTAATGTAAAATTCTAGTCAACATATTCATGATTTGTTATAAAATGCAGTCAAACTGTTGTACTATTATATGTATTGTTTTATGTATCGTATCTTAGTTGATCAATGAATTTGTTTGTATAACAGGTTGTAGAATTAAAGAGAGATGGACATAATATTCCAGTGACTGCCCAGAACAGAATAGAATACATTCATCTGATGGCAGATTATAAACTAAACCAGCAGGTAAGTAATCTATTTATAGTATCAAATGATTTGTTTGTTACTGTCCTGAATTACTAAATATATTATGTCTGTAACAAAAGCATATGTATTAACAATATAAAGTAGCTTAGATATTTTTGTAAAGTCCGATTTTTAAAGTGTATACATCTATTTATAAATTTATTGAGGTCAAATAAAAACTTTTTTTATATTTCAGATCAAGAGGCATTGTACAGCATTCCGTGAGGGTTTGTCAGATTTAATAAACCTAGAATGGTTGAGAATGTTTGACCAGCAAGAGTTACAGGTCCTTATATCTGGAGCAGCTGTCCCTATAGACATTGAGGATCTGAAACAGTATACAAATTATTCAGGAGGTTATGATGCTGATCATCCAGTGATTAAGATGTTCTGGCAAGTTGTAGAGGAGTTAACAGATGAACAAAAGAGACAACTTCTCAAGTTTATAACAAGTTGTTCTAGACCACCACTTTTAGGCTTTAAGGTAATGTGGTAATACCATAATGTATTATGTCCAGGTAATGTGGTAATACCATAATGATTTATGTCTATGTAATGTGTTAATGTAGTGTATTATGTCTATGTAATGTGGTAATGCAATAATGTATTATGTCTATTGAATATGATAATGTAGTGCATTATGTCCAGGTAATGTGGTAGTACCATAATGCATTATGTCTAGGTAATGTGGTGATACCATGATGTTTTATTTCTATGTAATGTGGTAATGTAGTTTATTATGTCTGTGTAATGTGGTAATACCATTATGTATTATGTCTATGGAATGTGGTAATGTAGTGTATTATGTCAATGTAATGTGGTAATGTAGTGTATTTTGTCCATGTAATGTGGTAATACCATAGTGTATTATTGTGTCGCCTCTACGCAGTAGTGGCGACATATAGGGATCACTTCTCCGTCGTCTGTCCGTCTGTCTGTCTGTCTGTCTGTCTGTCTGTCCGTCCGTCACAAAACTTGTCCGGACTACTCCTCATAAACTACTGGTGCAATTTCATCCAAACTTTACAGGAATGATCAGTACCAAGTCTAGTTGTGCATATTGTCAGGATTTTCCGGTTCAATGATTTTTGTCAGAGTTATGGCCCTTTAATAATTTTTAATTTTGAAGTTTATCCGGACTACTTCTCTTATACCACTTATGCAATTTCAATGAAACTTTACAGGATTGATCTGTAGCTCAAGTCCTTGCGCATATTGAACGGGTTTTCCGGTTGAATGATTTTTGGCCGAGTTATGGCCCTTTGATAAAAAGGTTTCTTTTTCTGTGTGTTGCCAGATACACAAAAGCTTGTCCGGACTACTCCTCATAAACTACTGGTGCAATTTCATCCAAACTTTACAGGAATGATCAGTACCAAGTCTAGTTGTGCATATTGTCAGCATTTTTCCGGTTCAATGATTTTTGTTTGAGTTATGGCCCTTTAATAATTTTTATTTTTAAAGTTTGTCCAGACTACTTCTCTTATACCACTTATGCAATTTCAATGAAACTTAACAGGATTGATCTGTAGCTCAAGTCCTTGCGCATATTGCACGGGTTTTTCCGGTTGAATGATTTTTGGCCGAGTTATGGCCCTTTGATAAAAAGGTGTTTTTTTTCTGTGTGTTGCCAGATACGCAAAAGCTTGTCCGGACTACTCCTCATAAACTACTGGTGCAATTTTATCCAAACTTTACAGGAATGATCAGTACAAAGTGGTTAGTCTAGTTGTGCACTGTCCGTCTGTCTGTCCGTCTGTCACAAAATTTGTCCCAACATGAAATTGGCCATCATGAGGCGACACATGTGATTACTGATCGCTCTTGTATATGTTATGTGGCAATATCATAATATTGTATTTTGTCTATGTAATGTGGTAATATCTCAATGTTTTATGTCAATGTTATACTTTATTGTATATTGGCTATGAAATGTGGTAATACCAATGTATATACAGACTATTGCTCTAAGCTCTTTGGCTTTCAGTTAGATTTAGGAAACTTTATAGTCATGTTATTGAACATGTGAAGCTACCCTTTAGAGTTGAGCAAAGGGGTTGATCTTGATTTATAAACAGTTAAATGTCCTTTGAATAGTTCAAATTTTGCATTTTATTGTGAGCAGAGTACTAATCCCGGCTGCTAAATGTAAATGTATATCAAAACATATCTATTATTGTATCTTCATGCAGTGATTGTCATAATTATGTTTTATGCAAATGTCTTAATTTGAGTCTGTCTGTTTTTGCATGGACAAAAAAATTAATATAATATTTATATAAACATTTCAGGATTTGTACCCAGCTCTGTGTGTTCACTATGGTGGTAATGAGCCAGACCGGTTACCAACAGCAAGTACATGTATGAACCTTCTGAAACTACCTGAATGTAAAGATTATGCCACACTGAAACACAAACTCTTGTATGCCATAGAATCAGGTGCTGGCTTTGAACTGAGTTGATCTAGAGTGACAGAATTTATTCCAGGTTTATTGATATGTGATACAGACTTGTCTGGTTTGTCAGAAGTTGTAAAAGTCCCGAATGTATTTTAAACATGTTTGGAAACAAGAGTAATGGCAGCTTAAGAAATGGTAATAGATTCTGAAAAAAAGTTAGTGTAGGAAATCTTGGAGTTGCCATGCTACCATATTGTGTGATTTACAAACAACTTGGTTATGATTGGCTGCTAGACCATTCTTCATTGCTTAAATTACATAATATTTATTATTAATTTGTAAAAAACATGCATTTGATAATAATATTTTCTACTGAACTGATGAAATTGAATGTTCAATTTTCCTTTGAGTTTTAATAGGGAGTACAACCATTTGCATACACTAAATAGAAGTTAAAACCTACATGATTGTATATGTCTAGTTTGGTCAGAAAAGTGTAAGATATATAACTATGAATTTAATATTTTTTATAACCTTTTGTTAAGCAATAAGCAATGTATAGACTATATAATATGATGTTAAGTCACATTAGAGGGTATAAAGCTGTACTAGGTTGTTTGTCATCAGCAGAGAATAATTGTTAGGATATATGAATCATATTATTGAATAATTGTTAGGTTATATGAATCATATTATAGAATAATTGTTAGGTTATATGAATCATATTATAGAATAATTGTTAGGTTATATGAATCATATTATAGAATAATTGTTAGGTTATATGAATCATATTATAGAATAATTGTTAGGTTATATGAATCATATTGTAGAATAATTTTTGGGTTATATGAATCATATTATAGAATAATTGTTAGGTTATATGAATCATATGATCCCTTAACCTGTTGAATTTCTAAAATACATGTATATTTGAATATTTGTCCAGTTATCATATTTGGAAGTGTGTCAAATACCAATCTCGGGGATCTCTAATTAAATTAGAAATTAAAAGGAACAGTCAATAATTAAGATAACCTGGCCAGACTTGACTGATGGTAGCAAAAGTTAATTACTTCCAGCAGGGTATGGTTTTAAATATACCATGATTGAAAGGATTATGTTTATGAATTTCTAGGAAAGCAATCAATCGGTGTATTGAATCGTTACTTATTATAATTTAAAATTGTAAATGAATATTTTAGAGGGAAACATTTTATATGAATTAGGGATGATATATATTGGGTATGTATGTGTGATGTAACAGAATGATGTGCATGACAGTGATTTCATTATTTAAAGTGTTATTATATTGGTGGATGAGGGATTAAGTTACAATGACACAGAGACTTTCCAGGTGAAGGAGTTTGTGCATTGTTCCAAGCACAAGTAGACACCTGAGTAGAACCTCAGGGGCTCATATAGGTAGCTGGATAGCTTCCTCAAATAATGTAATCCAAAGTCGATGACTGGGTTCAAACCTGTAGAAGTGAGAGGCAAGTGGTCCTTAATCAGGGACTCTTTGCCATGAAGCCCTCTGATTGAATATCTAGAAGCAACCAATATGAAGTGATAGTATAATATTTTAAATATACATGTACAATGTACATGTATATCAGTATATATATATATACAAATGTATATACATATTACTCTGTGTCAGTTATAGCTTTATACCCTTTATCAATTTTAATGACAGTCAATTGATAGTCTATAAATACATTATTGGATCTTGGTTGTGTAAATTAAACAAACAGAAATGTATAAAAAATATATCATAATAATGTTGATATTTTACAATGTGTGTGTGTGTGTGTCAGGATTAAGTATAATGTTATCCCTTTTCAGCTCACCTGTCACAAAGTGACAAGGTGAGCTTTTGTGATTGCAATTCATCCAGCGTCTGTCAGTCTTTAAACAACATCCTCATAAACCGCATAGCCAATTTCATTCAGACTTTACTTTCAATATACAAGTTTTACTAATATTGTTTACCCGTGCCCATATATGATTCAGTAATGATGTTTCTTGTTTGCTTTGGTTTCATAAAGATTTCCTGATATACAGAAAGCCACTAGTGTCATAGTGTCAGAGTTCGTACTTTGCTCTGAGACTATGACAGTATGATTAACAAAAGAAAAGCAAGATGACATTATTAACTTTTTATGATTTTTTTTTTCGCAAAAAGAGGATAACTATATGTGAGTTTGCAAAATAAATAGAAAAACCAACAGCCCGCATCACCAGGAGTTTGTTACGCCACTTTATACATGTATATCAGACCATTAGAAAAGGTTAAAGAAAAACAACTCAAAATTGATTATGGGAATTTCAACTTGTTTATGTCTATTCCAAATATCATAGTTGATACCATTCAATGGTGACTTGAAAATACTCTGAAATGTTTAAACACAATAACAATAACACCTCCAACAGTAAATATCTACAGACACGTCACTTAAAATGTATGGAGCTCATGATAAAACTAATAATCTGAATACCCAAGGATACTGGTTTGTTGACAAACAAAAGATGCATATAAATGTTTTAGAACTGTATGCATGCAAAATTGGACTAAGGCCATTTGTAAAGATATCATGAAGATGCACATCTGCCCTCATGCTGATAATACAACTAGCTGTACATATATAAATTGTTTTGGTGGTAAAATGAAAAAAATAGGTTATATTGTGCAACAAATTTGGTTTTGGTTTATTGTAAAGAGAATACATTTATCCGTGTGTTACCTGCCTAGAGTGGATAACACTGGTTTTAATATTTTTGTCCCGATTTTTGGACTAAGAGAATAATCCTTAACCAGAATGGTAAATTGATACTTAATTCCGTCAAAGAAAAAACAAAAATATTTACAATCATTTTCCCTTATACTAGTACTAATAGAAAAATATGCATCCGACAAATTGACCGAAGCCAAGTAACAGGCCTTTCTCATTAAACACAATGCTGATTGTAAAGTTTCCATTTTAAAATGTGATTTATCAACATAGTTAGTATTAAATAGTTTGAGATTTAAAATAATTCTAATGCGTCTATCTTTTTTTGGTTTAATAAAAATGTTTGATTTAAAATAATTTTCAATGTCATTTGTGCTAATTCAGTTATGCTGCAATTAAAGAAAAGAGACAACTCTGCCTAATTTCATTACACTCATTAACAGTTAGATTGATTGGTTTTGGGTATTCTACATTGTACTGGTATCAAATTTAATGTTATTTTACATCCACAGATTGTTTTTAAAATCCATTTGTCGGAGGTAATACTTTCCCATATATTTATATTTTCTTTAGTTTTCCCGGCTTTAAAATTATTTAATTTCAATGAAATTATTAAATTATTTAAACTAATTAATTTTTCTGTATCCTTTTTCCAAGTTGTCTTCCTGTGTACTTTTGATTTGTTTGTTGAGGGTAGGTCGTTGTTGTTGAATACTGATAATTGCTGAATGGTTGGTTTGATTAATTGACCCCCTCCCCTTTCGCCTTAAAAAGGCTTCCTATTTGCTGATGTCTGATTTGTTCTGTTCTTTCAATTGCGTAATACAATGTATTCTCATTCAATTTATCTTCAAACAAATTGAAGCCGAAGGTGAAAAGTGGTTTGGAAGTTGGAAGTAAATCTTTCTTAATTTTTGCCATGCGGCTTTCATTTGAATGCACAATGGTTTATGCTAAACATTTAAATATGTCCCCAACTAAATCTTTCACCGCCATATCTGTGACTGAGGTTGTTTCAATAATTCCAGGGCTTTCAATTTTGGTATCATTGCCATTCTCATGCCCAGTTGGCATTTTTGAACAGCAAAATCATACGATTTTGTGTCCTTTTTTCATTGTTTCCATACTTGTTTGTCAACTCTAGGGATTTGTAAGTTCTCAACATTTATAGGTTTTTTATGAGTCCCCTACCGGTTTACCGATGGGGACTTTAGGTTTACCCTCCGTCCGTCTGTCCATCCGTCAGTCCGAGCAAACATTTGATTTTTATGAGCTTCATTCAGTAGTTAAATAAAGAACAAAAACTCATAAAATTCAAATTAAGAGCTATTTTTTTGTTTTTATGAGCTAATTTTGCTTATGGACGTTGGTCAAGGCGGTGTTTATGAGCTGATTTGCCTCATAAATGTCAAAAATTGGTATGTCCGTCCGTCTGTCCGTCAGTCCGTCCGTCCATCCACAAAACTGGATCCCGCGATAACGCAAAAAGTACTGAAAATATTTTTATGAAACTTGATATATGGATAGATGGCAGTATGGAGATTATGCACGTCTTTTTCTTTTCTTCCTATGTTGAAAATTCTGGTTGCTATGGCAACAAATCGACTGAAATATGGCAAATTTTACACATAACCTGGATCCAGTGATAACGCAAAATACTGAAATATACTGAATGAATATATATGAAAATGAAAATATGAAATGAAATGAAAATATGAAAATACTGAAAATATTTTTATGAAACTTGATATTTGGATAGATGGCAGTATGGAGATAATGCATGTCTCTTTCTTTTCTTCCTATGTTGAAAATTCTGGTTGCTATGGCAACAAATAGACTGAAAATATGGCAAATTTTACACATAACCTGGATCCAGTGATAACGCAAAAAGTACTGAAAATATTTTTGTGAAACTTGATATTTGGATAGATGGCAGTATAGAGATTATGCACGTCTTTTTCTTTTTTTCCTATGTTGAAAATTCTGGTTGCTATGGCAACAAATAGACTGAAAATATGGCAAATTTTACACATAACCTGGATCCAGTGATAACGCTAAAAGTACTGAAAATATTTTTATGAAACTTGAAATATGGGTAGATGGCAGTCTGGAGATTATGCACATCCTTTGTTGAAAAATCTGGTTGCTATGGCAACAAATAGACTGAATTTCAAGATTTCTGAATCTAGTTTTTAGGTTTTTTCACTATAAGTTCTTGGTATTTAAGGTATTTTCTTCAAACTTTAAATATAAGTTTCTAGTCATCAACCACATCATATGTGACAAGGTTTACAACTCTAGCACAAAATTTATCAGAATTTCCTCCCTTGAATTTAGAATTTTCATAAAAAAATATTGTTTTTATGCCACCGCAGCATCTGCGATGCGGTGGCATATAGCGATTCACCTGTGTGTGTGTGCGTGTGTTTGTGCGTGTGTTTGTGTGTGTGTTTGTGTGTGTGTTATATAGATTATATAGTGAACTTAAAAAATCTTCTTGTGAAAAACCACTGGTCCAATTTCAACCAAACTTGGCAGGATTGTTTCTTGGGTGAAGGGCTTCCAAAGTTGTTCAAAGAATTTAATTCCATGCAGAAATCTGGTTGCCATGGCAACCAAAAGGAATTATAAGAATAAATTTAAAAAATCTTCTTGTAAAGACCCAAAAGGCCTAGAGCTTAGATATTTTGCATAAGGCATTGTCTGGTAGACCTCTAAAAAGATTGTTCAAATTATAGCCCTGGGGTGAAAATTGGCCCTTCCCCGGGGGTCATTGATTTTCATTATGTACATATAGTAAAAACTTAAAATACCTTCTTGTAAAGACCCAAAAGGCCTAGAGCTTAGATATTTTGCATAAGGCATCGTCTGGTAGACCCTTACCAAGATTGTTCAAATTATAGCCCTTGGGTCAAAATCGGCCCCGTCCCGGGGTCATTGATTTTCACTATATGTACATATAGAAAAAACTTAAAACACCTTCTTGTAAAGACCCAAAAGGCCTAGAGCTTAGATATTTTGCATAAGGCATTGTCTGGTAGACCTCTACCCAGATTGTTCAAATTATAGCCCTGGAGTCTAAATCGGCCTGCCCCGGTGGTCATTGGTTTTCCATTATGCTATATTATATGTATATAGTAAAAACTTCTAAAAAATTCTTCTAGCAATTGACAAATGCTAGAGGTTAGTTTTTTTTGCATGAAACATTGTGTAGTAAACCTCTAGCAAGATTGTTCAAATTATAGCCCTTGGGTCAAAATTGCCCCCCGCCCTTGGGTCATTGATTTCAATATATACATATAGTAAAAAAATCAAAAAATCTTATTGTCTGAAGGTACAAGGCTTAGAGCTTTAATATTTGTTAAATAATATCATCTTAAGGTACTCTACAAAAGTTGTTCAAATTTAGCCTCTTGTGTCAAAATTAGCCCCGCCCCGGGGACCATAATTATGTTTTCCTAATATGTATATAGTAAAAACTTAAAAAATCATCTTCTCTAAATTTACAAAGGCTAGAGTTAAGATATTTTGCATGAAACATTGTGTAGTGAACCTCTTGCAAGATTGTTAAAATTATAGCCCTGGGGTCAAAATTGGTTCTGCCCCGGGGGTCATTGATGTTCATTATGTACATATAGTGAAAAAATAAAAAATATTTTTGTCTGAAGGTACAAGGCATAGAGCTTTGATGTTTGATATATAATATCATTTATAGGTCCTCTACCAAAGTTGTTCAAATTTTTCCCCTGGTGTCAAAATTGGCCCTGCCCGGGGGCAGTGATTCTCATTATGTACACATAGTAACAAGAGCTGTCGGTAGGACAGCAACGCTCGACTATTCTTCGTGCTTGATAGTAAAAAAATGCCTGATACAGTTACCTCCTCCTGTTTACAGGTTGGGGTCATGATGGTGAACAAGTGTGCAAAGTTTCAAAGCCATATATCAATGGACTTTGAAAATATTTGAACTATTACAAAAACTTTAACGTAAATTCTAAGTCGAAAAAGGGGCATAATTCTGTCAAAATGCTTGATAGAGTTACCTCCTCCTATCTACAGGTTGGGGTCATGATGGTGAACAAGTGTGCAAAGTTTCAAAGCCATATGTCAATGGACTTTGAAAATATTTGAACTATTAAAAACACTTTAACATAAGTGGTTACGCTGACGCCGACGCTCGGGTGACTGCAATAGCTCTACTTATTCTTATCGAATAGTCGAGCTAAAAACAGAAAAAAACAGAAAATAAAACAAATGTTTTCTGAATGGGAGAAAGCTATAGCTTAGATATTTGACTTGAAATGTTGTTTGGTGGACCTGTATCAAGATTGTTTTGAATTAAACCCTTGGGTCAAAATTATGCCTTGCCAAAGGGGACAGTGACCTACTTTCTTGTCCTTTAATGTACAGCAATGACATTTTGACCATGTGCACAGTTTTAGTTGTAAAATTGAACTTTGATATCAGGTGACCTAGATTTTGATGATGTGACCTACTTTCTTGTCCTTTGATGTACAGCTATGAAATTTGAACATTGCGATGGCATAGCATTTTTCTCAAATGCAATCTTGTTTTTTTAAACTTTCTTTTACTTCAAATTCAAAATAAACATTCATTATCAATACCTTCATTACTAATTGTTCTTTGTTACACTGACATCGTGTATGATGTCTTGCATCTTTATTTCAAGTGTTATCTCCTTTTTAAGAATTTTGCTTTTAAAAATGTTATATTTTGATAACAGGGATGTTTAAAAAATAATTTTAGAGTGTCCTTCAGTCCATCTGTCTGTCTGTACATAAAAACTGTTTCCTGTGATCACTTTTAAAGAACTTTTCAACAGATTTACTTAAAATAGAGACATAAGTGAATGGCCAATGGCCCTTCAGAATGTTG